GCCTTCTGTAGATGCTATACCAATCTTTTCTCCACACACCAGCAATTGTAAAGGCCTCTCTTTTTTTAATGTTTAGGCTTATTTTTATTGGAAAGGTAGATCAGATTTATGGAGAGAGAGAGACAGAAAGATCTATCCACTGGCTCATTTCCCAATGGCCACAATGGCTAGAGCTGAGCTGAGCTGATCCAAAACCAGGAGCTTCTTCCAGGTCTCCCACGTGAGTATAGGGTCTCAAGGCCTTGGGTCATCCTCTACTGCTTTCCCAGGTCACAAGTAGGGAGCTGGAGCAGCTGGGACACAAACTGGTGACTATATGAGATCCTGATGCTTGCTAAGTCTCAGATTTCTCTTCAATCAAAAGCGGTGGTGTTCTGCCCACATTCTATATTGTAGTGCCTGGGTTCGGATCCTGGCTCTATCCCTGATTTCAGCTTCCTGTTATTGTGGACTCTGAGAGGCAGCAAGCAATTGCCCACATAGCTTATGTGGGAGACCTGAATTGAGTTCAAGCTCCCAGCTTTGGCCTCAGTCTGGCCCTGTCCATCTCAGGCACGTGAGGAGTGAAATGGCTGTAGGGACCTTCCTCTCCAATACATAGATTAATTTTTTTAAAGAGAAGCCTCTTCTGCTTCCTCGCTCAGCTTTAGGCTAGGATTCCTCTTTATGCTATCTCCCTGGATTCTGAGCCTTCGCACAGTTAGGGATGTTGTATGCACAGATGTCAGCTTCATGTCATGGGCTAAAAGCTTGTGCTGTTCAGGACTAGGTCTGTCCTGTGCACTCTCGGGTCCCCAGGGCATGGCACATGAAGAAGCCAACGGTTATTGCTCTGAAGGAGCAAATCGATGTCAACACCCATTTTGCAGATAGCTTGCCTTCCCACCCGCCCCGAGAGAGGAGATGGTTCCGTGCTGTGTCTTCTCCCCAGGGCAGTGAGCTGAAGGGCAGAGAGGGGACGGGTGGAAGGAGAGGCAGTGGGATCAGAGTTCAGTGGCCCGTGATTAGGTCATAGCATGGGCCATGCAGAAAACCCTTTGTGAGTGCAGTTGGAGGTCCCAGGTGCCCAAGGGGTACCCTGGGGAGCCCTGTGCTCGCTATATTTTGGAAGTTCACAGTCCATAATCATACAGAGGAAGCAGGGTGGGGTGGGGTGCTGTCTTCTCTGTCCATATTTATCATACCGTCATGGTTTCACCATGGAGCTCCATCCAGCAACCCAGTCCAACTCGATCACTTCCTGAGGCCCCCACCTGCAGACATGGCCATTGGATTTTTTTCCTGGGTGCCTTCATACGGGCTCCACACGAGCTCATAGGCGATACCCAAACTGCTTATCTTAAGCATGACAAGCCTCCAATGGGCTCAGGCTCTCGGGCTGGGGAAGCCAAAGCCATGAAAAACGCTTGCTGTCTTCCTAACCAAGAAAGAAACTTACACCAAAAGAAAATAGGAACCCAAGGGACTGCGGCCCTCCTAGGGCAAGGAGAAGAGGAGCAGTTGACACAACTTCCTCGAAACTGTATTTTATGGAATGTTTTGCAATTGTTAGAGAAGGAGAATCTGAATATGTGAAAAAAAAGTTCATGGGAAATGTTTATTGGGGAAATAACCAAACATGGATATTAACTTTTTTTTTGCACCAAAGTAAATCTTTTTGAAATCCATTTGCACACATTTTTTTTTTTTTTTTTACAAAATGTGTATTTGTTTTTATATGCTTGAAAGGCAGAGGGAAAAAAAGGAGAGAGAGAGAGGGAAAAAGAGAACATTATCTTCCATGTCCTATTGAGTCTCAGAGGGCTGCAATAGCTGGGGATGGGTCAGTCCAGGAGCCTAGAACTCCAGCCACCACCTGCTGGCTTCTATGGTGCGTGGGAGGTAGGAAACGGGGGCAGGATTCAGGCCCAGGGACTCCGGGATGGGATGCAGGTGCCCCATGCAGCATCGAAACAATGGCATCAGACCCCAGCCCCATGAAGTTTTTGGTTTTGGTAAGAATCTATTCGTGAAATGTAAAATGAGTGGATTTGGGAGGAAAGGCTAACTGCAAGACCAGCCAGGGAGGCCGGGTATGTTCTAGGCTTGCCCTTTCTTGAAAGTCTCTGAAGATTTTTCAAGTCAAGCTGTGGAACATCTGTTGCATGATGGAACTAAGGTGTAGGACTGGGGAGACATCCCCATCTGGGGTCTCCATCCGGCTGCCTGACCTCGGATGTCTCCCTCTCTGGTTCCGGGGCTTAGGGTCCTCATCTACCCAGCAGCAGTCAGATGTCTGTGTTACCCAGGAGTGTGGGAAGATGAATGCATGGGATTATTCTCTGGGCCAGCAGGGAAGAGGGCGTGGAGGCCTCCCTTCCACCTGCCAAGCCCACAAGGGCACATAGCAAGGAGCTGGGGACCACCCAGGCGAGCAAACAGCCTGTCTACAGGACAGGACCATGCGTGGTCAGCAGCTGGGAGGCCTGGCCTGGACAAGTCCCAGGTCAATGCCGGGAGCAGCCACCCAAGCTGTGTGGAGCATTGAGACATGGAGCAGGCTTCCCTCACTTCCCTCCACAGCCCTGGTACAGCCACAGCCTCTCCCACCACCCCCTTCCCTTCCTCACCTCGACACACACACAGCAGAGAGGACCCCAGCACAGGGCTCCTCCTAGCCCACCTTATCGCCAGAACCAGTGGGGGCTTTCACAAGGTAATCCCAGCCATGCAAGGGTTGGTTTAAGGTCATCTTAATGGATGAACTGATAGAACAAAATCCACCCTGTTACCTTAGGCAGCAGAGCCTGGTGGGGTCTATGGCCGCAGAAGCCAGGTTTCTGAGAGAACTTGCCTGCCTTACAATGCTGGTTCTTCTCATTCATCCACAAATGTTTACTGAGAACTGGGTGTTTGGCCTAGCAAGATGCCGGCATGCGTTATCAGAGTACCTGGGTTTGATCATGGCTTAACTCTTACTTCCAGCTTCCTGCTGGAGGCAGTGGGTGGTGGCTGAGTATAGTTCAATCCATACGGAAAACCTGGATTGGGTCCTTGATTCTGGCCTGGCCTGGCCCTGAGTCATCACTGTGAACCTTTTGGGAGCAAATCAGTGGCTGGGATAGTTTTTTTCTCTCTCTCCATCTCTCAAATACATATCTAAATAAATACAGCTTGCAAAGGTTGACCAAGCCCCACACTGTGGCCCAGGAGTTATTCCGAGAGTCTGGGTTCCATCTGTGGGAGAGAGCAGAGGCAGACGCGTGGCAAATCCAGTGCTGCCTGTGGAAAGGGGGCAGAGCTGTGGAACGCAGCAGGAACCAGAACAGAAGGAGCTGCTCAGGAGCACCAAGCCCTCTGTGACGGTGACAAAGGTGACATGCAAGCAAAGCCTTGGAGGAGTGAGCAAGGGCCCACATAGACCTTGGGGGAAGTGCAGGGGCAGTGGGCCAGGGCGCTGAGGACAGATGGGATGGACCCAGCCTGGCTTGCTTGAGAAACAGCCAATAGGTGGAAGGTGACTTACAGAGGTAGGGGAGTCGTGCAGGGCCTCGTCTTTTGGCCTCTGCTGCCCGAGATGGGAGCCTGGGAAGGCTGGCCCTGAGGGCCCTGTGAGCTCCGCAGCTTGGCTGTGAACCCTGGAGCATAAGTCATAATGCAGCCACCCCTGCCTTCCCTTCCCTTGGGTAGGGAAAGTGGTTTCCATGCACCTAAGAAGATGGGGTATGGCTGACAGGGAGCAGAAGCTCCCCCCCCCCCACTCTACCCCAGGGAGGCCCTGGGGTCGGGGTGGTCTTCCCTAAGGAGAGACGTGGTGTAGATCCCTCCTGGGCCTGACTACCTCACCGTTGCGGCCCTGTTTGTGAAGCCTCTTCAACCCCCAGCGTCCAGAGAGTAACTTCCCACGGTCAGTTGCAGCCAAGATGTTGCTCATCTGGCCGGGGTCAGAGGTCAGCCTGGGCGCCAAGGTTGGGCAGACTCAGTTCTGGGGTCCAAACCCCTCTGAGCCCGTTCCTGCATTCGCTGCTGTCCCTGTATCCCCCGCAGCGTTTGTGTCTGTGGGTCCCGAACCAGACGGTGTTTACACAAAACATGCTGAATTTGCCGGCAAATTCATCCTCGCGTGAGGACTCCCTAATGAAGCTGCCGCCTTCCCTACACCAGGTGGCGGCAGGGAGAATGAGTGAGGTCTCCAGCAGTGGAAGGCAGCAAGAGGCTGTAAGGACTTGGAGAAGCCTCTGGGTTTCTAGGCTACTAGGTAGGGGGCACTTTTCCCTTAGGATCTTAGGACGGAGCCCTTCTGCACCTGCCTTCGCTCACGACCTGCTGTGTCACAAGGCACTGCCCTTCTCCTGGCCTCGGTCTGCAGCTCTAACAGGGCGGTAATAATCCTATCTGGATAAACTAACTCTCAGGGCGTGAGGAAGTTTAGTTACTCCGGGCCAAGCAAGGCAGGAGGGATGGCTCATCCAACTTCAACACCTGGGATGGATTCCTAGCTTCTACCCTTGGCTGGATCCAGCTCTGGCTATTTTAGGCATTTGGGGAGTCCGCCAGCAGCTGGCAGCTCGCTTTGTCTCTTATCTGTTTGCCTCTTGAATAAATAGTATGGTGAAACAACCCCCACCCCCCGCCGCCCCATCATTGCTGCTTCCAAAACAACGAGGGTGGTTCCTATGTCTCTTTATAACTTGGAAGCCGAGGGTGTTCCAGGTTAAATATAAGTCGCGGGAACTTCTCCAAAGCCTTTATTGCTACCACCATGGTCACAATTATTTGTCGGTGTGTCCCGCTAGCATGAAGTTCCCATGCGGGGACGGGTTTTTCTTTGTTCCCGGGGCCCCAGCAGGTGCATTGGAACGGGTGGTGGGAGGGGCAGGAGGCGGCGCTGTCTGCGGCGAGTACTCTTGGAACCTGCAGGGGGCGCTCCAAACGCGCCCGCAAGGCAAGGCCCCGCCTCCGGCGTCCCGTCGACGCGCGTGCGTCGGGGCCGGCGCGCCTGCGCCGGAAGTGCTGCGGGGGCGCGTGCGCGGCGCAGTGGCCGTGGGGGTTGTTGACGGACCCGGAGTGGCTGTGCTGGGCGCCATGCTATCTCCCGAGGCGGAGCGAGTGCTGCGGTATCTGGTGGAGGTGGAGGAGCTCGCGGAGGAGGTGCTAGCGGACAAGCGGCAGGTGGGAGACGCGTCCGTCCCGCTGGGGCCTGGCGGAGGGCAGCGCGCGGGGGACTGCTCGGCCACCGCCGGCCGACATGATGGTCAGACGCTTGGCCACAGCGCAGCGCTGGCGTGCCGTCCCTCTCCTTCTTTACTTGCTGTGCCCTCCAGCCTTGGGCTGTGTCCCTGTGTTGCCTGGGCCTCGGTGGGAGTGCCCTGGGCGCCCTGGTGGGAGACGACCCTGTGGACCTCACAGGGAGCCCCTATTTCAGAAGGCAGTGTCCAGGGCGCCCTGTGGACATGCACAGGTGGCTTGTGTCTGGTTCTAATCCTAGTGCAAGAGTTCACGGGGGCAAGGAAAGGATCTAGGTTCTAACGAGGGTCTCCCTGACCGCTGTGCAGAAGGCGGATAATGTGGGAGCGCAGCGAGGTGCTGTTAGATTTACCGACCAGCTGTTAAAGTAAAAACACCGGCAAAGTAAGCAAAGAGAAGTCCGTTCCTGGGCCTTTGCCTGCACGTCGAAGGGGAGGACCGCAAGTGGGAAAGACAAGCTGGGTAGCAGAGACTTGGGTGCTGGCATCATCCCTGCTTGGGCCCTCATAGGACAAGGCATGTTGGTCTTTGTCCATCATTGGCTTGTATGTGGCCTTGGCAGCCTTCTGGGCGTGCCACATCTCCTTAGCCAAGGTCACTGTGGTGTCCACCCACTTGCTGTAACCATGGTAACCATCAGGTGCACCTGCCACTCAGGTTGTGGTGATGGGGAGATGGACCCAGTAGGCAGTGAGAATAGTAACACGGCAGGTGAGGCACTGGAAAGAGTGGCCTCTGCTCCGTCCCCCAGGCGGGTAGGGGAGAGGTGGTCGTGTGTTTACTTATAAAGGGTAGACTTGAGGGAAGACTGGTCTGATTAAGAAGTGCCTTGAGGTATGCTGGCAGTTTGCTGAGTGCATACTTGGGTGTCGGTTCCTGGGAAGGCTCGCTTTGCCGCTGATGATTATTTCGGGGAGTGAGCAAGCAAATGAAGTGATGGAGCTCCCAGCGCGTGGCTGGGTTCAGTGTGACCCCCCTGTCCCCAGCTGCAGAGCCCGGCTCTCCCTGTGCGCCCGCTCCTTAGCAGCTGCTAGATGTCACCTCACCCAGCAGTACCTTATTGTGAATCTCTCCTCATCCTAAATCAGAAGCAGCTGGAGCAGTTGGGCTGCAAGGAGAGCTGCTTTGTGGGGGGGAGGTGTTCCTGCAGTCTGAGTGGTTGTGATTTGCTCAGGACTCGGGCTGCCACGGAACTGCCCAATTAGCAGCCATTCCCAGCACCTGCGCCAGGCAGGCGTTCTCTGTCAGGGGGTGGGAATGGAGGCGGACAGCCGTCCATGGGAGCCAGCTGACCTGTGCCCTGTGCGTTTCAGATCGTGGACCTAGACACCAAGAGGAATCAGAACCGAGAGGGTCTACGGGCCCTGCAGAAAGAGCTCAGCGGCTCCGGTAAGCTGCGTGTGCGCCTGCCATCTCGTCACCTTCCATTCTTACAGCGGCCACCGAGTCATCCACGTAGACCGAAGCAGGCTGTACCCCATACAGGCGCTTGTATAGTGACTGTGTGTCAGAGCCAGAAAGCTTCTGTCAAAGCCCTTGTCGTGTCCCTGATGGAGACTGCGCCACAGATGGTGTGCCTCAGCCCTGGGGGATGCGGAGACAGCCAGTGGAGGGCGGGCAGCTGTTGCAGGTGCTGCCCAGATTGTGGCCTGGGGTTCCAGCTGGTACCCTGGTGACAGGCTGTCAGCTCCTGGCTTGTCAAAAACAGCAGACACAGAGCATGCCGGGGTGAAGCATGAGGCCCCAGCGATGAGGCTGCACGTGGAGTGGAGTTGAGAACAGGCAGGAAGCAAAGCTCTAGATGTGGCCAGGGCATAACGGGGTAGGGGACACGAGTAGGGTATAGAGCAGGCCTGGAGGACCAAGAGGAAGTTGGTGTTTTGGGCTTCTGGTGTCACCCGCATAATGTCTAGTGTCATCCTAAAAGACCCTCCCCCCTGGCCAGTGTTCTCTCGCTCCTGGCTCTTCACACACACACACACACACACACACACACACACGCGCTCCTGGTGCTTCCGACACACTCCCTTACACACACGCTTCTGGTCTTTGCTGGCCCCGCATCCTCTGCCTGGCTTGCTCTTGTTCCTGGATGGACCTCAGCAGGGCTCACACTGTTGCTTTGTTTGGGTCTTTGCCCAGATGGCACATGAGGAGTGAGGCCTCGAACCACTTGGTGTGCCTCCCCTCCCCTAGTATTCCATAATATTTTCTTTTAAAGGTTATATTTATTGGAAAGGCAGATTTACAGAGAGGCGAGGCAGAGGAAGATTTTCCATCTACTGGTTCACTCCCCAAATGGTTGCAACTGCTGGAGTGGAGCTGATCCAGAGCCAGGATGCAAGGGCCTAGCGACTTGAGCCATCCTTCACTAGTTTCCCAGGCCACAACCAGGGAACTGGTTGGGAAATTTAGCAGCTGGGACAGGAATGCCCATGTGGGATTCCAGCGCTTGCAGGAGGAGGATTAACCTACTGAGCCATCACGTTGACCCCTCCTTATCCTTATTTTTCACATTTTTTAAAAAAGATTTTTTTTTATTGAAGAGATGAAGATCTTCCGTCTGCTGGTTTACTCTCCAAATGGCCGCAGTGGCCAGAGCCGATCCAAAGCCAGGAGCCTAGAGCTTCTTGGTATCCCACACAGGGGCAGGGTCCCAAGGCCTTGGGGCATCCTCTACTGCTTTCCTAGGTCACAAGCAAGGAGCTGGAAGGGGAGCAGCCAGTATATGGACTGGCACCCATATGGGATTCCGATGTGTGTGTGAGGACTTTAGCCACTGGGCTACTGCATTGGGCCCCCCCCCTTTTTTTTAAGGTTGTTTATTTGAAGGCAGACAGAGTCTCTGTCCTGTGGTTCACTCCCCAGATGGCCACAATGGCTAGAGCTGGGCCAGGCCAGGGCCAAGAGCTTCTTCCAGGTCTCCCACATGGGCGCAGAGAGGGGTCCAAGTACTTGGACCATCTTCCACTGCTTTCCCAGGTGCATTAGAGCAGGGGACTGGGTTGGAAGTAGAGCAACTGGGACTTTAACCAGTGCCTATCTGGGACGCTGGCACTGCAGGTAGCAGCTTTGCTTTGCCAGCATGCCAGCCCCTCATGTAGCTTTCCTGAGGGCCTGCCAGACCGCCGTGGCATCCTTCTGCCATGGGGACAGGAGCCTGGGCTTGTTCTGCCATTCTTTCGGCTTGCTGCGGGCAGCGCCCAGCAGACAGTGGGTGCCTGCAGGCTGTTAACGGGAGTGTCTATTTCAGAGGATGTGATGGTTTGCTTCGGAAGCATGTTTATCAAGATGCCGCACCCTCAGACCAAGGAGATGATTGAGAAAGGTAAGGTCTCCCTGGCGTGGTAAGGACCTGGCCCGGGAGTCGGGTTCGGGCAGCCTGGGGAGCAGGTGCACCTGCTGTGGGTTGGATGGCTGCCCTGTTGCTCTGAGTTAGGCCTTCTGTGTGTGCAGCATAGTGCTTGTTAGGAACTAGTTGGGTTACAAGTACCATTAAACAACAGCTTGAGGCTTTAGGGAGACAGTGGCTCAGGCTTTTCCCGCAGAGGTGGGCCGTTCAAGATGGGCAGAGTTGCTGGGCTTTGGCTTCTGACCATCTTCTGCTGCGTCATTACAGGCCACATGTCTTGGCCCGGCTAAGGCCTCTCCACTATGTTCTTTGATTCCAGAACTAGGGCCATCTTCCCCAGGGGCTTCCTGCTGACGCCTTGTTGGCCAGAATGTCATGGCTACAAAGGATGCTGGGAGTATGAGTCTTTTTTTTTATTATTATTTTTCTATTGGAAAGGCGGATATACAGAGAGGAGAGACAGAGAGGAAGATCTTCCGTCTGATGATTCACTCCCCAAGTGAGCGCAACGGCCGATGCTATGCTGATCCGAAGCCAGGATCCAGGAACTTCTTCCAGGTCTCCCACGCGGGTGCAGGGTCCCAAAGCTTTGGGCCGTCCTCGACTGCTTTCCCGGGCCACAGGCAGGGAGCTGGATGGGAAGCGGGGCCGCCCGGACTAGAACCGCCCGGACTAGAACTGGCGCCCATATGGGACCCCGGACGTGCAAGGCGAGGACCTTAACTACTTGCGCCACGGCGCCGGGCCCGAGTCTTATTTTTTATACTGAAAACAGACTTGGAGAACAAACCTGTAGGGCAGAAGCAGGGAATGTACACGAAATCATTGCTTCTGCCCAGGCCCTTGGACTCCAGTGAGTCTGTAGGAGGCTAATGTTGAAATGGGTAAGTCTGTGCTCATGTTATAGCAAATGGCCCTGGGCAGGTAGTTTCCACCCCTGCTATAGGGCCTGCCCCAGTCTGGGCAGCTAGCATGTGCCAGGCATGTCTCCAAGCCACAGGTGCTGGAACCCTGGAACGGGAGTGTGAGGGCTGACAGCCGGGAGCAGGTGGGTCCAGGGCTGGGCACAGGCGGGGAGGAGGCTCAGGTTTTTGCTCTGTACCCTGGAAAATGTGTAAGCCCAGAGGAGTGCTTCAGGACTGCCTGGAGGAGTTTCCAGCTGTGCTCTCCACACATTACTATTGTAATTACAACACTGGCATTTGTCATGGCCTGTGGGCGTCTGGCTGCAGGCTGCTGGGGCTCTGCTTCCAGAGCTGGTTGGTCAGGATCTAGTCTTGCGCACTTCTGGCTCTTGACCTGGCCTTGTCCCTTGTGCCTCGAGGGGTTCCGCCACAGTCCAGGAAGCTCCTGAGGGTCTGCCTCACTTTATTACAGAGGAAGACCTTCTATCCATTGATTCACTCCCCAAGCGGGGCTGCCAGGATTAGAACCAGCGCCCCCGTGGGATCCCATCATGTGTAAGGCAAGGACTTTAGCCTCTAGGCTACTGTACCGACCCCTGCCTCATGTTTATGGTGGAAAATAACCCTAGCTCAGGCCACGAGGTGGGGATGGCTGTCAGTATGCCTGGGGTGACCCTAATCTGTCTACACTGGGTTTCAGTAGCCACCCCGTTTTTCCACGGGGTGGAAGGTACCATGAGAGAGCCTGGCTGAGGGTGTGCCGTGACTGGAGGATGGCTTTGTTCCCTGGGGTTAATGTGGTTAAGTTTGTGCATCAGGCTTGCCTGCTTGGTATTTAGGTTGTGTCTCTACCACACTGCTCTAACCACCCCGCCCAACCTTGCCGGACTTGGGCCTGCAGAGTGCCTTAGCTGTCTGGTTCTGCTGCTCTAGGGTCTCTGGGCTGCAGGTGCTTCCACTACGCTTTCTGTAGTTGCACTGTGAGGGCGGCCGGAGGTGCTCTTTCCCCATACACTGCTACCCATGGTGTTAGCATAGTGGAAACCAGGGCAGTGCCCTGGCATGTGGCCTGCTGGGTCCTTGAACCTTTATTCCTTCCTTGGTGGATCCAAGGTTTTCTCAGAGCCAAGTGCGCTGTGGGGCTGGCACCCCCACTCCTGGGTTGGTCAGCAGCACATGGCCCACCTCATTGTTCACCCACCTCATTGTTTCAGATCAGGATCATCTGGATAAAGAAATTGACAGACTACGGAAACAACTGAAAGTGAAGGTCAGCCGCCTCCTGGAGGCCCAAGGTACTGGGCTGGGGGGCTGGGGGGCTGGGGGGAGGGGCAGGTTGTGTCTAATATCTAACCAGAGACTGGATGGGGAGGGCTGGGGGTGCGGGAAGGTTGGTGGGGCTCACTGAGGAAACTGGTGGGCTTGAGGTCCGAGCCGAAATGCAGAGTGGGTGGCAGCAGCTCTGCAGAAGCTGGAGCGCTCGGGCCACAGAGCCCCGTGACTGCAGGTCCGTGGCGACCCAGGAGCAGATGCACTGCGGAGTTTGATGCCCGTCCTGCCAGCACCTGAAGCGGAGTTTGGCAGCATTCGTGCCACGCTAGCTGCTTTCTTGGGCCTGGCGCCAGAGGCAGCAGTCGGGCAGACGGCGGGAGGCCCGGGCACTGATGGGCTGTTTTCTCCTCCCAGGCAAACCGGAGCTGAAGGGCTTTAACCTGAACCCCCTCAACCAGGACGAGCTTAAAGCTCTCAAGGTCATCTTGAAAGGATGACGTGTGAGCACCGTGGTGGGGAAGTGCAGACCAGTACCCCCAAGTCGGAGGAGTCGGGCAGGGGCAGCTGTTCCTGGAAGCAGCAGGCAGCTCGCCGGGGCTCCCTGCTCAGCCTGTGTTGTGCTGGCCTGCTGGGCGGTGGTGGGAGGGGTCCTCGGCCCACCACCTCAGCCTGGAAGATACTGGACCTATTGATGGGCTCTGGCGGCCACCAGCGGGTGGGTGGGGGCGAGAATGACTGCAGTCTGCACTTGCTGACAATGGCCTGCTGTTCCCGAGGGGCCCCAGCCGGAAGAGGGACAGAACTGGGCTGCCTTCCTGCCTGCCTCGCAGGAGGGATGTTTTGCAGGCAGCACCTGTAGTGGATCTGGAGCAAGCCTGTGCTTCGTGGTCACTGCAGCGGCCGTCTGGGGGTTGGCACACATTCCCCTGCTGCATCCAGGGCACATGTGCCACTTACTGGCTGCCTTTGTGGCCTGGGCTCTGAGTGGGCCAAACCATCCTGTGTTCAAGAAGGGCTCAATAAAAACAGCGAAACAAAGACTACTAGCACTTTCCTCACTGCTGCTCCAGTGAGCACCACCATCCCATCAGCACACCGCCTGTGGACAGTCACGTGACACAGCTGTTAGGACACCACTCGGGACGGACATCCCAGGCGCAGCTTCCTGCTAGTGCGTACTGTGGGAGGCAGTGCTGATGGCTCAAACGCAGGTGGAATTCTGGGACCTGGCTTCTGGGCTGAGGCAGTAGGGACTTCCAGATGCCTGTAAAGCAGGGAGACCCCCATCCCCGGGGGATCACAGGAGCTGGTAGCTGCGGACAGTGGGGCACGGGACCCTCTAAGGATACGGGAAGGGTGGAGCACTGACTTGCAACAATTTCTAGGTTGCCAGGGTGAAGGGGAGCAGGTGTCCCTCCCGTAAGCTGATCCCCTGCATATGAACGTCAAGTGCCCCTCCTGCTCCCCGGCTCAGGGCTAACTGCAGGTGGGGATGCGAGTGGGAGCGGTCCCTGTACAGCCTCTCATAACTTTGGATTTTTAAACCCCACTTAGATATTGTAACAAACCTGAGTGTGTGGACACCCCCTTGTTGTGACTGCCTGGCTCCCCCGCCTTCCAGGGAAGGAACACCTGTGCCGGGGAACCACTTAACCGGGGTTTGCCGGTGCTTTCCTGCTTCATTCCAACCCTCCTTGCTTAACCTAGGCCGGCACAGTGCACTGCTGTACCCAGGAGAGCTGGGGTATCTGCAGGTGGCTTGGGGGAGGGGATGTAGACCGTGAAACAAGCAGCCCTGGGCATCCTGCCTTCAGCCTGAGGCTTTGTTTTGAAAATTTCCAACCTGCAGCAGTGTAGGTGGACGCTCTGTTAAGATCTTCGCCAAGCAGCCCTGCCTCCCCATCCTTACCTCATTCATGCGTCAGCGTCAGAGGCTATGGCCCACTGGTTTTTCACTGGTGGTCAGTGGGTCGGGGCTGAACTCGATGGGCACAGTAGGGCTGTGCCAGGAAGAGAGGACAGGTTTGGGGGCTCAGGACTGCCCTGTGTTGCAGTGAGTAGTCCAGCAGCTACTGCACACAGAGCTTAAGGACAAGTTCCCTGATCCCTGAACCCCTTATTCCTCAAGGACCCCTTTCAGTACTGACCTCGTGAGATGTCAGACTGTAGCTGGCAGCCTCCGCTGCCCCAGGCCGTGGGCCAGAGACTCCAAGACAGGCCTGTTCTCGTTTATTAGACGCCATCTTCAGGCTAGCAGAACCTGCTGCATTTGTCTCCTGGGCCTGACAGCCAGGCCAGTCCATCAAGGTTAGAAACCCATCCAGTCCTGGCGTCAGCTGTCTCCTGGTGCCAAGATGCCTGGAGGTGGAGGGGGGTGCCCAGGCCAAGCAGCAGCTTAGCCAGCACAGCGGCTGCCAGGCCTGTGGGAAGGGAAGTAGGGTGGGAGAGGCCTTGGGGCCCACCCGTGGCCACCGTGGCAGTCAGCTTGAGGATTTCTTCTGGACTTGCAGGGAGTGGAAGAGCTGCCGCAGCTGTGTCTCCCGATCGTTGACGCAGCCTGGAAGGGAAGGGGCCTGTTGGCTGGGAAGGCTGATGCGCTCTACCTGGGGGGCTCCACTCCTGAACTGCCGTGGCCTCCTGAGGGGTTCAGCTCGCTCATCTGTAAACCAGAATCATACACACCCTTTGTGGGGAGTGGACTGAAGGACTCACGTGAACCACAGCCAGCATGGACTAGGGGCATACCTCCAGCTGGGGCTGCTTCTAGTGTGTTCATGTGAATACGCTAGGGACCCCTTGCAGAACTAATGGGGAGAAGACCAAGGCTTATTCAGCATGGTTGTCCTTCGCCTCCAAGTCACAGAGCACAACTAGGAAGTGGACCTGGGCTCCCTGGCACCTCACGCATACTGTTAGCCATCCCCCTGGCTGCCTTTGCTCAGTTCAGCTCCATGGAAACACAGCTGGCACAGCAGCTGGCACCTGGTGAACATTAGTGCCCAATGACCATTTGCTTTCTCTGCTTCTCTGACCCGCGTGCCAGGCACGGTTGGACGAGGACGACTTTTCCCCACTAACGGCCCTTGGTCTCCCGGCAGCTGGCCCGGACAGTCAGTGCTGAGCCACCGCCTCTCCCAGCACACTCCCTCCCTTGCTTCCTATTTATTCCCAGAGCTGATCCTCCAGGGAACTCCATTGTTGTTTCAGCTGGGATGTTGCCTGCATGGGCCTCCAGGGCCACACAGAGAGCTGGAGGTAGCCACCATATTTCCGAGCCTCGAGCCTGGTCCCTGCTCCCTGGGCTCCAAGCCACCAAGAGGCTCTACGCATCTGAGGAGCCACCCTGCACGTCTCCAGGGCTGCCCCAAAGGCAGCGCTGCGGAACCCTGGCTTCACTCCCAAACCTTCACATCCAGTACATGGCCAGTCCTTCTTGTAGTTCTAGACTCTGAAGTTTGCTGATCTTCCACCTGGGTGTGCCAGACCATGTCACTACCTTAGCAATCCTCTTCCTACCTCTGACAGCTCCTCCTGTGCTTAGCGCCACACACTCACTCGGTGGGAAACCTGGGGGTGATTCTAGAAGCTTAAAGCTGCTGCCTGGATCAGCCAACCAGACTGTTGCCTCTGATAGGCGTCGGGTGCACCTGACAGCTCACGGGCGTGTCTGCAGAACAACCTAAGAGCATCACTGCTCTCCCTGTCTTCCTCAGAAGCAGCAGCACCAGCAGCATAGAGCTGGTGTCACTGGCCACAGCATCCCTCCTGTTCTAGCACTCGCCCTGTGCAAGGCCACAGTCCCACTCTGCTCGAGTGTGGGGAGCTGGCCGGGCCCTTCCTCTAAGCTCACGGAGAAAGAATGCAATGTTTTCTCTTTAGAACCCTGTGAGGAAGCCAGGGTTGGTCTGCTGGGCCACATGGAAAGCGAGGCCCCGCACATGTGGATGACATGTGGATGAGGCTGTCCTGGCCAGCAGGTGCTAGGCAGCCCGCCAGTTGGCCTCTTGGCTGTCCCCAGAAAGACCTGGAGAATTCTTGAGCGTAAGGTCATTTTGCACTGCGAGCCTGTGGGAGAGGCCCCACTCAGGCCCCAGCCCCACTCCTGAACAGGGAAGCTGCAAAAACATTAAAGTCTTCCATGGACGCAAGAACTGGCGGTGGGAACATTGCTCACACACTCCCTTGCCTTGCTTTCTGTGGGGTAAACCATTCAATGTCTCGGTTCCCCTGCCACTGGGGCGGCCTTGGGACCCAGTACTGGCCAGCAAGATGCCAGGAGAGGTCCCTGGGAGGGCTTCTATTTGGAAAAGCCACTGACTCCTAGGTCTTCCTATTTCTTCTGCCTGGGACAGGGGCTCAGTGTCTGGAGCTGGAGCAGTCATCTTGACTCCATGAGACTACAAGCAGGACTTACCAACCACGTGTGCAAAGCAGAAAGAGCAAAGGCCTGCCCGAGACTTCCTGTTGCCCCAGAGCAATCACTCCCTCTGGTTCATTGTGGCCCTGAGCTGCCTGCAGCCAAACCCACCTCTAAGTCCTACCCAAAGAGGATTTTAAGAAAAAAAGGAGTCGGGCATTATGGTTCAGTGAGTTAAGCTACCATTCAGGGTAGCTGATTCAAGTCCTGGCTCTCTGTGCTACTGTTGCAGTTCCCTGCTGACAGACCTGAAAGTGGTGGATGAGGACTCCAATAACTAGGTGGCCTGGGTACCTGGCCCGGCTGGAGCCCCAGGCTCCTGGCTTTGGCCTGGCCCGGCCCAGCTGCTGCAGTCATTTGGGAAGGGGACCAGCAGATGGAAGGTCTCTGTCACTTTGCCTTTCCAAAGGAAAAATTGAAAAAGCAAATAGCAAATGACACACTTGGGAAAATACCACACATTAGAGGGGTCTTATCTTTAGCATATTCATATAGAAAGGCCTTATAAACCTAGTTTAAAAAAAAAAATGCAGAGCGCTGGGAAAAATACAAGTGCAAAACACCGAGACATGCTAGGGAGCACCAGAATGCTCGGCCAGCCGGTGAGTCAGCGCTTCTCTCTGTGAGGCCGGCACTGGGGTTTTTTGTTGTTGTTGTTGTTTTCTCTTGACATCCAGTGCTGGCAGGTTTATACAATCTTTCTGGAAAGCAGTTTGGTTGCAGTGAGTTTGCTTTTGACCCAATCATTCCATTTCTAGGAATCTTGTCCTAAGGAGATCATCAGAATTTTAGGAGAGCTTGATGTGTGAGGATGTTCATCGCAGGGATTATTTATAGAAAGTGTAAAAATCCGAGTTAGGGCAAACATTCAATTGTGAGGAATTGGTGTGGTCCTCTGCTGGGGTGCATAGGCTCTGGGGGCTCATGATTCAGAACACCGAGACATCATGCTCCTTGCCTGGTAGACGGCACTCAAATCTGCGCCAGGTGAAACGAGACCGTGGACTATTGGGTCAATACCTGGCCACAAAGCACCCCAAAAAGAGAAGGCTCCTGTTACTATTCTAGCGTGTGGGAAAGGGGGACGATCTCGTGAAAATGTGTGCAGATTTGAAACAAGGAAGGAAATACATCAGATGTTGAAGATGGTTACATCTGGGTGTTGTTTAAAAATTATTCCCTGTTTTGAGCCCAGCACAATGGCTTGACTGGCAAATCCTCTCCCTTCAAGTGCCTGTTCCACTTATGATCCAGCTCCCTGCTCGTGGCCTGGGGAAGCAGTGGAGGTCCTTGAGTCCTTTGGACCCTGCACCCATGTGGGTGACCTGGAAGAAGCTCCTGGCTTAGGACCAACTCAGCAATGGCTGTATTAGCCACTTGAGGAGTGAACCTGCAGATTGAAGATCTTTGTTTTTTCTTCTCTCTGTAAATCTGCCTTTCCAATAAAAATAAATCTTTAAAAAATTATTTTCCCTATTTCATTTTCAGATACTTTATAATGATTGTGAATGATTTTTATAATCAAGGGGAAAGTCACTTCAGGCACCAGATTTAAAGTCAAGCCCTGAAATCCTTCATTTCTCTTCTCCTGAGGCTTTTCATCTGTTTTCCATCCACACCTTTCCAAATCCCCTTCCTGACAGTCATGCCTGCCTGTCTCCGCATGCCAGGCCGTGTTCTAGATCCCAAAGAAAGTGCCTCATATCTACCCACAAGAACAGAGGCTGCATCCCTCACCCAGGGTCACACGGCTCACGTACTGCAGCCATCATGCCTGACGTCCACTGACTGCACATACCCAGGTGTGTGTTGGTCACGAAGTTGCCCATGGGGTCTGGAGCTCCCTCCTCCCTGCTGACAGGGCCGTCGTTCCACATGAGGTCGAAGCCCCCGACTCGCTTCTCTCTTCCTGTGAGTCTAGATGGGCAGGGGACCTGGGGTTAAAGGTAGTGCACCTGCTGGGGCCTCAGGCCCCCAGTCATCACCTCCCAAAACCCGTGAGCACCCACCTGGCCAGAGCCCTGCCAGGGCCTCCCCATCATAGGCTATTTGCCAGATCTGCATCTCTCCAAGACTCCCCTGCCTGCCCTGGGGACTGGTGTCTAGGTGTATTTTAGCATGTCACCTTCCCCTTTCAGGACAGAGGCTCTGTGAAGCCAGGACCAGTTCTGTTCTTTACCGCACCTCTGTGGCAGGTACTCATGCATTTATCAAATGAATAAGTGTTTCTAGGGATACTGTGAGCCCGAGGGCTCTGTCTTCTCTGCATCCCATGTACCATCTTGGGAATCTTGGGATCCAAGGATACCCCAGCTTTACCTTTGAGAACCATTCCTCCGTCTTCACTCATGGAACTCCACCCACTGGGAGGTGGGCACAAGACCTCATTCAATTGTTGGGGTGGGCGCAGGGTCAGACACATGGCTCAGTCCCCAATAACAAGAAGTCACCTTCTGCTTTCTGCTGGAATGACTGGGGGTGAGCCAATGTGGGGGACAGAGAGAGGGACAGGCCCAGTGATCAGCCCATCCTGGACATCAGGAGCCTAAGCTTTTCACGATGAATACCCACAACAGCGACAAACCATCTCTTACTAAGCACCTGCTGGGGGGCCTGGCTGCTTACAATGAACTCATCTTGATACACTCACACACACACTTCCCACATGACAGATGAGGAAACAGACTCCGCGAAGCGAAGGGGCAGGGCAGGGGCCCACAGGCGGGAGGCCTGCTGAAGTCCTGCCGAGGCCGCCCACTCACCTGGCCTCCATGTCCACCACATGCAGGGTGTCCTCCAGGAGACATGTCTTGAGCTCGTAGTCCTCTTGGCTGCTGGCTGTCAGTGATGGGGAGGCATTGACCTCCAGGAGCCACCTGAGAAGGAGGGAGGACATGAGCTTTGGGGTACCTCGGTCCCATTGGGGTGAGGGGTGGGTGGAAGGGGAGCACAAAGAGGCTGGGTGGGGTGCCTGGCCTGATGAGTTCAGCCACACAGTTCCCTCCCCATCTCCATGGGGGAGAGGCAGCTTATGATAGAGTGTTTGAGCGGCCATGGCATCTTAGTGCTGCCACTGAGTCCTCTTCCTCCCACAGAGCTGTGAGTGCAAGGAAAATTCCTTCCCCTAAGGAAGGTTTGCCTGTGGATGGTAACTACCCTGTGATATCAGGGGCCGGGAAGGCAGCAGGGAGGGATGGGGACTGTGGTGAGCTGAAAAGGATATTCAATGTCTGAAGGAATGGCGGTGGCCAGCTCCTCCAGGATTGCAAGATCACCTAGCTTTCCAACCAATCTTCCTTGTTGTGGCTGTGGAGTTTGATGTAAGCATCTCCCAGGGCCCAAAACAAAGTAGCAGCAGGGCAAAGGTACACTGAGGGCATGCAGCTGGTAACCTCCTCTGGGTGCCCCCAGGAGGCTGGGCTTGGAGAGCCCAGGCCTTGCCACGGGCCAGCAGGGCCCAGGGCTCCCCTTCCATTCCCTCTTCTTGACCCCTCAGTGTTCACCCTAGCACCTTGTGACAAGCGGCCAATGGGAGAGGCACTGAACTGGGGCCAGCCTGAGGTCTTGGGCCCCTGTGACGTCTGGCAGCTCTGAAAGCCTCCCAGCACCTGCGTGGTAACCCAGGGCAGGGAGCTCAGCTCCTGCAAGGCGGCAGGACTGATGGGTGCAGATAGGCCCAGGGGTCTCGCCTCTGCCCTTGACTTTGAGCTCCTGAAATTGCTTAATGAACTTTTACATCCTGTTGTATCACAGGAGGCCCTGTAGTTCCTGCCAGCTCAGTCTCCTCTATGGCGTTGTGGGGAAACAGGGCACTGCCTTCTGGGAATACTGTTGTGGTGCCCCATTCTCCAACACAGCACTGTGTGTCATGCAGAATGCCAACTTAGAGAGGGGAAGCCACTTGCTTGCTGCCAAAGGGGCGCCCCGGACCCAGCAGATGACTGGGAAAGTGCTCCCTTGTGGCTTCTTAAGGCAGGGGCACAATGGCCACGCATGGTCACGTATCTACCTTGGGCTCCCTCTCAGCTGTTCTCAGGCCTTGGGCCTGCTCCTCCCTGCTGACCTCCAAGTCCCAGTCAGGCCCATCCTGGACTCATTCTGCAGATGGTTGCTGCCCAGATCAAGGAGGCATGCCCAGGGTCATGCAGGCAGAAAGTGGCAGTGCTGGGATCAACCCCGGACAGTCTGGATGCAGAGCGTGTGAAGCATGGCCACTTACGGCTTGAGGTCCTGGTCGATGAGGATGTCATAGCCGTAGAGCTCAAAGCAGTGCTTGTCGCTGATGATGACCTTCTGCACGCTCTGCAGGCTCTTGATGAAGATGTTATCCATGTCGCTGAAGAGCCCCTCCACTGCCTCGGGCCCGTGTTTGGATGCCAGGTACTGCCGGAAACGCTGCAGCATCCACTTGCAGCCCTGTGGCAGGGGAGCCACGATGGGAAAGAGAATCCACATTTAGCCAGAGGTCCCCTACCTGCTGAGAATCCTGGGAGCCACCTGCCCCACCCTGAGGCTCGGACAAGAGGCCCTCAGCCCCAAGTTCCATAATTAGGATAACTCCAGGTATACCCCCTCTTTGTGGGATAAAGGTCCCTGGGGAGCCCAGCATCCCTGCCCATGTGGCCTGCACAGGGCTCCTCCCCAAGGACCTGTGGCACTGACCACACGTGCATCCCAGGCTGCTGTTGGAGGGAGGGTGTGTGCATCTGCTCCTGCAGTGGGTGGAGCCAGGGGAGGGAAGAGGAGGAAGCAGCTGCAGGTGCAGCGGGGGGGCCTGAAGCCTGAGAAGCCTGAGTATCCATGCACATGGCCTGGCAGGTTATTACAGATTAGAGCAGTAGATGGATGCTCAAGTGAACAAGACACATCATCCAACTGAAAAACGGGCAAAGAAGTTGCACACATGGATTCCCAAATAGGTTTTCATAACTATCATTCATAGCTTACAGCCTTCGTATGTCTAGATGCCCAGACAAATGGACCTTCAGGGCCCCATTCATGGCAAGGGTGGGCCAGCTTTCACAGGAGACCCAGAACCTGCCAATGCCTGTTCCCGACAATCACTCTGCCCTTCCCAGTGTCAGCTCAGCGTGCTCACCTTCTTGGGGTGGTAATCAGGCGACGTCTTCTGGACGGCAACATTGGTGAGGTGGACATCTGGCAAAGGGTGGCAGTCAAGGGCTCATGCAGACAAGAGAAGCAAGACCCCACGTCCTGACCCAAAGTCCTCAGGGCCTGCAGCAGGGACCTCAGTGCCGCTCCTCGGTCCACACAGCCCCTTCACACACCTCACCCCTCTTGTTCCATCTCACCAATGAGAACGTGGAGGTGCTGAGAAGTGATAGCTGTCCAGAATAAACCCTTTGCAACATCCTCCCTCCATCACAAACAGGAAGGACCCCCACACCTTATTGGAGGACCAGAGATATAGCTTCATTCAGGGCCCATGCAGCTGGAGCTGTCCTCCCTCGGGCAGCTGGGGTTCAAGGTCTGGCTGAAGCCTGATTCCCTGAAAGCACGCGTCTCCCTGCTCATTCACATGGGAACATGGGTCAGAGCACGGGGTGCCAGCCTCACTGGAGAGTAGTGTGGCACCAGTTGCGAAGAATTCACCTTCCCTTTCTTCCACGTTGTCTGCATGAGTTCTAAAAGCAGCAGTATGTGACAGCTCCCCCAGAAGAGAAGGAGGCCCGGCATCTGGCCAGGTGATTTCTGAGAAGGTAAATTCAGAGACACACTGGGATATCCCTGAGCAAAAGCATAGAGTGGGACCCCTTCCTCACACCACAGACAGATATGAACTCCAACTGGACCAATCACTTGCAGTGCTATACAACTGCCAAAAGGGAAATTTAGGGATAAGTTGTTGTAACCTTGGGGTGGGCAGAAGTTCCTAGCTGTAACACCAAAAACACGAGCCAGGAACGAAAAAATCAATTCAACTGTATCCGAATTTAAAAATGTGTATATCATAGGACATTTTGAAGAAAATGACTAATATTCAAAGAGGAGGAGAAAGTATTTGCCAATCATGAACCTGATGAGATACATTAACCAACAACTATAAAAACAAAACAAAAAAACACTCTTGTAAGCCAACGAGACATGTTATCCAGTTTAAGAATGAGCAAAGAAAAAAAAAAATAAAGAATGAGCAAAGAGTTGAACAGGCGGGTGCCTGACCATCAGGCACTTGAGATTGCACATCACCAGAGGGACACCACTGGGTACCTGCCAGGATGCCTGCAGTAAGCAGAGATGAAAAGAACCGCTGGGGAGAACCTGGGGATGCTGGCACCCCTTGAGAACACTGGGGGACATAGGGGAACCGTGCAACACTGCAAAACAGCTTGGTGACTCCTGGAAAGGTTGACCATGGAATCAAGATGGACATTTGGCCTGGCAATTACAGTACTGGTTGGTATGTCTACACCCCACAGTGGAGTGCCTAGGCTTGACGCTGGCTCTGTCCATTTGCAGTTGGTGGCCAAAGCAGAGTTTAGGAGGTGGCAGCAATGGTTCAAGTCATTAGGTTAATCCTGCCACCCCACATAAGGGCCCTGGATTGTGTCTCCAGCTTCCCAGCTTCAGCCGGGCCCAGTCTGGCCACTGAAGGCATTTGGGGAGGAATAGCAGATGGGTATATACAAGAAATATGCTGGGCTTGGTGCAGTGGTATAGCCTGCAATGCCTATGCCCATGGTGCCAGCATCCCATGGTGGTGCTTGTCCCAGTCCTGGCTGCTCCACTTCCTAAGTCTAGCTCCCTCCTTGTGGCCTAGGAAGGCAGTGGAGGGTGGGCCAAGTCCTTGGGCCCCTGCACCAACATGGGAGATCCAGAAGAAGCTCCTGGATTCAAACTAGTTCAGCTCCGGCCATTGTGGCCACTTGGGGAGTGTACCAGTTAAGGGAAAATCTTTCTCTAACTCAGCCTTTCCAATTAAAAACAAACACGTAGTGCTTGTGTGGGGTGAGCGGCACATGACACATGTTCCCTCCTGAGCCTAGAACACATTCCTGTATGAAAGGTCCAATTACATTGCAACAATATATATATGACATATAGCCCAGTGAGCTGCTGCTTCAAATGTCAGTGGAGGGACACCCTGGCAGAGCGCTTGAGCTTGGCTTCAGATGAGGCCGTTATGAAATCTTGGGCAGGGACAGGGGCGTGGGCTGGGAGGGAGAAATCTCTCAGCTGAGAAAGGGACATCCTTGGAGGCCAAGGAGCCGACCACGTGGCCATGAGGCTAATCAGATGCACAGACACAGAAGTGAGCTTGCTGGGGGCCCTGCAGCAGACGGGCCAGTCCCACGTTTTCCACGTGGAAATCTCACTTCAATTGTTTAACAAGAAAGCATCATGCCTCTAATAAAGAAAGGCTACAAAAAAAAGACAAAAAACATAGCCAGCTCAAGACCATCTGGGAAAAAAATGATCAAAGTTAGGAATCAGAGATACAGTTTCAAAAGGATGCAAATTAGGGGGAATTGTAAACAGTGAGGGATACATCTTCTGAGGCAGAACTCCCATCAGTTTGTTTTATATGTAAACTGCTTCATTGGGGAAAATACAGAACTCACAGCATAGTGGCGAGAATTGAGCCATGAATGGTCGGTTACACACGCTTCCCCCCAGCTGGGCAGGTCGTCTGAAAAATGGCCTTTGCAAAATGGCTGGCCCCAGGACTGGGAAGCTATGGTGAACTGCACGATGCACATGCAGGAGGTAAATGCGTCAAGGACTTTCAGAAAACCACCTGGCCAGATGCCCCTGACCAGAGTTCTAGCTGACACCTTCCAAGGGAAAAAAACATTAAATGTGGTAGAATCAAAACAACACAATTTTTTTTTTTTTTGGCAATGTTGTCACACTAGCAAGAAACTTACTATCTCCCCAAATGCCACGTCAAATCAATACACTGGAATATAACAATAGGAAAAAAAGGGGTTCGGGGGACCTGACGTGACAGCTCAATTGGCTAAGCCTCCCCTTGTAAGCTCCGAGATCCTATATGGGCACCAATTCTTATACCGGCTGCTCTACTTCCTATCTGACTCCTGGCTTGTGGCCAGGGAAAGCAGTAGAGGATGGACCAAAACCTTGAGACCCTGTGCCCACATGGAAGACCTGGAAGAAGCTTAAAATCAGCTTAGCTCCAGCTATTGCTACTATTTGGGGAGTAAACCAGTGGGTGAAGATCTTCCTCTCTGTCCTTCACATAAAAATACATATATATATACATATATATACATATACATGTATATTTTCTATTTTTGTGATCCAATTATTACTTTAAGATTTATTTTTATTGGAAAGACGAATATACAGAGAGGAGGAGACACAGAGAGGAAGATCTTCCCTCCGATGATTCACTCCCCAGGTGGCCGCAACAGCTGGAGCTGAGCCAAGCCAAAGCCAGGAGCCTCTTCCGGGCCGCCGAAACGGGTGCAGGGTCCCAAAGCTTTGGGCCGTCCTCGACTGCTTTCCCAGGCCATAAGCAGGGAGCTGGATGGGAAGTGGAGCTGCCGGGATTAGAACCGGCACCCATATGGGATCCCGGGTGTACAAGTCGAGGACCTTAACCACTGTGCCCCAATTATTACTTTTTTAAAAGACTTATTTTTAATTTGAAAGGCAGATTTAGAGAGACAGAGAAATCTTCCATCCGCTGATTTACTCCCCATATGGCCACAATGGTTGGAGCTGAAGCCAGGAACCAGGGGCTACTTCTGGGTCTCCTACATAAGCTGTAGAGCCCAAGGACTTGAGCCTTCCTTCACTGCTTTCCCAGGCCATAAGCAGGGAGTTGGATGGAAAGCAGAACAGCTAGGACATAAAACAGTGCCCATGTGGGATGCCAATGTAGTTCACTAGTCACTACTTCTTAAATTTGTTTACTGATTTGAGAGGGAGCGAGAGCTCCATCCACTGGTTTGCTCCCTAAATGTCCCAGTGGCCAGGGTCACACTCATCCCAGGCCTCCCAAGTGGCTGGCAGGGACCCCATCCTCCGAGTTACCCCTGCTGGCGTCAGGAGCCCGAGCCACACACGGAGCCCAAGGACTCAAAGGTGGGAGCATCCTGACTTCTAAATCAAACATTTTAACAGTTTGTATGTAATACCCGAAACATACATGAATATGGACGGTGCACGATTCTCTGCAGTCACCTTTTCTGCAGTTTTTATTAGTATTTTAAGATTAAAAAATTAAAAACCAATTTCAAAGAAGGGGTAGAGAATGCTAGACATTTTCTCCACAAGGAAACAGCAGACGTTGTTAACTGGAAACTGACCCTGGGAGAGAGCTGCGTATGTAAGGAGCCCCCGTGCTGCCAGAGAGGCACAGCACGAGCAGGTGCTGAAGGGTCGCTCTGGGCAGACACTGCTCTGTGCACTTCTCATGTAATATTTAATTTTTAAAACATGGCAATAAGACCAAACTCAACCTGATAACCTGCACGCCATTACAATCACTGAAGACAAGAAGCTTCCTGGGAAGTGAGGCACAGATAGAAAAAAAGAAATTGTAGAAGAAAAACAATAATATTCAGAGGGGCTGAATCCCAGCCTCATAGGAGGCAATGTAAACGGCACGACCTTGGTCACACACATAACTGAATGATAAGGAGGCAGGCAGGGGGCGAGGAGAACCACCCTGGCTGGGAGGCCCACGCCTGAAGCGGGCCAGCAGCACCTGCCATTTCCATGTGTAAATCACTCCCAAGATGCCAAAGACAGAACTGCCCTTTGAGCTCCTGAGTCTGTGTGGACTATTTACCCATTTTTCATTTTTCATTTTCTTAGAGGCTCAGGTCTAAACATCTTACAAACTTCATAAAAAATGTTTATATTTCGACAAGATTAACAAACTCAGAGTTCAAAAAAAAAAGTACAAAAACAGAAAAGGAAGCATTTCCCCACCCACTCATTTCTGCCAGAGACAGCTTCTATTTCTAGTCTTTCTAGATAGAAAGGCTTTCTCTAGAGCGGCCTATGCAGAGACGCCAGCGGGGATCAGAGCATACCTGTCGCACCATCCTGTGCTTTCAAGGTTTTACTTCCAAATCAACAATGCCTCTTGGAACCTGCCTCCTGGCCACCGTTCCTTGTGCACAGCTGTATAGTAATCCACTATACTAGTGAGCTGGCACATGAGGCTGTGTCAATGAACAACCATGCAGCCTGCTGTGTCCTACATAAATGCCCAGGATTGGGCCATTGCAGGATCAGGGTGATGCCACTGGTCTTTTGATAGACACCTGCCAGACTGCCTCCTGAGGAGCTGGATGTCTACCCCCAAGCCCTGCCCAGTCTCTGTACCAGAACTTCCAGTCTTGCCGATGGGTTAGAGGACAGTGGCACTGTGTGTGTGAATGAGCGGGCGAGCCTGCAAGGAGACACTGAGGACACAAGAGAATGTCAGTGTCCTCCAGGGAGGCTCCAAGGTCCAGTCCCACGGAGGGGAATACACACAACTGCCAGGACTACTGCCAATGCCATTGTCAGAGCAGTCACAGGGGATGGGGTGGCAGGGGAAGGCTGCCCCTTGGGGGGGCCTCAGGGGGAGAGCCCTGGGCCCATCCTGTCCACTCTGCACTCAGGGCTGCAGGGACTGGGAGGAGTGGGTCAACGCTGGGATACACTGGTCATCGATGCTGTTCAGCGTGAAACGGGTGTTGGAGAACCGGGCAAAGCCGTCCCGGTAAAGCCAGGCCCGCAGAGGGATGTACTGTGGCAGGAGAGAGCAAGGCAAAGAAGAGAGGGTATGTGGCTTTTGCAGCTGCTCAACCCCCTTCTTTCCCAGGCACCCCGATTCCCAGGGGGAGGGAGACACAGGAGAATGAATAAGACCCCTAGTGCTCCCCAACTCCCCGGACACCCACAACCTGTCTGTGACGTCTAGGAAAGACAGAGGCCGAGCCTGCTTCAGTCACCCTGTGCCCAGAACCAGGAATGTGTGCACACTTGCCGAGTGGGCTGTGTGAAGGGGTGGTAAGAGGAGAGCCAATTCCTTGGTTAAGAGAGTGGGCCTGGGGCCAGGTGCCTGGATTTGATCCCAGCTCTACCACCCTGGGCAAGTCACCCAACTTCTCTGTGCCTGTTCCCTTTTGCTGTAACATCAGGATAAGAATGGAAGCCCCCTCAATGGAGGACTCAAGGGGAGCACTCCTCTGAGTTAGCAGGTACTTACAGATGACTCAACCCAGGGGCACAGGCCAGGGACAGGTCTGGATGCTGGGTACCCAAGGTACCAGACATACCATCTTGGGTATGCCTGTCTGCCCCAGGACTCATACTCCATGCCCCAGCCTGACCAGTGACTCACCGACATCACCAGCACGTAGACACGCAGGTCGAACTTGCGGCCTGTGAGGCGGAGACAGGGTGAATTCATCGGGCATCAGGCACTGGGCAAGTCAACAAGGCACACATGTGACTCCCTTGCCTTATGGCATTCTGGGTCAAACCATACCAGGTGTGGGAGAGGATGGCTGGGGGCATGCCGGGGAGGGAGGCGGGGACCCACAGGGTAAGGAGCCTGTCTCCGGGTGGGGAGAGGCCTTCAGGCAGGAGGGACCATGTGGACAGAGGCCCTGGGGACACAAAGCACTTGTGCTAAGGGCCAAGTGCAAGGGGACAAAATCCGTGAGGCCAGCAGTGGCTGAGTCACATGTGACCCTCGTGCTTTGTCCCACCAACTACTGCAGAGCTCCGAACTTCTGGCATGGGGGTGAAGGTGACCAGTGCACCCATGGGGGTGGCCCACACAGTGGTTAGGACCAGGATAGATGCCATAGAGGTGGCTGGGCAGCCTCTGGAGACAGGTGGAGAACCAGCTGTGACCAGGATGGAGGAGGGGCTGGGGAGTGAGGCAGATCTAGGTTGGAGTGGGGGGTGGGGTGGTGATGGGAGGCAGGCTGCAGTCTGAACATGGAGCTTGTTGGGTTGGAGTTGTGGGTGGACATCCAAGGTGGATGTCACCAGCTGGTACACATCAAGATCTGGGACCAAAGTCTTGGACTGGAGACAGAATTGGGATGGCGGCCACTTGGGTGGTGACAGTGTGCGGTTGCTGGGGGAAGAGAAAGAAGAGACCTAGGACTGCAGGGGGAAAAGGGGAGGAAGGAATACCACCTGCCAGGCCTGAGAGGAGGCGTGTTTCCACCTGGCCTGTGGCCCTGCATCCTTCTCTTACAGGTGACTGCTAGCCATCATCTGGCCTCAGCCGCTGGGTCACTGCCAGTCACAGGCCTGCCCTGATGCCCACGTCACTGTGCCCCACTACTTATTATTTACTCCACTGACACACGCAGCTGGTTAACGGCTCTGTTCCCTGGCTATGTCTGTCGATGAGCCCACGCTCCGAGAGCAGGGTGGGCAGCAGGCACCTGGGACAGAGGCTGTTACCCAGCACTTTCCTGCATATGTGCACGGGAGAGCTAGGTCTCCACCTCTTCCTGAGCTGCCACAGGCTTGGCAAGGGTGTGGCTGGCTGGAGAGACTGGCACAGGCGGCGGCCTGGAGGGGATAGCCATGCCAGGCTGGTTCCTGTGCCCCTTCATGCCTGGTTGTCAGGCTGGGCTCTTGGCAGCCCTTGCTGGAGGCTTGTTGACCGGCTGACCAAGTGTTGGTATACAGCCTGGGGGAGGAGCCGGCAGCTCACCTCCTATCAGGTAGGGGTTTTCGATGTAACGCTGGGCCACATAGTTCTCTACCGGAAGCTCTTCTTTCTGCTCCTCTGCAGTTTTTACTTCCTGATCGTAAGGACAACCGGCTATTAACATCTGTAGGCACCTGTCGGGTGCCAAGTGTGGTGTGGGGACATCTGTGGGGATCCCTCACCAGGTCCTTCAACCAACTCAACCAGGGAAGTGCTGGTATGTGTCCCACTTCACAAATGAGAGGCTGAAGCACAAGGCAGGGGAGTGAGGTGGGGAGGAGCAGCAGGGAGCCTGCCCAGGGCCACAGAGCTGGTTGGTGGTGGTACTGCTCGGGGAAGGCACCAGAGAACCTGCGTACGTGACCTCTCCACGTGTGCCCACTGTGCTTCAGCCGATTCAAAGTAAGATCACGAGTGTCTGACCTGATGGTTAAGGCATTACTTGGGAAACCTGCATCCCATGTTGAAATGCCTGACTGGAGTTCAGATCTGCTTGCTTTCTTTAAGGTTTACTTATTTTAAACAGAGTTAGAGAGAGAGACGCAAAGGGATAGAGATCCTCTATCTGGTGGTTCACTCCCCAGATGGCCTCGATGATGTGGGCTTGGTCAGGCCAAAATTAGGAGCTTTATCCAGGTCTCCCACACGGGGGTCAGGAACCCAAACACTTGCACCATCTTCTGCTACTTTCTCACATGCATTAAGAGGCAGCTGGATTACAAGTGGAGCTGCTGAGACTCGAACTGGCACCCACGTGGAATGCCAATGCCGCAGGCAGAAGTTTCACCCACCGCACCACAATGATGCAGCTTCCTGCAACTTGCATCCCAGGAGACAACAGATGATGGCCAGCAGGTGGGGGTGCTCTCTGCCACCAATGTGGGAGACCCAGATAGAATTCCAGGTTTCCGTCTTCAGGTTGACCCAGTCCTGTATGTTGAAGATATTTGGGTAGTGAACCAGCGGATGGAAGATTTCTCTTTCCCTCTCTCTCTGTAACTCTTTCAATTAAATAACATACATTTTTAAAATCTCATGTTCCAACACAGATGGAATGGGAAGACGATATGCTAAGTGGATGAAGCCAGACACAAAGGACATCGGGTGCTCGGCGGCACGAGGCTCCCAGGGCAGCTAGCCTGCAGTGGACAGCCAGCAGAATGGAGCCGGGTGAGGGATGGGGACCAAGTCTTAGCTGGGGAAGGTGGCACCATGATCGGGAGCTGGGTGGTGGTGACGGTGTGTGACACGGCTGTGCTGAGTGCAGTGGGAACACATCTCCGTTCTGGCTGGAGTGGCCAGTTCTGCCTGGTATGCATTTTACAATTAGATCCAACAGACAACAGAACTTAGAACCTGTCCCTTCACTGGCACCAGCCAGCCCCATCTGGGGTCTCAGGGTCATGTGGCTGGTGGTCCCCAAGTCGCAGAGGTCAGATATACAGCATTTCCATAGAAATCTGTGATAGTCCTCTACACAGGGTATCTCATACCACCCGCAGGACTCCCACGCCCTATGCAGTCCCTTCTTGTCCATTGCCCTTGTCATAGTATCCATGGGGCGGGAGCTTGGTGTCAGGGATGCTTCCTCCAGTCCCACCCCTCCGCCCAGCTCCTACTCACGTGGCTGCTGGAGAGGGTGATGGCACTCCGAGTAGGCTGCAGCTCCAGGTTGGTGAGCTTCCTCCCAGCAGTGCCCTGATAAAGGCAGGGGAGGAATTGGCACGTGGTGGGCAGTGGGAGAGGCAGTTACCCAGCATTCACTGGTGCATTGGGTACCCCCTGCCCCCCCCCATCACCACTGAGGCTTTGGGGGCTTCAGCAAACAACAAGGACAGGGTCTGGGCAGAGGGACAGCTGTTTCCCCACCCTCACCCCCCACCAGTGGTGGCTCAGTACCCCCTAGGCCAGAGAGCAGCAGACCCAGCTAGAGACCTTGGGACTGTGTGCGTGCCTGCTGCAGGGGACTCACGTGTACTAGCCCACAATGTTAACCTTCAGCAAGTGCCATCCCTACTTTCTGAGGCACCAAGAGCTGGAGAAACCTGTCTGCTGTCACATAGCCACTGGGTGGTGAGGTCGGAGTCTGGATCCAAGGCCTCCTCCTTCCCCCACCCCCTGTAGGGGACAGGCCAAGGGGCAGAGCTGAGGGGAGCAGCGGAGGGCTTGGGAAGAGGGGGAGAGGCACGCTCACCTTCCTCCAGTCCATGATGTCCTTCAGCCTCCGGAAGAGGAAGATGCCCTTCCCCTGGGACCGGGCTACCTGGCATGGGGACAGGCCCCTCAGATCTGGGCGGTCCCTCCTGGCAGGTGCAGCCCCACTCTGATGGTACTAAGCTTGGGGGCGCAGGGAGAGTGGTCAGGAGCCAAGAACGGGGCGGGGGGGGGGCGGTTCACTCACACAGAGATGTACATTTGCATGAATAATGCAAGAGAACAGACAATTAAAAAGCCATTTTAACAGTCCTGGGAACATCTCATCCAGTTCTTTTTTTGGAAATCAATTTGCCTTCCTAATTAGGTTTTGCCTCGGCTAATACTGAAATCAGCTTAGCTTGACTGAACCCTGTACTGCTGATTCCTGGCTTCACTGAGTCTGGGAGCCAGCAGACCTTTCCTACTTTCCACAGGGTGTCCCTCCCTCTGTGGTAGCCACTTGCCTGCATCCCCTCCCATCCCCCACACTGGCACACTTGTAGGGCCAGGAGCTCACGATCCTCTCCCACCCCACACAGTTCCATTTGGGTGCAGAATGGCTTTGCTAAGCAGTGCACAGTCCAGCCAGAAGGCATACAGTCGGTGTCTACTGTGTGCCAAACATTCTGCGACAGATGTAACCCAGGTCTGGGGGATCATTCACAGCTCCACTTAGTGTGCCAAAGTCCATGGTGAGTGGGTCTTGCTCCACCTGCCATGCCATGCACCCTGTGTGTACCCAGAAGACTAGGGGCATAGGTAAGGGCAGCCATGTGGACATGACCATCTTGGGGAAGCACTTGAGCCAGGGCTTCCAGCAGTCCACAGTTCTGCCAAAGACTTGGGCAGGCATTTTGGGCAGGAAGACAGCTCCATGCTAGCATGGAGACAGGAGCTCAATTGAACTGTACCCTTCCGAAGAGCAGCTGGGATTACAGACAGATGATGTCCGAGAAGCCACGGAAACTCACTTGGCTGCTGGAGCATGCCCCACTGGGAAAGCGCTAGGCGGCATCCTCTGCCTTATGACCGGCACTTCCTCTACCATGCAACTACACACCCAGGGACCTGGACACACCCACAGCAGCACTGTTCACATCGCTCCAGCCTGCGTTGGATAAACGCTGGCCCAACCGTCCAGTATTGATGACAACCACCATCCACAGCTTGCAAAGCCTAACCTCCGCCCCTATGGTCAGTATAAACCCTTCAGTGGAGTCACCAAGGACGTCCCAGACCTGCAGGGCTGACCTCAGCTCACAAAGAGTGCATCTAGGACTACAGCACACAGAACTGTGGGATGGTGTGTGATGTGGCCGTGAGCATGCACCTGCCAGCCTCCACCTACAGCAGAGCAGTGAGCCGAGAATGCCTCGGCCTTGTGCTGAGCCCCATGCCGTGCTGATATCCTCACGAGGGGCTGCTTCCAGCCAATGACCGAGCCCCACAGGGAGCTGAAGGATGAGGACCCCAATAGTGACTCCCACTTGAGGCCTCCCTGTGACTGAACTTCTAAGGCCACACAATGGTCTGGGAGCTTCTAGTCTCCCTCCATCCTTCCTTTTCTTGCACCTGATGCTCTCCCAGCCTCTTTCCTTCTTTCCCTCCCTCTTTCCCTCCCTCCCTTCCTTCCTCCCTCCCTCTTCTCCTACAGGCAAAACTGTGGCCGATTCAGGGGTCAGGGCCAGGGGCCAGCAGCACACTGGGTGAAGCTGCTATGTATAGAGCTGGCATTCCATATCAGAGGGCCAGTTCTGGTCCCTGATACTCTGCTTCCACTCCAGCTCCCTGTTGATGTACCTGGGAAGGCAGCACAAGATGGACCAACACTTGGACCCTCTGGAGCCCCTGTGGGAGCCCTGAAAGGAGTTCCAGCCTCCTGGTTTCAATCTGGCCCAGCCAAATGGGGAGTGAATCAGCAGGTGGAACATCTCTGTCACTCTTTCAAGTAAATAAATAAATCTTACCAAAAAAACCCCCTGTATTTAGCCTCATCTTGCCATCTGTTTCTTGGAGGACCCAGATTAAGAGATTTGTGACTGTTTTTCAATACAGTTGCTTTATTTTTAAAACATTTCTTTGAAAGGCAGAATGGCAGGGAGAACAGGAGGGAGGGAAGGAAAGAAGGTGGTGAAGAAGAGGGAGAACCACATAAACTAGGGCTGGGCCAGGCTTAAGCCAGGAGCCTGGAACCCTGGATGGTAGGCACCCCAGTACTCAGGGCATCTTTCACTGCCTCCCCCAAGCGCACAGGCAGCAGGGTGTTGGGGTTCTGATATGGGTACCTTGAGCAACAGCTGAACCTGCTGTACCACAATGCATGCCTGTTATTCTGATGTATTTATGGGTGCAAGGTGACAGTCTGATCCATGAATCCCATAGGTGCTGATCCAGTCACACTCATTAACTCCTCTAGTACTTGGGTCCCAATCACCCATGTGAGACCTGGACTGCGCTTCCAGGTTCTGGCTGGGACCTGGCCCAGCTCTGGCTGTTTCAGCTACTTGAGGGAATGAACCAGCAAGTAAGGGATCTCTGCACCTTTCAAATGAACAACAATTTTTTTTTTTTTTTTAAGTAATGGCTGCAGAGTCGTTTATTAGAGTCTTTCTACTTTTGCACTTTGGATGCTTTTTTTTTTTTATGATTTTATTTTGACATTTTTAACATAGTTAATTAGGGTAAGAAGGTTCAAGGGCTACATGAAAGTGGATAATACTAGTATGTTTTCCATATTGTTACCTTCATGTTTAAAGGGGGTTATTGAAGGGAGAAGGCCCACCCAATTTCCCACCCTCCCCAGGTCCCCAAATGAACAACAATTTAAACACACACACACACACTACTCTGTGACTTTTCTAGGTGCTAAGGAAGGCCCTGGCATAAGAACACTGCAGAAGGCCTCTGGCTGAAGCGCTGTTAGTTGGGGTTTCCATTATGTACAGACAGAAACACCTAGTGCTTAGGCGGGCTCAGTAAGGCCCTGGCTGGGGTGAGCTAGCAGAGTGTCAACATGTGGCTCTTCCTGTCTTGTGGCTTGGAAAGCAGCCCCTGAAGCTACAAGCATCCCAGCAGTCCAACAGGTCCACAGAGCACACACAGAGAACTGTCCCTGGTCAGCCCAGCGGACACACACCAAGACCATCGGGCTCACCCAGCCCAGCCACCTAGCACCTGCCTCCGCGCCACACGCAAGGCTCCAGGAACCCAAGGTGTCCCCAACATCCCTGCCCTGGCCATCTGCCCCATGACCCAGCAGGCCTGAGCTGCAGGGAAGGGACGATGCTCAGAGGGGGAAACCGCTACCATTGATGCAATTGTGATGGCCAAGCCCTGAGATGAGCTGGGGCCTGGTGCTGTGGGGAAGGAGGTCCCCCACAGCGGGGTCTGACTCAGCCCTGTCTGGGCTGCCGGGCTGCCCCTCAAGAGGAACAGGATGGCTCAGCCAGCCACAGGGAGAGAAGTGTTTGGCTGCCCCATGACTGGCCTGGCCACAGTAGCCTTGCAGGGCCAAGGTCACTCGGAATCACAAAGTCAGGCCTTGTGGGAAGAGGCCAAGGACCCACGCAAGTTGGTTTTCCTGCTGTTATCCACATTTAATGTCCACTTAAATGAACAAAAAACTCCCTTTTTGTTCAGATCTACTCTGAAGGAGTAAGATCTCAGAAGGAACTATCTAGTCCAACAGTTTCCAAGCCGTGCACTGGCCGCCTAGGCTGAAGGCTAACCTTGGGCGTCAGCTGCGTGAAGTTCCACTAGCACAGCTGTGTGCACTACCGATATGATTGACAGGTGATGAGCACCTGCTATCACTCAGTGGCCACAAGGATGGCTCGTTCACAAGCACTAAAAAGCAAAAACCTAGCAAAGGGAGAAACTGGCCTCCAGGCCCTAACAGAGAAATCCTGCCAAGCCCACAGCCCCCTGGTCTGCCCTACAGCCTCCAGACCTGCCAGCCCCCACAGCTTCCCAAGGTACCTACCCCCCCTCAGCAGTGATGGCCCCACCCAGACCTGAAGCAGGCTCTGCATTCTAACCAGCTGCCTGGAGATTCAGAAAACCCTAGAAACACTTGATCCAGCGCTTCCCAGGGAGCTGCCCATGCTTTTAGAGGGAACAATCCCAACGCCCCTGATTGGCACCTAGCTGAAAGCCCTCTGTGGGTACTGCCTGACCATACCTTGTCACTACCACGAGGTCACATCCGGGCTGCCAGGTGGGCTAAACCAACTCCATAGCAACAGATGGAGGGGCACATGGATACGGAGGCTTCCACAGGATGAGAACCCCCCAGCGGAAGCACCCTCTTCCCACTCCCCTAGGCGGGGCCCTGTTCTGCACAACCCTCGCACTCAGCCAGGATCCCTCCTCTTAATTACAGCGTTTGTGGCTCACAAAGGCTGTGGGCCGGGAAAGGAATCAACTTACCACGCAATTGCTCATTCCCAATTAGTGTAAATTAGCATCTGCCAGGAGGATAATGCTGGGAGCTGGAGCCAACTCCTGGCGGCCTGCGCTCCATCTGCCTAATCCCCAGCGCTCTCTGCTGTGCCTGTAAGCACCAGGGACCATCCCCCACACCCCCAACTTTCGGACCCAATGCCTGCTGGGAGCGGCCAGTGGAGTTTGTGCCGAGTGGTGTCTTTGGCCAAGCACCTGTGCATCACCCAACACTGGGCTTCAAGAGAGCTGTGCCTTCCAACCCTGACCCCAACCCTGTCCCTGGAGCCCAGAAAACCTAAAGGGGGTGGAGGCATTGATGATAGTATCTGAGGCTGTGTGGCCCGTGGCCTTCTGGCATGTGAGTGACCGGTGGGTGTTCTGCCCTCCACTCAGCTTCTCCATCCTGAGGGGGCTACCTCCAGATGCCAGGACTTTGCACATACAATTCCCTCCACCTGTATGCTACTGCCCACCTCCCTCCATTCTTCTTTTAGGCCAATCCCATGAAACCTGTCGGCGGCAGCTCCATATGGGTTCTTACAACAGGAACAACAGCTCTTATTTCTTGAGTACCTACTGTGTGTTTTACCCACAGTGCCTCATTTCAGTGCCACTACACTAGGCAATGGCATTATAGCTCTTCCCATTCAGCAAACAGGGACACTGGGACCCAGAGAAGTCAAGGCGCCTGCCCAAGGCCACACAGCCAGGATCAGCACCCACGGATTGGGCCGCAGAGTCCGTGCTCCTGCTCCAGGGCAGCCTGCCAGGCCAGGGAGAGCACAGAGCTTTCCACACGGGGTGCCGGCCTCTTCACTAACACTCAGCACCACTACCTGCACGTGTGGCCTGTTCACTGTGGACTGAGGCCAAGGGAGAGCTCAGGGGGTCCCAGGGCCTTTCCAGAAGCTCATGGAGAAGCACTTTGTGATCAAACTGTGTGTACATTTCAAAGCTTTTTGCACCACAAATAAACCTTTCCATTCTGTTTTCGCACCACCGTGTTGAGGTTGCCTGCACTTGTGGATGCCTGGACTGACGGGCTGTCAGTCTCAGCTGGAGAGGTCCCTGCTCGCTTTTATGCCAAGAAGGGAGGCTCTGGGTCTCCACTCCAGGGAGAAAGCATAGGGGCCACCCGAGGCAGGGCCCGCCCTGGGGCCCCAGCACACCACGGCTCCACTCACCGGCTTCATGATCCAGGTGATGCCTGGGTTCTTGCGGAACTCCTCCACGAACAGGTGGTACTCACAGGGCAGCTCGAAGGTTTTGGGGAAGAAGTCGCACTTCGCTGCCTCCGCCTTCCCCACCTCACGTTCCAGCTGCTTTCGGAACCGCTTCAGGTTCTTCACCATGTAGTTCTTACGGGTCAGCTGGGTGGCGGCAGTGGGGCAGACCATGGACCCTCGGGTTCCCGACCTACCATCCCGCGCCCCGCCCCCCAGCCCTGCAGCCTCAAGGCCTGCCGGTCTACACTCACGCCCACTCCACAGGTGAGGATATTAAGGCCTAGAAACCTCAGCCAGTCACCTGGAGTTATTCACCAAGGAATACCACATCCAGAGTCTGACCTGAAGGGTGCCCGGCTCCAAAGTTCATGGGCTTAACTACTCACGTGGGAGACCCGGATGGAGTTCCAGGCTCCTCCCTGGCTTTAGCTCCACCCAGCCCTGGCTGTTGTGAATATTTAGGAAGCGAACCCGCAGATGGAAGATCTTGCTTTCTCCTCCACCCATGCCTCTCAAGTAAGATAAAAAGTGTTCATTCAAAAAAATTATTTGAAAGAGTTAGGGAGAAGGAGAGAGAGCAACATCTTCCACCCACTGCTTCACTCCCAAGGGCCGTAAGGGCCAGGGCTGAGCCAGGCCAAAGCCAGGAGCCTCATCCGGCTCTCTCGTGTTGCGGTAAGGGCCCAAGCACTTGGGCCTTTTCTGCTTTTCCCAGACTATTCGCAGGGAGCTGGAGGAGAAGTGGAGCAGCTGGAACGCAAACCAGTGCCCAAATGGGATGCTGGGGTGTTGTAGTCTGCAGCTTTACCTGCTACCTCACAAAGGTGGGCCCAATAAATAAACTTCTACATTAGCCACTAGGCTACTGTGCAAACTTCCTCCCCCACTGGCTCCTTCTGGACCTCTGTCTTTAGATCTCAAATCCCCCCACCTGTTTCTCCCAAGACCTGTAGCTCCCCAGGCACCTGCTTCTTCAGTTCCTGAACCCTCACCACCCCCAGCAACCTGCCAACCAGAACCCCCACTGAGGACAGTTGGCTCCTCCTCTGGGCTGGGGGTTCCTGCTCTCATGCCCCAGGGCCCTGAGGGGGCTCACCTCACCCTCAAGCCCCAGGGCCCTGAGGGGGCTCACCTCATAGTGGTTCCGGAAGTGACTGATGCGCACGTGCTCATCCATGTAGGTGTGGTCAAAGTTCTCTCGCAGCCAGCTGACATCACACCAGTAGAAATCCCACTCCCCTTCACTGTGGGAGGGAGGACATGGTCACGGCCACAGGGCCTTGCTAGCCGCTGCTGGGCTCCCAGGAGGACATAGGAGGGCATGGGGGTCATGGGCGGCCACCAACTGCCTGAACTTAGTTAGGCTGAGAATGAAGGCTAGGATCAGGTGCCCATGAAAATCCAGGCAGCTGTCTTACCTTGAACCAGCAGCAGGTGTGGCCATGCTACATCTCCAGGGCCTCTGGGCCTATCTGGATGGGGCTGGGAGCAGACCTCAGCCCGCATCCCTCGTCCCGCACACCTCAGCCAGCCTCACCTGCTGCTAGCAGCCCAGCCACCTGTGCAGCACCCGGAAGGGAGAACTGGCAAGCCCTTCATGCAAGCGAGGTCCTTGTGGATCCCTTGGATCAATCCCTGGGATGGCCATGGTCATCCGTGAAGCTCTTGGAGAGGACGGCCTGGCTCAGGGTGGGCACCAGATGCACCAAGACCCACCCATGCTCCTCTGGCCTCCAGCTCTCAAACCTTTTTCCGTCACCATGCCAGGGAGAGGGGACAGGAACCCAGACCCAGCCACTGAATCTGGGTGCGGCTGCTGGGGTGCAGGGACCAGGAGTTTGGAAAAGATGCCATAGGAAATGAAATGGCTCCAATTTGTTTGTTTGTTTGTTTCCAAGTTAAAAATGACTGCAAGTGAAGGCCTCTGCATTTTTCTCTGTGTCCCAAGGGACAGCACTAGTGGGGGCCTGGCGCACCGTGTCTATGCAAGCCCCCATGGCATTCCTGCGTGTGCACATGCAGACACTGCACTCAGCACCATGCGGCATGCTTTTGGGCTTTCTGGTTGCTCATACTTATGGTTTACCCTGTGCTAGACCCTGCTTCTGAGCACTTTACAAATGTTAACTCATGGGGCAGAGTGATGACTCAATTGGCTAATATTCCACCTGCAAACTCGGGCATCCCATATGGGCACCAGTTCATGTCCCTGCTGCTCCACTTCCCATCCAGCTCTCTGCTTATGGCCTGGGAAAGCAGTAGGGAATGGCCCAAAGCTCTGGGACCCTGGGACCCTGCACTCGTGTCAGAGACCAGAAGAAACTCCTGGCTTCAAATCGGCTCAGCTCTGGCTGTCACAGCCATCTGGGGAGTGAACCAGCAGATGGAAGCTCTCTCTAAATCTGCTTTTCCAAAAAAAAATATAATAATATATTTTATGTATGCCACCCTAAGAAGCCGCAAGAACCTTCTGTGGCTGATTTGTGCCCATGATTGCTGGGTAGGGAGGCAAAGATGCCCCAGCACGGCTGCTCCTCATCCTCACTGCGACCCCCAGTGTTACAGAGAGGTACTCTACTCCTGGTCCACCGGAACTGACAGCCTCGTGCCACGCTGACTTAGCAACGAAGCTTTTTTCTCTCTCTTTTTAAAGATTTATTCATTTTTTTATTGCAAAGTCAGATATACAGAGAGGAGAGAGAGAGAAGATCTTTCATCCAATGACTCACTTCCCAGGGGGCCTCAATGGCTGGAGCTGCATCAATCCAAAGTCAGGAGCGCAGAGCCTCTTCCAGGTCTTCCACCCAGATGCACGGTCCCAAGGTTTTGGGCCATCTTTCACTGCTTTCCTGGCTACAAGCAGGGAACTGGATTGGAAATTGGGCTGCCAGGATTAGAGCCAATGCCCATATGCAATCCTAGTGCGTGCAAGGTGAGGACTTTAGCCACTAGGCTACCACGCCAGACCCTCTCTCTGGAATTTTCAGGACACCATTTAAGTAGCTCCTCAGTTCCCAGGGTCTTCTCAATGTTGCAATCTTTACTTGGTGGGGCGGGAGGAGGGAGCTTCGGTGATAGAAGACGAGCCAAGCCTCACTTTGAACTCCAAGGCTGGGGGCATGGGGCAGGGAGAAGAGCTCTGTGTCGCTTGCCGGGGGCGCTGTGTGGGACAGCTCTGTAACTGTCGCAAGCTTCACGGTACACCATTTAGAAGGGTAACAGCCATGTCCTTATTCTCATGTAGACCGGAAAGCAAGCAGACGTAGGCAACAACCCCGCCATCCCACAGACAGTATGGCACGTTTCTTTAGTTCAGTTAAACAGTGAGTCGGTCTTGAGGAAAATCTAAACAGCACATGCCCCACACAGATGGCGAGGCACGAGGGGACCGAACGGCGGCGGAGTCAGGAAATACCCACTTCTCCATGGTGCCCTGAGTTATTCATGAAAACCTGGGGCCTGGGCTGTCTCCAGACTCCCTGTGCTTGGGCTGCTGCCTCAGGCACAGCAGGGCTACTGACTGCCTTCCTTCTGCTGGTGGCAAACTGCCGGGGGCCAGGCACAGAGCCGCTGTGGACGCTTCACTGGTGGACTGGGACCTTGTCCAAACGCTTCATTGCTCTTTGCCACCTCGAGGCCTTCCTGGAGCTGAGGTGATGCCACGCAGGGACCAGCAGCCCTGAGCCAAGAGCCCGGATTCAGGTCCTGCCTGCTGGGCGGCTGTGCCGTCCTCTCTATGCCTCAGGTCTTCTGGCCATCACAGTGGACTTCAATAAGCAGAAGTGATCTTAGCAGCCAGTGCCATGGGTCAATTAGCTAATCCTCCACCTCCAAGCGCTAGAATCTCATGTGGGCACTGTCCCAGCTGTTCCTCTTCCTATCCAGCTCCCTGCCTGTGGCCTAGGAGAGCAGTTGAGGACTGCCCAAAGCCTTGGGACCCTGTACCTGCATAGGAGACCCAAAAGAAGCTTCTGGTTTCTGGCCTGGGAATAGCTTAGCTCCAGCCGTCATGGATATTTGGGGAGTGAACCAGCCAGTGGGAGATCCTTCTGTTTTTCCCTCTTTCTGTAAATCTTCCTTTCCAAGGAAAACAAATAAATACTTTTTAAAATAAAAGTGATCTTTAATACCTGAATGGCTAGGGGGACAATGTCACTTTGCAGAAGAATGCCACGTCATAAATGGGGCATGACTGAGAGTCACTGCTGTGGCCGCAGGGATAAAAACAGCAGATCCAGGCAAGGGTCCTCTAAGATGCTGAATCCTTGGTGTTCAAGTTTGTTGATGCTGGTGCCACTGGTGACACCAGTGTCTCATCGTGGATCACCAGTTCAAGTCCAAATGCTTGGACCGCAGCATCTATGTGGGAGACTCGGATGATGCTCCTGGCTCTGGTTTGTCCCAGCCCTGGCCGTGGCGGCCATTTGGGGGTCGAGCCAGAGGATGGATCTCTCTCTACCTCTCCCTTTCTGTAATTCTTTCAAGTAAAAGGATAAATCTTTTTCCAAAAAGAAAGAAAGAAAGAAAGAAAGAAAGAGAGAGAGAAGGAAAGAAAGAAAGAAAGGAAGAAAGAAAGAAAGAAAAAATGAAGTTGACATGCTGTTGATTAGAAAGATTCAGGTCTAAAAACATAGTAATAAGGCATCAAATGACAAAATAGCTTAAAAACGTTAGGGAGTGAAGGCATGCGGTTTTGAGAGACCAAGCTCTACTTCAGTTTTCTCCAGGGCCTTCTCACCACCATCTCACTCAGAGCCCGCCTGAGCAGGGAGCCTGGGGAAGGCTCTAGCATCACCAGCAAGCAGCAGACAACTCGGGGTTGTGAACTGGCCCAAGGGCCCTGGAGCACTCGGGGGAAGGTCTGCATGGTGAACAAACGTGTGAGCAAAGAACTCGCCCCGTCTCCCCTGTTGCTCCCTGTGCACCCAGGCACCAAAGGAAGCCTCATCTGATACCGGGACTAGCAAGATCATGATGGAACCAAGGAGGCAGATCCCTGGCAAGAGCCATGATCAGCGACATTCTCATGATCATATTCTCTCCAGATCCCCAAGACAGGATTCCACCGTCTTGGATTCTCTGTGTCCCAGCTTGTCCTGGAAAGTCAGCCCCTAATTTCCTTGCACAATGGAAATGGTGTGCGGCTCCTGCTGGACCCTGGCAGTGGGTAGCATTCTCTCTCTCATTCCTTTACTCACTGAGAGGCCATGAGCATTGGGCAGGGGATGAGCTGGATAGCGAGGCAAGGTGCCAACGCTAGGCCGCACCCCTACAAGCTGAGAGGCTGCAAGTGGGATATTTTTTTCCCACCACTTTGTGTCCAGTTTTCTCATTGGTAAGAGGAAGACACTGATAGCGTGGATCTGGATGATTGGCTGGCAGGAGTGAAGGACATTGTGCAGGTGAAGTGCCAGAAAGAGTGCCAGAAAACAGGCTCAGTGGTTGGTATGAGATAAGTCAAAAAGTTCATGCAAAATGGAATTTTAAAATGCAATCAATTCTGACTTAAAACCATTCTGAAGTCCACGCATATTTTCCCTAGACCCCTCTTGACATAGATTTCAGAGGTTTTGTTTGTTTGTTTGTTTGTTGCAGCAAATTAAGCTTAGTGTTTAACTCCATTTTCCACGAACTGTTGGAACCACACTCATGACCACCAAGCTCCTCGGCAAGGCAGCCGGGTCCCTCTTACATCCCATGTCTCTCTCCCCCTTCTCCTACCAACAGAATCCTCAGCCTTTTCTGAAATGAACACATTGTGCAGTCCCTTGCGGCTGGTTCCGTTCCAGCCAGCGAGTCCTGAAGGGCTCCTGGGTTACGTTCTCCTGGGCTGGGACAGGGGAGCGGGAGGGGCGTCTCTTCTTACATCCTAGGGGAACTCACCGGGGGGACAGGAGGGCAGGGCCTCATTCAAGGGAGTGCCACTTGGAAAGATGGAAACAGATTAAGAGATGCTGCCTTACTCCTCTGAACTCCCTGTGTGGCCTTCCAAGGGACAGAGAAATTGCCTGTCAAAGCCTGTTTTACTCTGCGTCTCCATTAAGTGACTCTCAACCCGACTGATAGAAGCACTCGAGCTAATACAAGCACCTGCTGTGCAGCACACATTGTACCTTGATTTATCTTTGCATTCCCAGAGCCCAGCATGTGCGCACACACACAAATGCAGAATTTGGGGTCAAGAGCACACAGTGGCCAGGGGGGCTATGGTCCTGGGTCCACTACTGGAGAATTCAAGCCAGTGAGGGGACAGTAGCTGCCTTCCTTGTTTCTACGGAGAGCTGCAGGATACTGGCTATGCTGTAGCTACACTGAACTGGGCTTGGGTCCCACTCCAAGCCTTACATGCTGGGTGACCTTGAAAATCAGGCTTAGAGATTCTGAATGTGAGCCTGGCTCACAGGATGGCAATGGGGCTTTAAGAATGATGGCATTGGTAATGTCCCTGACACACTGAGACTAGACAAACGTCATAGCCATTTTGAGTCTCAGTGGGCTCCTGGGGAACGCTGGGAAGAAGGGGTTGGGGAAGCAGTGGGTGTCTTACTCCTTTACTTCCACCCATCCTGGCCTGTGGCGAAGGACATCCATGAGCGTGTTCATGAGGGTGGTCTTGAACCGGATTGATGCTCTCTGCTCTCTGCAAGACAAGACGGTGAGCGGAACACAGCTCAGCATCAACAATGTTCTTAGCACGGCCCAGGGGTAGGAAAGCAGGAGCGAGGAAGGTCAGTCAAGTTCTACAAAAACAGAATTAGTGCATTTCACCATTCATCATCCCAGTGTGACCACACCCAAAATAATCAACTTGAGGATTACAGAATCTTGAAATGATTAAAATGGCAATCCTTTCATCCAGCACTTACTAGGTGCCAGGTATGGTGCAGTTGCTTTACATGAAACCTGTCTAATTCTTTTTTTTAAAAAAAAATTATTTATTTGAAAGGCAGAATGGCCCAAATCTTTGGGCCTCTGCCTTTCAGAGGAAGCTCCAGGCTCCTGGCTTCGGATTGACTCAGTTCCAGCCAATGTGACCATTTGGGGAGTGAACCAGAGAATGGAAGATCTTTCTGTCTCTTCTTCGCTCTGTAAAGTGTCTTTTCAATAAAAATAAACATATATTTAAAAATAAATAACGACATGGCAGAGTTACAGAGAGAGAAAAGGAGAGACAAAGACAGAGAAAGAGAGGAAAAAAAATCTTCTATCTGCTAGCTCACTCCCCAGATGATTACAACAGCCAGGTCTGTTATGCGGGATGGAGGGACCCAAGCACTTGGACCATCTTCCACTGCTGTCCCAAGTGCATCGGCAGGAAGCTGGGTCAGAAGTGGAGAAGCTGGGGCTTGAACCAGCACTCAGCTATGGGATCCTGGCCTTACAAACAACGACTAAATCCACTGTGCTAGAGTGAGGGCCCATGAGTTTTCTCTCAAACGGTGAAGTATTTCAAATCTCTTTTCCTGGCAGTCATTTGGAAAGTTGAAACAAGTGTCTTTTTCACTATTCCTCCTATGAATATGACTGAAAACCCAGGACACTCTACATAAAACAACCTAAGAAGATTAAATGGTGGAGAAGGCACCTCAGAAGCAAAAACAACAACAAGCTGGTGGATTTCCTGAGTTTCACCTCAAATATCCCACATCTGGAAATAAAAAGCCAGTAACCCAGAAATAACAGTGAGTGCAAGAAACAAAACAAACTCACCATCTGCAGCCAGGGGACCAAGAAATGACCCAGCACCACAGAAGATTTAGACAACAACTGCTCTACACCATCCAAACCCCAGAAAACACCTGTGACTCGCTGCCAAAGACCAAGTGGGGAGTCAGTACAAGGCATCCCAACACCCCCTAGGGTAGTGTCAAAGAAGGGCAAAGACAGATGCAGGGCTTTCATCCCTGCCCCTGCATGGTGACAGTGGACACCACACATGGAACCTGGATGTCCTTCTCCACGAAGGGGTAAGAAGGAATCAAGCGTGGCACCTCCCACTCTGGGATGATGTCAGAGTTAGGAATCATTGATACTGAGTTTAGAAAGACAGTAGAGAGAAATCAGTCAAAATAAGAGATTTGCTCACTGAAAAAGCAATAAGATGGACAAACTTTTATGCCAAAGAAAACACAAAGACGATTCTGCTGCCAAGATGAGGAATGGCACAGGAGGTGTCACGCTAGCTCCTACAGACGCAAGATGACAATGAGAGAACGCCATTGGCAACGTCACACTCCAACAGCTGACAACCTCAATGAAATGGACTGGTTCCTTGAAAAGCACAGATGACCACAATTCACCCAATGTGACAGAAATTATTTGAATAGCTCTGTCACCATCAACGAAGTTGGATTCATAATTCTTAAAAATCTGTAGGTCCAGATGCTTTTCCTGGAGAAGTCTCCCAAATGTTTAAAGGAGAATTAGCTTGCCTGCACATGATCCCTACCAAAAAAATCCAAGCAGAGGCCTCCCAGATTTGTTGTGTGAAGCAAGTACTAACACAGCAAAACCAGATGAGGATGGAACACAAACAGAAAACTGCAGACCAGTGTCCCTTGTGAATACAGGTGCAAACAGCTCAGTCAAGCAGATTTCTATACCATAACCAGTCAGTCTAGCTCAACAGCAAAGCTGACTCAAGACCATTTCCTGTAACTATCAGGAAATGTCTGTGGCTGGACCCTTGACCGTGGACGCAGGTCACTGATCTAACAGCTCTGGAAGTCTCCCAGCTCGCACCAGCACTGCTTGGCTTCTGGCGAGGGCCTCTTGGCACGTGGCACCACAGAGCAAAAGTGGGCACAGGTGGTGAGCAGGTACAGCTTGAAGAGCATGAAGGGAGGCCGATCCCCTCTGCCACAACCCACCCTCCTCCCTGCACAGAATACAGCCAAAGACAACTCAGTCGGTGGGTGGACCTGGCTCTCTCTTGTCTTTCAGTGGGGTGAGAGCCTCAACTCTCTTTGGCCCCACCCCTACACACAGTGAATTCCCTGCCTCCCGGCAATCCCCAGGGGCACCGAACCCACTTGGCCATGGTGGCAAGAACCTGTTCACTTCCTACCAGGAACCGGCGCCCATGTGGGATCCTGGTGTGTGCAAGATGAGGACTTTAGCCACTAGGCTACCACATCAAGTCTAATTGTTCCACTTTCATTCAACTCCCTGCTTGGGGCCTGGGAAAGCAGTCGAGAATGGCCCAAAGCCTTGGGCCCCTGCACCCGTGTGGGAGACCCGGAAGAAGTTCCTGGCTCCTGGTTTCAGATCGCCTTGACTGGCTCTTGTGGCCGCTTTGCGGGTGAGCCAGCGGATGGAGGGTCTTTCTCTCTGCCTCCCTTTCTCTCTGTGAATCTGTCTTTCTGATAAAAATGAATAAATCTTTTTTAAAAAAAGGGGGGGGAGGCATAGATGGAGAAGGTCACTGCTGCTGGTGGTAGTAGCAGGAGGGACCTCAAAGAGAACATAACCTCCAGTGTGTGTGAACCAGATGGACTCCTCCCACTCTGCCTGCCACTCCCCAGTCTTCAGTGATGTCTACACTGCTCATTCCCCAGCTCTGGGCAAGTCGGCTCTGTCCCAGGGAAGCCCTAGAGGGCCTGACCTTAGCAGCCGGGTTGCTGGTGCAGAGTGAAGCAGAGGACCAGACTCAGGGGACCAGGGAGCCATCAGTGCTCGCAGGCTTGCTGAAGGCGCAGGAGCAAGCCATCGTGATGAGAGAGCTGGCCCTGGTGTCCAGCCAGTGCTGCGGATGGCAGAGCCTGCGATCAATCATGGGCTGGCACTCAGCCTCTCTGAACTCCAGCACCCCCATCTGTAAAATGGACACAATCCTAACACTTCAGACAGTGTGGGAAGGAGCTGATGATACAACGAAGGTGATTGGCCCGAGCACGTGGTAAGTGCAGGCTTGCTTGTTAGTAATCATACTGGCCATGAGTATTGCTGTAAATGCTGAAGCCAGGGAAGAAGAAAGGGCTGAAAGATGGGAGGGAGGGACGGAGTCTGTAGGTAAGAACCGCAGCTCCTGTGGTTATGGTTAAGTGGGATCACTCACCTTTCTTTCCCCTTTGACACTCCATGGCCCTTCAGATTTGGATTCTGCCATGAGAAAAGGAAAAGGGTGCAATTGGTTTTGCATATCCATCCTGCCTTCCCAGCTCAGATTAACATTCAGGCCACTGGACTCAACGATGTCCAGGACCTGGGTAAGGTTTGGGCTAGCCAAGTTTTTGGGGGCCATCCTGTGCTCAGCAAGTCAAGTCCAGAATGGGTCTCCTGTTCTTGGGGTGAATGCCCCCTATCTGAGGGCCCTCTGCACCCTAGGCTTCCTCCCCACACAGGGGTTTTGCCAGTGCCTAGTGTTCCATGCCTCAAACGGTGAATCCTCAATCCTGGTTTTGAGGCTCAAGGAAGGGGCTCTGAGCACCACCTAGCTTGAAACGGCAGATGGGACCAGGGATTCAGGAGGGGCGGGGTTAGATGGACCTTCCCAGCTGTCAGTGAGTGGGTGTTGTCCTGCTCCACCAATGTCCAGCCTGGTCCTCTGTGTTATCTCCAAGGAAACGGAAGTCCAAACCAGTCCTGGGCCAAAAGACCTTGGCATCAGATTTGCCATGCTTATTCATTTTCTTTTGCTGGGTGGAAAAATGGCCACCCACTGGGTGGCTGACAACAATGCACATTCACCATCTCTCAGTTTCCATGGGTCCCAGCAGGCCCACGTACCCAGCTCAGCTGGAGCCTACGCTCAGGTGCCCCAGGGTCAAGAAAGATTCTGGTGATGGCTGACAAGCTAGCTCTGTGTCTCAAGCTATTCAGATCTCCACCCACAGTGTTTTCCAGCTCCAGGGTGGAAGTCCTGCACCTTTTAAATTGTATGTATTCAGGCACCTTTGATGTGCAGTGCTGCTGCCACCAGTATCTCTCTTTCATCTTGTAATGCTTTGATGTTAATAAATGGTGATCAGCAGAAAGGCCACCCACAGAGACGTCTACGTGTGTGTGTGTCTCTCTCTCTCTCTCTCTCTCCCTTTCTCCCTCTCTCTCCTGTACCCATGGTACCCGACACAGAAAAAGGGGGGTTCAGGATGCAGGTGGCTGACCTAAAACCAGAGTGCTTTCTCTGGATGGTCAGGGTGGGGTGCTCCATGTACTCCCGAGGGTCCTTCAATGTGGCTGAAGGAGGCAGCTGAAGCCAAGGGGCTGGCGCTGACAACAAGATGGGGTGAGGGAGGGCAGCCGCTCTGAACCAACAAAAGTGAAAAAGTGAGCTCCGTGCCTGGAGTCCCCTAAGAGTGAGGCAGGAAGAGGGAGGGGGCACAGGGCTGGCTGCCTGGCTCAGCTGGCTCCTGCTAGCCCAGCTTCACGCCTGCCTGATCCCATTCCTCACTCCCCCTCCACTCCCTGAAGGATTCCCAGCATGCCTCCGGAGGGGCTGAGATCCAGGCTGGAGTTTATGTTAGTTGGACCTGGGAGCCTGTTTTGATGCAGTGCACAAATACGCCCTGCATGAGACCAACCTCCATGGCCCAGCTGATGTAAACTCATGTTTCTATTTCCCCTGAGTCTTTTGAAAGAAATCACAACATCCTCAAAGTACAGTGATCTGTGCCTCCCTCTTCAAAAACAACAGAATACATGGGGCTGGCGCATTGGCTCCACCTCCAAGCGCAGGTATCCCAAGTGCATGCCAGTTCTCATTCCAGCTGCTCCACTTCCCATCCAGCTCCCTGCTTGTGGCCTGGAAGGCAGTAGAGAACAGCCCAAAGCTTTGGGACCCTGCACTTGCGTGGGAGGCCCAGAAGAAGCTCCTGGCTTTGGATCAGCTCAGCTCTGGCTGTTGCTGCCATATGGGGAGTTGGCCACCACATGGAAGTTCTGTCTCTCCTCTCTGTAAACTCGCCTTTCCAATAAAAATAAATTAATCTTCAAAAAAGAAAAAATAACAATGCAACAAAGCAGTTTTCATGCAGATGTTCATTCACAGTGGAGATGCAGGGTCAGTGCCTCCCACAGCCACCTGCACCTTGTCCCTCCTCTCACACGAGCCAGTCAGGTGGACAGACAATGATTCTTTCCATTGATGTTCAGTTTCTGCTTTTACAATACCGAAAAAACTGCCATGCATCCCAGTCTGTGTTTGAATAGCTATCACTTTTTTTTTAAAGATTTAGTTATTTTTATTGCAAAGTCAGATATATAGAGAGAAGCAAAGATAGAGAGGAAGACCTTTTGTCCGGTGATTCACTCCCCAAGTGGCCACAACAGCTGGTGCTGTGCCAATCCGAAGCCAGGAGCCAGGAGCTGCCATGCATTGGTTCACTCCCCAAATGGCAGCAACAGCCAGGAATCCGGAGCCTCTTCCGGGTCTCCCATATGAGTACAAGGTCCCAAGGCCTTGGGCCGTCATTGACTGCTTTCCCAGGCCACAAGCAGGGAGCTGGATGGGAAGTGGGGCTGCCGGGATTAGAACTGGCACTCGTATGGGATGCCAGCGCATTCACAGCGAAGACTTTAGCTGCTAAGCCATTGCGCTGGGCCCTGAATAGCTATTACTTTTTAAAATTGAGAATTAGATGAGATCTGGCGCGTTCAGGGTGGTATGGCCATAGACAATAAAATTGAGAATTAGATCAGGATTATCATGGTGGAAACAGAAGCAAAGAATAGTACAAATTCAAGATCTACTCTGAAAGCCAGAAGCAGACCCTCTGGAAGGCAGAGAAGGCCAGGAGGCGTCTCGGGGCCAGCACAGGCCCAGTGCCGAGGACAGCCGCCTCCCAGGGCCGAGTGCCAGGCTTCGCGCCCTGGCTCCTAACTCATCATTTCTGAGGGGGCAGTGGTGACGGTTCAAGTAACTGGGTCCTAGATCAGCTCCTGGCTACAAACCAAAATATCGCAGGCATCGAGGGAGTCAGCCAGAATAAAGGAGCTCTCTGCTCCCCAAGCAGACTTTGTTTGGCTACCCCAGGAGGTAAGCAGGTTCAGTATTAGTCCTTTAGTGACAGTCACCAGATGCCCACCACCAGATGCCCACCAGGACACTGGGGACACAGGGAAGCAACATCTTAGGCTAGGTCCCAATGTCCTGACTTCAGCCTGAGATAGCCACAGTTGTTGTAGCTATTTGGGGAGCAGAAGTAATGTGTGCATGCCCCCATTAAAAGGTACGTCTTTATTTATTCTAAATGTTATTTATATTTAGAATGGAGAAGCTGGTCTGTGCTCTCCTAGAAAAGCTTATCTGATTCACTTCTGTGTTTTCTGGTTGGCCCCTGGCAAGGGTCAGTCTGGACAGGCAGTCATTAACATGTTTTAGATGGATGATCGGGTGGGTGGGTGGGTTAGTGGATGGATGGATAGGCAAATGGCAGGCTGAAGGAATCTCTAAGATCTGCTCCAAGTCAGATAATCTGAAAGAATCAGTTTCCCTAGGGTCAAAATAACCTGTGCATACAGGTGAGGAGTCCAGAATATTTTAAACTTGCCGCCAGCACGCTGGGCTCACGGGAAGGCACAGCATGCCAGCCTGAGTTCAACTTTTTCTACTTCTTCTATCAGAATCGCTCCTCGAGGGCAACCCTTCCCCAATCCCAGGTTCTGAAGCCCTCAGCAGCTTCCCTCCCTCTCCCTGAATACTGTGAAAACATCTGGATTGGAGGCGCTCCTACCTTCTGCCGCAACATGACCCGGTTCTCCAGGGCCCCCGACCCTAACCGCCACCCGCCTCCGCGCCGGGTGCGAGCGCGTGCATCCCGTTGCCAAGGTGCCGGCCGGCGCCCAGTTCGCCACTCTGATTGGATGAGCAGAATGCACAGCTCTGGGGTTGGGGGTGCGCAGGCGTAGGTGCATCCCGGAGGCCCTTGGATGGCCTGGCAGTCCCTATCCCGCGGCTTTTCTCTGCCAGTCCCAGTTCTCCGTGATGTGGGGCTCTCGCCCAGAGCCTGGCTGTCCTCCACGGACACTTCCCTGCCCAACACCACCTCCAGCTGCCCCTGAAAAGTTGCGGTTGCTTTTCATGAATCCAATGGAATTCCATGCCCTTCCTCGGCAGAATCCCCAGGAGGTGCACAGGGACAGGGCCACTTCGTAGTCTTTAAGCTCTGGCAGTGGCTTTGTAGTTCTTAACCAGGAAGGGTACGCCTGAACTTGTTCCCTGCCCTGCACCTCACCAGCAGAGTCCACCCTGGCGTTCTCTGCAGACCAACAGCTCTTGCAAGCACCCCACACCCAACCTCTTGTCCCGCCCCACACCCAGCCTCCCTTGGCTCCCCAAGGCCTCCATGTACATGACACCTGCAAGGCTCTCCCTGAGCTGGAGCGGAGGACTCTGGCCAGCCTCATTGCTGTTTGTGTCCCAGGATGTCTGCCAACCCAACTTCTCCCCGGATTCCATCACCACACTCCCACGTGTGCACACACATTTCTGTCACTCAAAATTCTCTTGGCTGGTGCCTTGGCAAGCTCTCTGCCTCCATCTCAGCTTGCATGCTTCTGGAGAAACAGGGAAGAGAAGGAGGAGAAATTGGAAGGGATGAGAAGAGGTGAAGAAAGGAAGGGAAAATATGTGTAATGAGTTCAAATAGAAATGGAATTCATTGGTGCAATGCTTGACAAGGCAAAAAGTTGGTGGGAAGCTGGCAGACTCAGGATTTAAAAAGGGGCAGGGACCAAGGGAGTGATCAAAGCTGGTCAGAATCAGATTCTGCAGAAACCCTGTCTAGGTGGTGCCAGCCAGGCCACTGCTGGAGCTGCACCTGTGCCCAAAGCTACCACCAGGTGGACATTTGACCTGGCAGGCAAGGCACTGATTAAGACATCTGCAATCCCATCAGAGCGCCTGGGTCTGCACCCAGCACCACCGCGCACCACAAGCTTCTTTTGTTAATGCAACCTGTGCCAGGCAGTGGTTGGGTCTCCGCCATGCACAGGTGAGACCTGCATTTTGTTCTGACTCCCTGTTGCCTTCTTGGCCTGTTGGGCAGGGGGAGGGAGGAGGGCTGTTGAAGGTCTTTGGGGAGTGAAGCAGCAAATGGGAGCATTTGCTCACTTTCTCAAATAATTTTTGAATGACAATGTTTAAAAAGTGGCCGCTGCTGCTGCCACCCTTGGCCAGATGAGTTCTCAGCAGACATCCACCTGTTTTCAAGTCCTCCTGGATACAATCCTGCAGTTGCCTGAGCACAGGCCCGCAGAGCCCAGCTCCTACTCACTGCACCTGCTCCCTGTGTGCCCGGCGCTGCTGCCTGCCTCCATGACAGCACCTGCCGTGGCTGCCCACCAGCACTGCTTCCACTCACAAACCCAAGAGAAGCGAGCCTGCTGCTGGCACAGTCGGTTGAGCCACTGTGATATTGCAGTGCTGGTTTGAAACAGGAATCCTGTGCTTCCAGCTCCCTGCCGAGGGGCCTGGGGAAGCAGAAGATGATGACCCAAGTGCTTGAAGCTCTGCCATCCATGGCTCTGGCTGTTATGGCCATTTGCGGGGTGAGCCAGTGGATGGAAGATCTCTGTCTCTCTCACCCTTCTTGCCTCATCACTCGGTCTTTGAAACAAATAAACACCCACAGAGTGTTTGCCCTTGTGACGTTTCAAGTCTCATGGAGAGATCAACCTAAATAGCAAAACAGGCAAGGAGAAAGAAAGTGAGAGAGAAATTCTCTAAAGAAAAAAAAAAATTAGATTTATTTGGACTACCACAGCATTGCAATGTATATGCATACACTGGTAAACTACAGCCATATTCAAGGAGGCCGTAGCAAGAGAACATACCTTTTTTAAAATCAAATTTATTTTATTTACTTGATGGTGATTACAGGGTTGACCAGGGTGGTAAGGATGAGGATCAGAGAAAAGTGGGCAAAACCATTGCTTCCTAGTTCTCCATTTCTTCTTGTCTCTGTACTTTTACTTTATTTGAAAGAGAGACAGGGGAAGACATTGAGATCTTTCACCTGCTAGTTCATGCCGCAAATGACTGCAACTGCGAGGACTTGCCCAGACCAGAAAGTGGGAGCTCGGTGCCACCCTACCACATGGGCGGCAGGGACCAAGCATTTGAGCGCTCACCTGCTGCCTTGTAGGCTTGCACACCAGCGGAGGAGTCAGGCCTTAGGCCAGGCACTCCTGTGTGGCATTAGGTGTCCTAAGCAGCCACTTGACCGCTGGGCCACACGTCCCCCCAACCACCCAGGGGCAAGCTTTGAAAGGCCCGAAAGAGGAGGATTATTTTTAAACAATCACCTGTGGCCACAGTGACTAGCACCAGGATGTCATCTGTCCAAGACTGAACATCCAGTTGCTGGGAAGGAATCCTCAATGTGCCACATCTTATCCCAGATGTGGTGGCCTCTGTGCCGTGTGTTTCCGGTAGAGGTTTTTGTGACAGTTAATGTCAAGCAGTTATTCCAAACAACAACAACAACAAAAAAAAAACCCTTTATCTGTATAGGGTTGACACGGGCAATGCCATTCCATTTCTGACAACTTTCACAGAGAGAACTGTTAACACATTACTGAAGGGCATTAAATAAGGTGTGAGCAAATGGAAGATTATACTGCTTTCATGGGTGCAAAGACTCTATATCAAAGAGAGTTTTTTAAAAATCCAAATCCACCAGGATTTCTGAAGCACGATATCCTTCAGCTTGTTTGTCACTTTAACTGGAATACCAGAAAGAAGCTGCTTAGGAAGGAACCAGAATTGTTTGGGCTCACAGATTTGGAATCTCCGAGTCCAAGAGCCCCATGAGTCTGGCGTCTCATGCGGGTGGTGGGCGGCAGAATGCAGAGGGCGGATCTCACGCCAGGCTGGGCAGCAGAGAAAGAGCCAACTCAGCTTATGCAACTCAGCCTCCCAGGAGAAGCACCCACCCCCCGGGCCGGGCTTAGTGACCAAGAACTGTTTCTGGTTTTAAGGGAAGCATTAAGCGCTCTCTCTCTCTCACACACACACACACACACACGCACGCACACACACACGTATGTTTCTAGAATCCCTGCTATTTTCCCCTGATCAAAATAGGACTCGATAGGCAGAGCAGCGTCTCTGGCCCCCAGCACATACACTCTGTTCTTCCCATGTTTGAACAGAATTCTCCCCAACCCAGGCACATTTTGAAGTCATGAGCTGATGATCCTAGAAATGTTAGAGGCTCAACCCACTTAATGATGATGATGCAAAATCTCTCTTCCTTTCTCTTTTTCTCTCCTCTTTCTCTGTAATTCTGCCTTTTGGATGAATCTTGTTTAAAAGGAAAAAAAAATCTGTAACAATCTCCAAATTTAAACTGCTGCCATGTAACAAAAGGAATAGTAAGCCCAAGAAACAAGCTACGGAGGGGCCGGGGTGGAAGGGGGCCTCCGCAACATGGGTAACAGGGATGGTGCTAAGGAACTGGTAGGACACGGAACGGAAATGACACGCTCACTCAACTCCGAAAAGACAAGAAACACGGGCAAAAGAAATCAATAGGGAGCATTTTTTAGCAAGAGAAAGCCAAGTGAAGAGGGCAGCAGGATAGTTCAGCAAGCTAACCCTCCACCTACAAGCACAGCATTCTATATGGGCGCCATCTCATGTCCTGGCTGCTCCATTTCCCGTCCAGCTCCCTGCTTGTGGCCTGGGAGAGCAGTGGAAGATGGGCCAAAGCCTTGGGACCCTGCACCCACATGGGAGACCCAGAAGAATCTCCTGGCTCCTGGCTTTGGATCAGCTCAGCTCCAGCCATTGCTGCCAGTTGGGGAGTGAACCAGTGGATGGAAGAACTGTCTCTCTGTCTCTCCTCTCTGTGAATCTGTGCCTTTCCAATTAATATATATATATATATATATATCTTTAAAAGAAGAAAAAAAGAACAGCAGCAAGAGGAAAGCCCAGTGATCAGTAAGCCAGTTGAGAAGTTGGTGTGAAGTGTTGTAGTAACACAGAGTGCAAACCACACTGTGGTGCTTGTGAGAGCCCGTGGGAGACAGGTGTCATATCAAAGTGCTGCATTTGGAAAGGTAATTTGTCAATCCCTCCTGAAGCAGGTTTCTCTCAGCCCAGCAGTTCCCCTGTTAACCCTGATCCTGCCAGGATGTCCCCTGCAGCACTCCTAAGAATACAAGAGATCCGAGAAGTCACGTGAGACCAGTGTGCTGGTGCAATTTGTTAAGCCTCTACTTGTGACTCCAACTTTCCCAGCTCCCTCCACTTCCTTCCCAGTTCCCTGCTAACACACCTGGGAAACGAACAGAAATCGGCCCAGGGACCTGAGCTCCTATCACCCGTACGCGAGACCCAGACTGAGTTCTGATGCACAAATAAAATGAAACATATCCTCTAATAAATGGCATTATAAAAGTGATCTAGCTGTCAACGTGGGAACATCCCCCAAACCCGTTATCAAGTAAGTAAAGTTGTAGAGTAGTCAAAACAATGTTAAGGATACAAGTTCATAAGAAACACAGATACAAAAAGATGCTCCAGCATGTAAGAGTCTAGATAATAAGTTTTAAAATATGGAAAGATACATGTCAAATTCATGATGGTGAAATATTTGATTTAAACACAGTTGAAGCAAAGAGATCAATGTATTCTTATTTGTATTTAAGTATTTTTTTCCGAACAAAAACCACAAAGCATAGTCATCCGAAGGCAAGGGATGCTTTGGGAATGTGCAACAGTGAAGTTCTAAACAAACAGAGCCTGTGTCTGTCAAGGAGGGGTGGCCAGGTAGGGGGGTAGCTGGGAAGGGACTGCAGACCAAGCGAACAGGAGCAGGGTTGGCAGAGAGGCTGCAGGGGCTGGAGGGAGCGAGTGCTGACTGGTGACCAGGAAAGGGCAGTGATGCTGGACCCAGATCCTGCACCTATGTGGGACACCCAGAAGCAGCTCCTGGCTTCAGCTTGGCTCAGCTCTGACCATTGCAGCCATTTAGGGAGTGAATCAGCGAACATAACACCTTCCTTTCTGTTTCTCCTTCTCTCTGTAGCTTTTGTCTGTCTGATAAAAATACATTTTTTTTTAAAAGTGGGGCCCAGTGCAATAGCCTAGTGGCTAAATCCTCACATTGCCTTCACTGGGATCCCATATGAGCACCAGTTTGTGACCCAGCTGCTCTATTTCCCATCCAGCTCTCTGCTTGTGGCCTGGGAAAGCAGTGAAGGATGGCACAAAGCCTTGGGACCCTGCACCTGCGTGGGAGAGCTAGAAGAGGCTCCTGGCTCTTGGTTTCGGATTGACTCGGCTCTGGCCATTGTGGGCCACTTGGGGAGTAATCAGCAGACAGATCTTTCTCTCTGTATATCTACCTTTCCAATTAAAAAAAAAAAAAAGATGAAGTGGAGCAGCGGGACTTGAACCGGTGCCCATACTGGATGCCAGAGCCTTCCTGACTCCAGCCCTTCAATGTTTGGAATGTGCCTTGTCTGAACCGACATGTGCTCTATTTCAACACACACCAGATTTTGAACACTTCATAGGGTTTTTACAATTTTACTAGAGATTTTAAAATATTGACTACATAATGAAATGATGTTTTAGATACACTCGGTTAAACAATGAATTTCTTTCTTCTTTCCCAAATGGCTACCAAGAAATGTAAGTCACACATGTGGCCAGAATTCCATTGCTAATGCGAGTGCTGGTCCAGAATGAAGGCAGGAAGCATCGCACCCAGTACTGCGTCCCCAGTCCCTGCCACGCAGGTGCTCAGTAGGTACTCAGAATAGCTTGTTTTATAATGCTGATCCTGGACACAGAGGGAGCTGAGAGGTATCCCCACGGACACTGTGACCTTGAGAGAGGGAGAAACATGAGGAAGTATCTGAAAAAAGCCTTGTCTTCAATCACACCACGTCAGATAGCTCTGTCCTATGCCCCTCCCTTGGCATCTGCTGGAGACAGAGGGATGGAGATGGAGAGATGAGGGGTCAGGAGGTCGGGATGGAAGGATGGAGGTTTAGGGGATGGGGGATACTAGAATAGAAGGTAGGGGTGAGGCTGGAGGGATGGTTTGGGGGATGGAGGGTTGGGGAATGGAGGGTTGGGGTGAAGGATTTGGGGATGGAGGGTTGGACTGGGGGCTGGAGAGGTGGGACGGGAGTGCAGGGTTGGGGGCTGGAGGCATAGGATGGGGGATGAGGGCATACTGCAAGAGGAAGGCTGTGCAGCCACTTGTACTTCACTTCCTGAGGAGCACCTGGTCATTGATCACTCACATTCTATGGTCACGGAGATGATCTTCCATGTTTTGGTCCTGCTGGCCAGGAAGTGCTCCCCCAACATCCCGAGACACAGATGAGGTCAGTGAAAGCCCACGGAAACTTCTCCAGGGCCTCCACATTTCATTCAGTCTTCTGTCCCTAACCACAACCTGCTATGGTCTGCTCTGCTCCCAAGGAGCCCAGAGGCATGGAATCCTCCACACTGATCTGTCCCCATAGCCACTTCTGACTTCCTGGGACTCCTAACGGCGGTTAGAGTTGCTCCAGATACACCCTTCCTACAGAAGCCAGAATGGATGGCAAGAGGGGAGGGAGGGAGGGAAGGGGAGGAAGAAAGAGCCGGTGAGGGACAGAAGGAAGAGAGAGAAGGGGGAGGGAGGGCAGGGAGGGAAGGATGATGGGTGGTGAATGGATGAATGGGAGGATGATGGATTGATGAGTAGACGGATGTAGGATGGATGAAGAATGGCTGGGTAGAGGTATGATGGTCCATGCACACAGCTGGATGGGTGGGGGGCTGGGAGGGTGACTGGGAGTGAAGAAGAGTGAATGATGAATTATCCACTACTCTCCCCTCCAACCGAATCTCACGCGCAGAGAGCCCTCTGAGACCTCAGCCACCCGAGGGCAGCCCCATCGCGCTGCTCCAGGAAAAGGCAAGGGCGCAGAACAGGCCGGAGCTGGGATGGGAGCGAGGGAGTCAGGGCCCTGCTGGCCGGCCCTCCGAGGGGGCTCTCCCGCTGCATCCCCCATCCGCCCGCGCCTGACACGGCCAGGGTGGGGGCGGCGCCCCCGCCCCCTCTCCGGAGGTGGCGCCCCTCGCGGGCCCAACAAGCTGCCGTTGTCCTGCGGCCCGTGGGCTCGGCACACTGGGGCTTTGTCCGGCCCCCCGCCACGACCCACGGCGGGGGGGCCCCACATGACCGAGGGGGTAGGAGGAGCCTGCGGCGGCGGTGGCGGCGGTGGCGGCGGCAGCAGCAGCAGCAGCAGCGGCTCCATCACTTCCCTCCCGGCCCGGGGGTCGGCGGGCGGTGGCAGCGGCGACAGCGGTGGAAGCTAAACAGGGCTGGGCAGAGCCACGGACGCCGGACCTCCGGGTCCCCGCCAGGCTCCAGGCGCCTGGCCTGGGCCAGCAGGGCAGCTGTGACTTCAGTGCCCCCTCGGCTGGGAGCTGGGGGTACACCCGGCCCCTCGGGCCTGGGACCATGGGGAATGGCATGACCAAGGTAGGGGGGTGCCGTGGTGACCCTGGCTAGGTCGCTGGCCACCTGGGACCCCTGGGGCTGCTTTGGTATCTGTGCCACTAGCGCGTGTGGGGGTGTCTCCCTGTGACTGCCCCTGCTGTGTCTGTCACTGTCTGCCCTGGTCTCTGACATCCCACCCACCCCGCCTCCCTCCCCTGCATCCCTCAGTCATAACCCTCCCACTACCCCCTCCTTCCCTATCCACCCCCATAGTCTAACAAGGGATCCCCCCGCACCCCCGCATGCAACCCTTAGCCTAACAAGCTCACCTCTCTCTGCACTCTGTTCCTTTCTCCTCTTTCTTCTCCCCTAGGTCTGGGGTCTCCCCAAGCCTCCCCATCCCACCCCTCCTTAGGCTACCCCTCTCCCACCCTCCCCAACACTTAGGCCCCTCTCTTAGAGGTCCTAAACTCCAGGCAAACCAGGAGACAGACAAGCGTCCCAGGGTCCCTTCCTCGCACAGGCACCTGAGGGTGGGAGCAGGGTGCAGCCAAGCCACTGACCCCTGCCTGCCCTTCTTCTAGGTACTCCCTGGACTCTACCTCGGAAACTTCATTGGTAAGCACTGTCCGCTCTGTGCCATGGCCATGGCACTCTGCCTGCCCCAGGCCTGGAGCTGCTGTTCATGCCTGGCCCAAGGACCTTAGACATGTTCAGCAACGAGGCAAGGGCCAGGGAAGTCATGCCAGGCTGGGAGGGGGCAAGGACAGGCTTGTGGAGGAGGTCGAGGAGTTGCAGGGGTTGGCTAGGAATGACCCCAAGACTGAAGGTGCAGGAAGGGAACTTGAAGAGCCCAACACTGACACCCCCCCATTCAACCTTCCTCCCAGGAGGGCAGAGGGGCAGTGCCAAGGGCTTAGGATCTGAGCTGTGGATCTGGGTTGAGTGTGCACCTGCTCCTGCCTTGGCCTCCTCCCAGCCATCAAGACTCGCCAGTCTCTTCTGTCTCTTTGGGGTATCACTTCCAGCGAGGAGGCTGAGCACTCTGCCTCCACAGCCTGGTTCTCAGGGAGCCAGGGCTGGATTATTCTGTAAGCAAGTCCTGGGTCCCAACAGCCCACACCAGCCACAGCCCTTGCAGACAGCAGTTGCTGGGACCCAGTGCTGAGGCCTTTGGCTAGGGGACCAGTATTCCATCCATCCCTGCCTTTCCAGGTTTCCAGCTTGGGTGGGGAACCAGAAGGGTGACAGGGGAGAGGGTGGCAGGCAGCCTGAGCATCGGCCCATAGAAAATGTGTGAGAGCCAGGCTGATGTGGAATCTGGGGGCCTAGAAGTGGGAAGTCACTTCTGTTTGTGAAGTCAGAGAGCGGATCTTCAGACAGGGAGAGGCTGGTGGGGGGAAAGGGAGCTCCTTGGATATTCTGGGCCTCTCCTTCCCCCGGGCACTGCCTCAGCAGCTCATGCTGCATTGATTTCTGTGTCTGGCAAAGCCTGCTCTGGGTCCCCTTTGAGTGAGTAGACCTCAGGAAAGCCAAGCCCTTGGTACAGAGTCCAAGGCCACAGCCAGGGTGCTGAAAGAGGAAGTGGACATAGGAGATAGGGTACATGCCCCAGGACCTCGCCAGGCCCTTTCTGATGGACAGGCTGCTCTCGCTCTTGTCCGACTCCTGATATAAGCACGGACTCCACAGCCAGCCAACACTCTTCCTCGAAAGGAGAATTGCTAGGTTCAAGGATAGGCTAGAGCAAGACAGTGGGGGAGGGGAGCAGGCAGGAGGTTGAGCTGTTATCCAGGGGTGTCCCAGGAGCAAAACAAAAGCCTGGCTGGGGGCAGGGCAGGGCCTGTGGTGTGTGGAGCAGGAGGAGGGGAAGGAGCAGGCAGAGGCAGGCATGGACCCCAGGACGGAGTGGGGGCAGAGCTGGGCAGCCAGCTCCCCCTGTACTTGGCCATCAGGGATACAGAAGCCTTACACCTGCCAGCTTGGCTCAAGACTCCTGTCTGTTTCTTTCAGATGCCAAAGACCCAGACCAGTTGGGCCGGAATAAGATCACACACATCATTTCCATCCATGAGTCACCCCAGCCTCTTCTGCAGGTACCCCCTCTCCCTTCCCAGGGCTGGGCCTGAGTGGACGGGGTGGGAGCCCCCACTGATGAAGGAGCAACAACATGCTGGGTCCCAGGCAACCTTCTGGATTCATGTTCATTCACATGGTCCTCACATGGGACTGTTAACTATGGGGTTAATTTTCAACCCCATTTGGCAACTGAGGCCCAGAGAGGTAAATGAACACACTGGCACACAACTCAAAAAAGCTGGGATTTGAACACAGGCCATCAGACCCCTGGGGTCTCACACGGGACCTTTTAAAAGGCTACCATGCTGGCTTCCCATGGCCTCACGCGGTTGGACAATTCCAAATGGATGTACTGGCTGGGCATCCTTGGTCTGTGAGCCCAGAAGCCATGGCAAGGACACAGAGGGACAAGGGATGGGGAGACTGCTTTGCACATGGTCCAGCATGGTCCTCCCTGGAGCTGCCGATGCTGACACCTGCTGGGCTTTGGAAAAGGTAGGAGAGGGGCTGTTAGGAACTCGAGGAGGAAGGCAGGAAGTCTAGACTCCCCTGGGTGGAGTCCAGTGGCCAGGGGGCACTTCATCCCCATGTAGCCTTTTGATGACCTTGGCAATGTTCTTGTCCTCTCTGGGCCTCAGTCTGTCCCTGTGGTGGGAGCTTTAAGGGGTCTCTAAAGGAAGCTGCAATCACCTGTGATCTTCAGCGTCCTTCCAAGAAGAAATGTCTGGGCTAGCAGAGTGATTTTGGAATATGCTGGAGGACACAGTCCCCACAGGATGCACGGGAAGGGGGTCAAGTCCCTGTAGAAGGGAGCGAGTACTTGCTACCGAGCCCCGGGCTCCCACAGGCTGACCCTCCTCTCACCAGTTCCTGTCCCTTCCCGTCCATCATCAAATTGACCCATCAGGGTTGGACAACACCGTGCAAACCCAAGGCCAAATGAATTGCAAAGGGAAACTGCAAGCCTTGCAAAAGATACAGGATTTCATGACCTTGAGGGAAGGTGAATTCCAGAAGGGCTGGAATTTCACACCAAGTCACGGACAAATGAAACTCTGTGATCCCTCGCCCAGTGGTGCACCCGAACAGAGCCACCTGAACTGGCCAAGGGTTAAGGGGGAAGCTTGAGAAAAGCAGTGGGAGCCTCAGAATCCCCGGCAGACCTCGTCTTTCTGGGCTTAAGAAGCCAAGGCGATCACAGCAAGTCAGCTAGGAAAATGACACACAGTTGTATCCCTCATTTCTAGTAATCTTAGTTCATGAAATGCAAACTTGTTTTCATTAACCCTTGTTGCTTTTGAAGACAATCCTAGCTGCTCTGTCCTTTCCACCATGTGGTTTTCAAATCCCAATCAGAAGCCAGTCACTTTACCAAGGCTCTTCCAAAGGGTCCATGGAAACCAGGCATTTATCTATGTCATTTATGGGGGTTAGGGCACCATCTGCTCAGAAGGTTCTGGAATTATAGAGTGTCACAGCTGCTAGGCTCACAGAAGTGGCATCTACTCTCACTGGCCAGAGAGCATGACAGTGGCCCATAGGGAGCAGGAACTGGGCAGGGTCGCACAGTGTGTGGGCAGCTAGAGGGAGGAGGATGGGGGTTTAGGGTCATGCCTGAGTGTGTTTTGTCCTTATAGGATATCACTTATCTTCGCATCCCAGTGGCTGATACCCCCGAGGTACCAATGTAAGTTTCCCTGGATGGGCTCGCTAATGGATAGATGGCAGCTGCCTCCTGTTTAGAGGGGAAGAGAGGTGCTGCCCTGAGGGGTCACCCAGACATAAGAGGGTCCCTGGCTGGGACTCTGAGCCACCCCAGAGCTCTGAGAGGGAGAAGGTACCCTGTCTCGTGAGCTCAGTTGCGCCTGTAGATCAGAGAGGGCCTGGCACAACCTGTTCCTGACCTTGGGCTCTAGACAGCTGGGCTCTTGCCAGGCACTGCCGTTTCCTTACTGCATGACCTTGAACAAGTTTCTGACCCCTCTAAGATAATGTATGGGCCAAAGACCAGGAGGCTTTCTAAGCTCAAATGCTGCCGGTTGCGGATTGAGGCACAGCCTGGCATGTCACCATGGGCCACCCCCCCGAAAACAGGATCTCAGTGTTCTTAGCACCAGGGTCCACCAGCTTGGGAGGGACCCAGACAGAGCTCTCAGCCCCTGGGGAGTTTGCTCCCCGTCTGTTGCTGACCATTATTGTTTTGCACGTGAAAACTGACTTGAAAGATGATGTGACTTCACAGGAATTGTTTGAGATCCTCCCCCTTCTTTCTGTAGTATAGGATCCTGGTCACTGCAGGTGCCGGCTGATCTGAGGACCCCCAGGGCTGTCTGTCCCTTGCTATCCCACCCATGGGGAGGGGACACCTCCTCAGAGCCAAGCCCCCACAAGTGCCCCTCTACCCTGTTGCTTGCCTCTCCAGCAAAAAGCACTTCAAAGAGTGCATCAATTTCATCCACTGTTGCCGCCTCAACGGGGGGAGCTGCCTGGTGCACTGGTGAGCTGGGAGGGGTGAGCTGGGACGGGACATGGGGTGGTGGCCCCATGCTCTCCCAGCCGTGCCATTAATCTGGGAGGGGACAGCCAGAAGCTCAAATCCAGATGCTGTGTGTGGCTGCCACAACCCCGAGTGTCCCTAGGACTCAATTTCCTCATCTGTAAAATGGGGGTAGACACGTGGCCCTGACTAGACTGCTGGGGGTATGGAGCAGGGGAGGGCTCTGAGACCAGGGTGCTGGGATGGCTCCATCTTGTCACGTGCCACTGGCCCTGCAAATGGCATCGTCACGGAACATCTACCCCATGCCAGTTCAGTCTGGCTGCCAGTACTTGGGGCCCTGCCACTCACATGGGAGACCTCTGATGAAGCTCCAAGCTTTGGCCTAGCTCCTTTGGGGTAGTGCTCCATCAGATGGAAGTTCTCTCTCTCTCTGTAACTCTGCCTCTTGCCTCCCACCCTCCCTCTCTCCCATTCCTGCTCTAGTACTGCAAATCTTTGCCCCGTTTGTGCACTCACTCTCCACGTCATTCTTGGCTTACCTTACAAGATGAAGTTTTTGATGTTGCTTCCTGCACTGTCCCCTGTTCCTAAATAGCTCCCATCCCGCCCTCCCTGCCCCCAGCCTCAAAGAGGTCGTCCGTGCTGGCCAGAGTCTCTCTGGTCAGTGTCTGACTGCTCCAGCCACACTGTCCTTCCTGGGGACACCAGGCCTGTCTAACTACCCCACTAAGGCCCTAGCACCCGGAAAAGAACAAATGATCAGGAAGTGTTTGTGGAAGGAATGGATATTGCACCCAGGCCTTTGGTGTAGAATGGCAAGAGATGTTTCAGGCAGAGAGTCCAGCATGAACAAAGGCCTGGCCATGGGAAAGACAGATCCTAGCAAAGCCTTTGCAGCTGAGGGATGGTAGTGGAGGTGAGCTGGGGAGCAGAGGTGAGGATAGGGTGCCTGGGGTGAGGGTGGGAGGGCCAAGGAGGACGGTGGAGCTTACCTAAAGCCTGGAGTTTTCATTGGGGACCCCAGCTTTGCAGGTATCTCTCGCAGCACCACCATTGTGACCGCGTATGTGATGACCGTGACCGGGCTAGGCTGGCGAGAAGTGCTGGAAGCTATCAAGGCCACTAGGCCCATCGCCAACCCTAACCCAGGCTTTAGGCAACAGCTGGAAGAGTTTGGCTGGGGGAGTTCCCGGAAGGTGGGTACTGGGGTGGGGTGGGTGTGGAGCCAGGGTGGGAGGCCCCTCTTCCAGGCTGTGCCTCCCACCTGGCAGGTGTTTCCTTGCGGGGAGGGGGAGGCTCAAATTTAGGCTAATCCAGCTCCCAGGTGTAGTTTATTCCAGCAGTCAACTGTTCCGCCTTTTTTGTCACTGGAATAGAAATGTCTAAATGTAGACCAGACCGTGGGCCCCTTGCCTAACCAGGTCTCCCCACGCTGCCCATTGCCTGCTCCCCTGTGGGAATATGCCTGCACTTGGGTATCAGATCTGCGTGGGGAGGCCTGCCAGCGCCCCACTGCAGCCCTGGGTCTCTGGAGGGGTTGCAGCCAGTCAGTCTTCTGTTATGAGGAACATGGGAGGTGGGGGAAGCATAGGCAGGCTCAGCAGGTGGCAGGAAGCGCCACCCTGGGAAAAGGCAGTGGATGGAGTCCTGGGACCCTTGTAAGTGAACACACGGCTAAGTTTGGGCAGGGCGGGGTGGGGGGCGGCGAGCTCAGGTCCCACTGTGCACGTGGCAGTGGGGTTGGAGGGCGGGGTGTCTGTCTGGCACACGCAGACTTTTCCAGTGTTAAAGGCAAGTGGGTTCAGGGAGAGCAGAAATCGCTCAAGAGAGGGGGATTGGGGATGGGGCCGAGACTTAGGCAGGTGCGGGAGGTCGTGAATTTGGCTCTGACCCCGTCCCCTCGCCGTGTTCAGCTTCGCAGGCAGCTGGAGGAGCGCTTCGGTGAGAGTCCGTTCCGCGACGACGAGGAGGTGCGCGCGCTGCTGCCGCTGTGCAAGCGCTGCCGCCAGGGCTCGGCGACCTCGGCCGCCTCCGCCCCGCCGCCCGCGTCCGCCTCCGAGGGCACCCTGCAGCGCCTGGTCCCGCGCACGCCCCGGGAAGGCCACCGGCCGCTGCCGCTGCTGGCGCGCGTCAAACAGACTTTCTCTTGCCTCCCGCGGTGCCTGGCCCGCAAGGGGGGCAAATGAGGACCCCACCCCACCCGCGGCTCCCTCTCCTGCCAACGGGTCCTTTTCGGAGGCTGGTGGGGCCTCCCCCAGCTAGCATGAGCCCAAGGGCCGTGGGAACCCCTGTCCGACCCCGAGCTCGTCTGCGTCTGCGGTGTGTGCGTCTCCACCTATGCGTGCGTCCGGCCCAGCCTGCTGCAGCCACCTGGTGCCTTAGACCTTGGGCTGGAGGAGGACCTCGGGCCTCCATCCTGAAAGGCGGAGAGGAGAGGGAAGTGGGTGGGGTGCCGGCAGGGGATGGGCGAGCCTGGAGGATATTAAAGAGACACAAAAGAGGCCTATCTGAATGCCTTCTGGTCGTGAAAGTGAAGGCTGGGGAGCAGAACTCCAACAGGGGTTCCTAAAAGATAGCTGGGGGGCTACGAGACAGCTGGCTTGCCCGAGGGGCCTGTCCCCTTCCCCACCACAGTTCCGGCGCTCCTGTCCACTCCCTGGGCCTTGGTCTCCAGGAAAGCACCTCAAGCCACCTCCCCAGCTTTCACCCCTTCCATCTGCACAAATACTAGCTAGTAGGGTAAGGCGGTGCCTATCACCCCTGAGATTTTACCACATTCACCATGTCAACCTCAGAGAGGAAGCTGGGGCTCAGAGAGGGCAGGTGGCTAGTCCAAGGACACACAGCTTGGAGCAATGACATCTAGATGTATTGTCAGCTGATGAGTCCTGCAACAAGGGTTAGGAAGCAGGTCCCTGAGTTTGAGAGGTGATTGGCAAGCAGAACCTTCCCCAGCTAATGGGAACGGCTCTTCACAACTAGAGTGCATTCTTCTTTTAAAAGATTTATTTATTTGGGGCTTGGCACGGTGGTCTAGTGGCTAAAGTCCTCACCTTGATTGTGCCAGGATCCCATATGACTGCTGTTTCTAATCCTGGCAGACCCACTTCCCACCCAGCTCCCTGCTTGTGGCCTGGGTAAGCAGTCAAGGACGGCCCAAAGCTTTGGGACCCTGCACCCACGTGGGAGACCTGGAAGAAATACCTGGCTCCTGGCTTCAGATCGGCTCAGCTCTGGTCATTACAGCCATTTGGAAAATGAACCAGTGGATGGAAGATATTTCTCTCTCTCCATAAATCTGATCTACCTTTCCAATAAAATTAAAATAAATCTTTAAATAATTTGGAACAATAGCTCTGACAGGCCAGACTAGGAGCTTTCTCTCTGGATCTCAAACTTGTTTGGCCAGGACCAGTGGTGTCAGCCGTCAGCACCGCCTCCCAGGACCAGAGTGACCAGGAAGCTAGAGGCAGAGACTGACCAGGACTTCAAGCCAGATGCTGCAATACTGGAGGCCCATTCCTCTGCTAGTGCCCTGAGGCCACACAGCGCACTGCTCAGCTTGCCTAACAATAAAATGGGCCAAAACGCCCACCTCACACGCCCATGTAGGACCCGAGGCTGCAGGCAAGGGGTCTGTGTGGACAGTCATTGTGGAGACTTAAGGAGATGATCTGTGTAGCCCATGGAACCCCTTCTAACACCCCTACCCTGGGTCAGAATCCCACAGTGCTTTCTGCCTGGTCCGACTCTGCAGATCTGAGCTGGAGGTCAGGAGTGTATACTGGTCACTGCCTCCTGCCCAAACAATCTGCCAGGTGGCTGGGCAGAACTGACAGGTGCAGGGACAAGACCAGGCTGCATCTCTGGGCACCCTGGGTGGCACCTTTCTCATTGATCCAGCTATCCCACTTCCCTACCTCAGCTCAGAGAAGTTAGATGCCATCCAACAGCAACTCCCTCAACCTCCCTACCCCAAACAACGTGGCACCTTTCGACCACTTGGGAACTGCCCATGCCCACAGTACTGACCTTCCTGGGGGGTGGAGGGGAGAGGCCTGGCAGCCTGAGCCTCATCTCCCAGGCTGCTGGTCCCCTGCTACACACAGGCCCTCCCAGGAGCTCTGCAATCTTACCCTAAGTAGGAAGCAGCCAGTGCCACCAATCCAAACATTGACATCGCTATCTCTGGTTCCTCGAAGGTCCTCTTTGCTAACCCCCTCCTTCCCAGCCCCTGTCTGTCCATCTGTCCATCCAGCCGCCCAGGAGGCAGGGGTGGGATGATGGTGGTCATGTCTTCACTTCTGGTGACTCCTGGGGGCGTGCACCTGCAGGCCCCTCCCTCCTCTTCACCTGCTTTCTAGCCTTCACCCTCCTCTTCTGTTGGCCTCGTTAGACTCATTTTACAAGCTCTCCCCTCTGAGCCCCAAACCCACCAGCCTGACGCATGCCAACTCCTGGATGGGCCCAGCCATCCCAGTAGGCTCAGCACATCCCCAACACCACTCTCTTCAGCTCATGACACTCACTTCTACCCCCAAGTTCGGCAGCAAAACCACACACCGGAACCCCAGTCTCTCCCTGCTCTTCCATGCCTCATCCTGCCCGTGACCACTTCCTGGGGGCCTTTCCCACAGGGGCAGGCCTTTGGCCCATCCACCAGAGCTGACTTCCTCTGGCTCTCCAGGGGACAGCCCCTGGGGACTCCCTGGGCTCCCTGCACCCTGTGGCCTCAGCTTGACTCTTCCCACCCCAAGCCTTCCAGGCAAAACTTCTAGAGTTTTGACCCCACTAGCCTGAATTCTCCTATGGCCTGCATGGCATCTGGTGGGCTCATGGCTGGCCAACCTTCATGGTCCTGTCCTGGTCTCATGGCTTGCCATTCCCTGCCCTCTCTGGTCACAACACTTTCACATCTCTCTCCATGAAACCTTTGCCCCTGCCATTGTCCCTGCTTGCAGGGCCTTCTGGTCACCCTCACCCGGCCACTTCCCCGTCCTCCCTCACACACTCACCTACTGCAAGCATCAATTGAGCTCCAGCTCAGTGCTTCGCCTGGCCATCCCTGGACAACTTTGTCCATTTAATACCTGGGTACCACATCATCTCCTGCACACCTAAGCTTCCTGAGGGTGGTCACACAAAGCACAGGACCCGGCCATAGCAGGTGTTCAACATATGCTGAGTGGATGGATACATGATTTGTCCCCTCTATTGAAAGGCAGATTTACAAAGAGAAGGAGAGATGAAGATCTTCCATTCACTGCCCATCCAAAGCCAGGAATCAGGAAACAAGAGTCTCCTTGGGGTCTCTCATGTGGAAGCAGGTTCCTAAGGCTTTGGGCCATCCTCTGTTGCTGTCCCAGGCCATCAGTAGGGAGCAGGATGGGAAGTGGAACAGCCAGGACATAAATTGGTACCCATATTGGATGCCAGCACTATAAGGTAGAGGATTAGCTTGTTGAGCCACCATGCCAGCCCCATGGTCTGTCCCTTAAAATGTGTAGGCTTGGGTTTAGCATGATAACCTAGTGGCTAAATCTTTGCCTTGCAACTGCCAGAAGCCCATATGGAGCTACTTTATGTCCTGACTGCTCCACTTCTCATCATGGTCCCTGCTTATGGCATGGGAAAGCAGTAGAGGATGGCCCAGTCTTGGGACCCTGCACCCACACAGGATACTAGAAGAACCTCCTGATGGGCCCAGCATGGTGGCCTAGTGGCCAAAGTCCTTGCTTTGAACACGCTCGGATCCCATATGGGCGCCAGTTCTACTCCCGGCAGCTCTACTTCCCATCCAGCTCCCTGCTTATGGCCTGAGAAAGCAGCTGAGGACAGCCCAAAGCCTTGGAACCCTGCACCCAGGTGGGAGACCTGGAGGATGTTCCTGACTCCTGGCTTCAGATCAGCGCAGCACCGGCTGTTGCGGTCACTTGGGGAGTGAATCATCAGACGGAAGATCTTCCTCTCTGTTTCTCCTCCTCTCCGTATATCTGACTTTGTAATAAATCAAATCTTAACAAAAGAAAAAGAAGCTCCTGTCTCCTGGCTTTGGGTCAGCTCTGCTGCGGCTGTTGTAGCTACTTAAGGAGTTAACCAACAGACAAAAGATCTTTCTGACTCTCCTTCTCTCTGTAAATCTGCCTTTATAATAAAAAAAATTTTAGGGCCCAGCGCGGTGGTGCAAGTGGTTAAGGTCCTCGCCTTGCACGCCCGGGATCCCATATGCGCGCCGGTTCTAATCCCGGCAGCCCCGCTTCCCTTCCAGCTCCCTGCCTGTGGCCTGGGAAAGCAGTCGAGGACGGCCCAAAGCTTTGGGACCCTGCACCCGCGTGGGAGACCCGGAAGAGGCTCCTGGCTTCGGATTGGCATAGTATCGGCCCGAAGCGCTCACTTGGAGAGTGAATCATCAGACGGAAGATCTTCCTCTCTGTCTCTCCCCCTGTATATCCGCCTTTCCAATAAAAAAATAATAAAAATAAATCTTTAAAAAATTTTAATACATAAATAAATAAAAAATATTTAAGCTGTAGGCTGTTACTCAGATGAGGAACATTCTTGAGCCTCTCCATCCTCCAGCCACTCCAACCAATCCCCAGCCTGCCCTTGACGCCCACACCTGACGCCTGGGCCCTAAGCATGGAGTAAAGCGCCAAGCCCCTTTAGGATCTGCTTTCCACCTGTGCCTTTTTCTTCAAGGACCCTTCACCCCATACACAGTGGATCCCCAAGACTCAGAGATCCTGCAGTTCACATCTCTTCCTCACCAACACTCATCTGTCACCCCTGGGTCAGCGCTTGGATCGTGGGCTCAGCCATTCATCAGCTCAGCCATTCAGAATCTGTCCAGCCCTCTCAAAGGGAACACTCACTGCTGGCAGCATCCGAGCCCGACATCCCACAAAGCAACTCAGCCTGCCTTTGCCTCCTGTCATTCTGTAAGTGAGTGTCCCCTCGGCTGCCTAGTAAGGGTCACCCTGACTGTTGAAAGATGACTCCCCAAAAAGCTATGGTGTACCGTACAGAGAAAATTTTCGTTAGGTAGGTTCCATTCAGGCCTGAGTTACAGCAAGGCTGGCCCTGCGGTCAGTGCTCATCAATCAAGCGTGCCCCTCAACTTGACAGTTCACGGAGACACAAGGCCTGTTTCCCCAGCAGGAGCTCAGCCCTGTCTTTCTTCATGGCACCTAGCATGGCATGTTTGTGGGGACCTGAGACAGCCCAGCCACCATGGGTAATGAGAATGGATTTGGATGCACAGGTGTCCCTAAACTCATGTACCTGACTCCAGCCTGGCTCCCCAAATGCACCAGGCATCCTACACCCCCAGTATCCTACACTCCCACCCACCCTACACCCCAGCTTCCTGCACTCCCAGGCGTTTACCTAAGCTGCTCCTCCCACCAGGGCTGCTCCAGACTCTGCCTCAGCTCCATCAGCAGACACAGCAGACAACCTCCTGGGTGCCAGGCACCAGCCCTGGGGATGCAGCAGTGGACAAGGCAAGGTCCCTCTTGTCAATGCTCATGTAATCTTAGAGTTGGCACATCCACAACACAATGACTATGCTGCAAGAAATAAGCGCTGACTGTATGCCAGGTACCTATGCCAACTGCTTTGCATACAGCAGCCAACCTTCTCAGAGGTTGGATGCTATAGACACCTGCAGACAGGCAACCAAACTTCAGAAGGGCTTGCCCTTGGCACGTAACACAAACGGTGGCTTTTTTAGTGTCCACAGCCCAGGGCAACTTCTGCAGACACCTTTTCTGAGCACCCTCTGTGATGTAGCCCCCTCACTTCCTCTTGCATGGGCCCAGTTCCCTCTACCCACGCAGCCACCTTGGGCAGCCTCGCATCTTTTTACTTTAATTTCTTGGGCTCCATGGAGCCTGAGCACCTCTCCCTCTACCTGAGGGAGGCTACTTTCTTGTCCCCCAAAGTGCCAATTGCCATCCTTTGCGGGGGGTTTCCCTCAGGGGTTGCACCCACTCTTCCTGATTTGCAGAAGTTCTTCATTTGTTCTAGACCTTCATGTCAGACACTGCCTTATGGATCACGCTGTTGACATCTTATTTAAGAAGACTTTCTTCTTCATCACTATCACACATTTTATAGTTTTGCCGCTTACGTACAGTTCTCTAAATCACGGGGTGTCCACACTGTCTGGGGCAGCGGGCAGGAATGCCTCCCACACTTCTCCAGAAAGCAAACCATGCCCGTTATCTGCTATCCCGTCACCTTATTCTTTCTTTTATGTATCAGATCAAAGAATGTGAGATGAGAGGGAGGGAGGGAGGAAGGAAGAGAGAGAAGGATGGATGGATGGATGGATGGATGGATGGAAGGAAGGGCAGAAGAAGAGATGGAGGGAAAGAAAGAGCAAATAAAAGTGCAGGAGACAGGCAGTTTCATCCCTTTGTGTGGTGCCAGCCCTGCACCCCGGTCATTCCTCTCCATGTGCCCCTGCCATGTCCAGGGTGTTTGAGAGGCACATCAGTCCAATCCTAACATATTAAGGAGATAGTGGCCAAGATATCTGGTTAAGAATGCAGAGGAGGGCCCGGCGCAGTGGCGCAAGTGGTTAAAGGTCCTTGCCTTGCACGCCCGGGATCCCATATGCGCGCCGGTTCTAATCCCGGCAGCCCCGCTTCCCTTCCAGCTCCCTGCCCGTGGTCCGGGAAAGCAGTCGAGGACGGCCCAAAGCTTTGGGACCCTGCACCCGCGTGGGAGACCCGGAAGAGGCTCCTGGCTTCAGATTGGCATAGTATCGACCCGTTGCACTCACTTGGGGAGTGAATCATCGGACGGAAGATCTTCCTCTCTGTCTCTCCTCTCTGTATATCCCGCCTTTCCAATGAAAAAATAATAAAAATAAATCTTTAAAAAAAAAAAAAAAGAATGCAGAGGAGTAGCCCGTGTCTCAGGCAAAAGAGTGGCAGGGTTGACGGCCGTTTGATGAAAACGAATGCAGTGTTGATTTAACAAAAGCGCCTGGTGCTGGGCTGTAAAATTGTCGAGCAGAACAGCTCTAACTCACAATGCAGCGCTTCATTAAAGAGGGTTGGGGAATGTTTGAATTCCTGGGTCACCCAACTCCAGGTGGGTTGCCTGGCCTAACCTTTTCCCACACAAATACCAACATAGGCTGACTCACAGGAGCTAAAGGGACGGTGAAGGACGCATCCTTGAGATCAGAACAGAATAACAAACATGAGTCGATGGGAGGAAGCCATGTGTAAGGGTTAGGAACAGACGTGAATGTGTGTCCATGACTTAGAGGTCACAGCTGGCAAATCTTATACTGGAGGACAATCCTGTGAATGTGGCTTTTTCACTGGCAACAGGGGAGAGTTCCAGGGAGACTGGCACGTAACTAATATGCCCACTTTCAGTAACTGTTTCATATGCACAGAAATGCCCCCGTTCGCTGTTTGATATCCAGGACGTGGGACACCGTTTCATCTCACTGGAGGTGTGGCAGTTTTGAGTTTGACCACTACCAGGGGGTAATGGCTTGCCAGTCCTGGCAGGTTGCTTCCAGCCCAGCCCGTGGGCGATTGCAGCTGGAGTTGATACAGGAGGGCACTTCCTTGAGCATCTTCTTCGACTCTTGTCGTAGGAGGCCCGCCTCTCTCAAAGGGACAGTCATCATGTCATTCTTACTGGTTTATCTTATCCAAACTCCACATTTGACTCACTTTCCAAGAATTTCAGGGACACATATCTCTAAATATATACAGAAGTCTTTGTGATTTTGTGCAGCAAATCTCAGCTCAAAAATCCTGGATATGGACACTCTGGCATTATAAGAAAAAAAGGCATAGCAGTCTTTACCAAGATTGACCTGTCAGGGTGGAAGTCCATGTGCACTCATGGGTGCCCCTGGCTCCTTGTACTGGAGTTGTTTCGGCCTGCTGGGCACCAGCGTCTTTGCACAATACTGAAAAAGTGGCATTGGTGTCAACTAGGAAAGTGTTAGACTTGCCCCCTATTTTTACAGTTGCCAGATGCTCACTGGTGGCCATTGAGCTCTGGCCCCTTCCGTCTGAATCCACTTCCATAATTTTGGGGTGATTTTCCTGTTTCTGTTGTATATGCAAGTTTGGACGATCCCTTCTCAGAGCCCTTGGTGTGTGCAGTGTGCACTGTCTGACGGCTGAGTCAGTCCCCTCCAGAGCCAATTCCAGCGTCAAGCACGGGGATCCCACATTAGGTGCCGGTCTCCCCCTGCCGGCCAATGGAAGAACTGCGTTCCCCTCGGGTTACACCTGTTTACATTTCCGTTCTATTTTCCCACCTTTTTGTAAGGGTTCATATTTACAGACGCCAACATCCAGTCCAATCCAATCCTATCCGTGCATCCTTATCTCTAAATATATACAGAAGTCTTTGTGATGAATATATATAATGAATATATAACCAGATAAATTCTAAAATATACTAAATAAAACACAATTATATAATTTAAAACATACTTAGATGTAACAGGACATATATTTACATTTAACCTGCTATTATATGTATGTGTCATATATTTACATATCTATATAATTTATATTTAGGTTATATTTACAGTGTCTACATATATACATAAGAGCATATTGATAACATACAATGTTATCAATTTTATATTTATGCGATATATAAATATGTGCAAACACTTATGTTTATATGGATAATATACAATATATAATGTTATAAAGTTTATGTTTACAATTATTTGATTCTGTTACAGATTCATGGTGATTCTATAAATAATAAGTCTATAATTCTGTAACTAACCTATCTGAATGTCATTATCTGCAAGTTTCACTGAAGCCAACATCGTCATTAAGAGGCTGCATCTGTCATTGATTAAGCACCTGTTCTGTCCTGGTTCCCAGGGCTGGTGGAGAAGCCAAACAAGTTGGGGTTCACGGCGGGAGTCCAGTGTCAGCCCCCCGCAGCCCTCACAGAAGGGATGGCACTACGGAGTCAACAAATCCTCAGTTCCCACCCTGGCTTTGTCCCAAACCAGCTGTGTAGCCTCAGACGCACCACTTCTCTTCCCTGAGCCTCCTGTCCTTTATCCATTCAAAGGAAGCCGTGAAGACCTCCTGAGCAGGCTTGGTCTGGGGACCAAGTGAGTCGGTCTGGTTGGGAGCAGTGGCCCAGACATGGGGAGGTGTGAGATCAGGGAGCATGTTGCCCCACCTTCAGAAGGCCTGGAGCCGCAGGGTGTGGCCCCAGCCAAATGACAGCCCACAGCCATGCTCAGACCCCTGCTCCGTGCTGGGCTCTCCTCGAGTGCCAGTTCTGTTTAGGGAGTCTGAACCTGGTTAGGAATGATGGAAGAGCTCCATTCTACAGAGAGGAAAACTGAGGCCCCGGCAGGTTCCTCGGTTCCACCTGGGAGAGGGTAGCTGCCCAGAGAACTGCTCTTCCCACACCAGTCACCAGAGGGCGCCGGGGGGGAGGTCCAGCAGCTGTGGATTCCTCAGTTCTCTGTGCCCAGGGCATACACCAGGGCTGGGTCAGGAAACCCTGTGGCCCAAGGGCTCTTCTCTACAGGGGACAGGAGACAGACCAAGGCCTGCAGGAGAGGAAGGGCAGGGACCTCAGGGGCTGTGGGGACCCTGCTGGGTGTACCTGCCTCCCTGCCCTTCCCTGTTGGGTCTGCACCTGTGTCTCAATGCCTCCTGCTCCCCCTCTTGGCACCTCTTTTGGGATTCTAAGCTTCTCCAGCTATTGTGTCCTGGCTCGTGACTCTGTCCATTTCGTCTGTCCATCTCATCTCTCTTTCTTTATGTCTATGCCTTTCTCTCTCATCTCTGCCTCGCTTCCTTCGTTTCACATCCTGCCCCTCCCCAACTGCCGCCACCCACCATGTGTGGGCCTGAGGTCTCCGTCGGGCCTGTGCCTCCCACCTCCTCATCTCGGGCAGCGGTTCCCATCTTCCAAGTCCTGGCCACTCCTGCCCACCCCTCTTGGGCCTGAGGGAGGCGTGGGTCAGGGAGGAGGAAGGGAAGGCAGGGCAGCCTGGTCGGCCCACCCCTTTTTGCCTTTCCAGGCTGGGAGGCTGGACCAGGGACGCTTTTAACCAGCCTGGCCAGGCTGTACCGGCCGCCAGCCCTGGACAGCACTCCCGCCCAGCCAGCATGCAGCAACAGCCTCCGCCCGAGCCCTCGGGCCCCTCGGCTGAGCCCACTAAGCCTCCCTACAGCTACATCGCCCTGATCGCCATGGCCATTCAGAGCTCCCCAGGACAGCGTGCCACCCTCAGCGGCATCTACCGCTACATCATGGGCCGCTTCGCCTTCTACCGCCACAACCGACCCGGCTGGCAGAACAGCATCCGCCACAACCTGTCCCTCAACGAGTGCTTTGTCAAGGTGCCCCGCGACGACCGCAAGCCCGGCAAGGGTAGCTACTGGACGCTGGACCCCGACTGCCACGACATGTTCGAGCACGGCAGCTTCCTGCGCCGCCGCCGCCGCTTCACTCGACGGACAGGTGCTGAGGGCACCAAGGGCCTCCCCAAGGCACGCCGCGGACCCCCCAGAACTGCCAGCCAGGACCCAGGTGGCCCCAGCAGCGTGACCGACAACAGGCAATGCCCACTTCCACCAGGGCCCGCAGACCCCAAGGGCCTGAGCTTCGGGGGTCTGCTGGGAGCCTGGCCAGCGGGCATGCACCCAGCTAGCACCGACGCCAGGCCTCAGCTACTGCCAGAGCCCAAACAGATGTCTGTTCCCAAGCCCGCCTGCCCAGGGGAGCTCCCCACAGCCCCCTCGCCTTCCTCGTGCCCCGCGTTTGGCTTTCCTGCTGGATTCTCAGAGGCCGAGAGTTTCAACAAGGCCCCTGCACCTGTCTTGCCCACGGAGTCAGGCAGCATCGGGAGCAGCTACCAGTGCCGCCTGCAGGCGCTGAATTTCTGCATGGGGGCCGAGCCGGGTCTAGAGCACCTCTTGGCAGCCGCAGCCCCCTCCCCTGCACCATCCACCCCCCCAGCCTCCCTGAGGGCCCCGTTGTCCCTGCCGGCTGACCCCAAGGACTCCTGGGTCAGTGGGGGTTTGCCTGGGCAGGGAGCCCCTGGCTACCCATTGGGGCTGACCCCTTGCCTCTATCGGACACCAGGAATGTTCTTCTTTGAGTGAAGGCAGCCTGCCAACTGCAGCCTGCAGGCCGAGCCCGGCTCCAAGATCGGAGGAATTCTCAAGGACCCAGTCATGGCGGGCCAAGGACACCCAGGACAGGAATTTGGGATTGAAATTGTGGACACTCAGCCAGGCCGTGGGGCCTCTGGATAACCTGGGAGTGGGTGGGGGAAAGAGGGAGCCCCTTGAATTTGCTCTGTGGCTGTTGGTGCAATAAAGCTATGTAACGATGAGGGTGAGAGTGCACTTGCTGGATATTGGAGGCTGAGACCAGGGTGCCCCATCAATGCGAGGCCAGCTGTGGTTGTATGGGACCCCTGCTAGGAAGGCCACCCAGGAGGCCTGCTCCCTGCAGGGGACTTTCTCAGGGAGTTTCCCAAAGGCGCTGGGGAAGAATGAGCAGCACATGGGGGCAGGGAGGGGAGCTGGCCTGGGGGACCCAACTCTGGAGCCTGGGATCCTGGAACTCGGCAGCCCCCAGCCTGGGCAGTCATGGAGGCAGTGACCATCTGTGGCCTTGCTCTGTCCCACATGCTGCAGTGGTGGCAGCTGAGGCCCAGAGCCTGGGGCCTGCCAGCTCTGGCTCCGGAGGGCCAGTGAACGGCAGAGAGGAAGCAGAACCCAGTCTGTGTGACTGTGGCCTGCAGGACTGTTGTGGAACCCCGGAGCAGGCCAAGGGCCGTGTTAAGTCACGGTTTACAAGGGGACCTCATGGTAAATATGGGGATCCCATGGGAAGCAGAGCCTGTGTCCATCTGAGCATCCCCCTTACCAACTGCGGTCTCTCCTGAGGCCCCCAGGCCCCGGGTCTCCTGAGGACTCTGAGGACATTTTCCTCCTGGTGCAGGGGCAAGACACCCTCTCCCCGGCTGGCCTGAGCCCTGACCTTTGACCTTTCCCAGCTATTCAACTGGGTGGAAGCAGCCTTGTAGGTAGGTATCTGTGGTTCCCATTAGAGAGTCAGACCTAACCCAAAGCCACACCAATCCCACAACCCCCATGATGAAGGACAAGTGGCATATGGCTTCCTCCCCAGCACCTCAGTCTTCTCATCTGGGTCATGGGTGTGTAAGGAGAGGAGGGAGTGCTAGGTCACCCCTATGCCGGGCTTTAATCTGGGGGCAACAGCCTGGGGACTGAAGACCCCATCGGTGGGCAAGCAGCCCAGTCTGCCCCCAGAGGTCCTCCCTCGGGCAGGCGGCCATGGTGACTTCAGCTGCTGTGGCTCCCTCCTCAGTAAGTCTCCTGGGGCCAGGGAGGAAGTTAGCCCGGCTGGACAGCCCCAACTGTCTGGTTCCCACAGACTCTAGAGCATGGGTGGGGGCTTTTGCTGGGGCCGGAAGGGGCTGGGAAAGTGGCTGGCCAGCTGCGGGGCCCCTTCCCGCCATGCCTGCTGCACCCAGACCCTAGCATGCAGTGAGGGAGGGAGCAAGGTCCTTCCTGCCTGCACTGGGGGATTTGGGTCACTGGCTAGGGAGAAAGGTCCCGTGTGGGAGGAGGACAGAGGCTCGTGTGGGGGGTTGCAGGGCCGTGTGTGCCCGTGAGTATTAGGATATCTCGGAGTAGGGGTTTCTGTCTGTGATTCCAGGGCAACAGACGTGGAAAACTGTAGCTCTTTCTCAGCGGAGGGAGGCCACACAGGCCTCGTTCCCTGCTGTGCATTCCTTAGGAGCCCCAGTGACCCTATGCCTCCCTAGTCTGTGTTCTAGATTGGTAGGAGGCTGGCAAGGAGGGCCCAGGCCCCGCTCGGAAAGCAACCCAAGTTGCCAGGGTCCTGGGGAGATGTGAAGAAGGGTCAGCCGCCCACAGCTACACCGACTCAGCTCCAAGTGGAAGCCCCCTTTGCAGACTCCAGGTGCTCGGCCCCAGGCCCTGGGCAGAAGCCAGGACTCCATGCCAGCTGTGACCCTGGACCAGCACCCGACTGTCCAGGCATCGCTTTTTCCTCCCTTTGCCCAGCAGCTGGGAGATGGACAGCCTGAGTCTTGGGGGCCTGAACCCCAGGGGATGATGTGACTCGGGAGGATGGAGCAGAGGACTTCAGGAGACTCAGACACCATGATCTCATGCTGCCCTCTGCTCGCTGCCCAGCTGGGGCCCCCACCCACTGGGCCTCCTGCCCTTACATTCCTTCCATGACCTGCCGACACCTCCCTCCGGGCTCCCACTTGCCCGCCCCCCACCTGGGTCCAGCTCTGCAGGCCAAGATCCAGAGAGCCTGATCCAACTCTACCCAGAGACGGACAGCGAGACTGAGGTCAGACGAGGCGAGTGGCATGCCTAAGCCACACACCAAGGCAGAGCTGGGCTGTCCACCCATCCATCACTGCCCCTCTGCTGCCCGGAGCCCCCGGGCTGCCGCAGCTGGCCCTGCCTCAGGAGGGGTCCCAGTCCCAGTACCTCCTCTCAGCAGAACAAAATGGAGTCTTGCAGACAAGGTCCTAAAGTGATAGCAGTATTTCTGAGCAGCCCAGCGCTCTGACAGGCGGCACAATCCTTGGGCAATCAGAGTTGGCATCCCTCCCCAGGGCAGCCACCAAACCCTCTGACACTATTAAGTGTGGACCCCATATGGGGCTCCAGGAAAGAGGGTTCCTCCTTGCTCCACAGGCCCGAGCAGGAAGCCCCACACTGCTGTGCTTTCGTTGTCTGTTCTCTCCCTGCCCACTCCCACCCGCAGGCCCTGCCTTCCTCAGCAGGCCCTCCACCCTTGCCTTATCTCCTGGCCACTTGCCCACCCACTGCTTCCTTCCCTGGTCTATGGCATTCCACCGCCCACAGTGAGGCACTCCTTTCCCCAGCTTGGCATGTCAGCCTGCTGGGCGTGCTGGTGCCAGTCTATCCTGCCCTTCCCCTGTATACTCCATGCAGCCAGAGAGAGGAGGCTGCCTGCCTGGGTTCCCGTCCCTGCAAAGCCACTTCCTAGCTGTGTGGCCTTGGGCAGACTATCTTCCCTCTCTGTTTCTCTCATTTCTAAAATGTGGACACAAGCAACTGGCATAGTGGTGCCACCTGTGATGCCAGCATCCCCTTTGGGCACCAGTTCAAGTCCTGACTTCTCTACTTCTAACCCAGCTCCCTGCTAATGTGCATGGGAAAGCAGCAAAGGATGGCCCAAGTGTCTGGGACTCTGCCACCCACATGGGAATCCAGATGAAACTCCTGGCTTCAGCCTGGCCCAGCACTGGTCACTGGTGGTCATTGGTAGCCATGGTGGGAGAGGGGTTTAGCAGTGGATGGAAGATTCTTCCTTCTTTCTCTTAATAAATAAAATGTGGGCACATACTAGCGCCTACCAGTGAGCTGCGAAGATCACACTAGGAAACGCTTGCCAAGCGCCTAGTACGGGGTCTGGAAGCTGCAATCCATGTGGTATTCAAGGAGAATCAGTGAGTGAATGCATCTCAGACACTTCACCCTGCACCTGGTTTACGCCCTCAGAGGAGTGTCTAATCACAACGGGAGGGGGAGAGGACGTCACGGTGACAAGGTCTTGCCCTCAGCCCCTGCACCTGCTCTGTCCTGCCAGGTGACCCTCTGCAAGCAGAGTCACTTCTCTGCATCTTGCTTTCTCTATCTGTAAAACGGGTCCGGTGATTCAGACTTGCCACTTCCGGTGTCCTCCCTCACACTGCGCAAACCATTCGGCTACCACGAGTGTAAAATAGCCCCACTGGCGGCTCCAGTCCTGTCCACCCCCTCCTTCCCACACGGCAAAACCCACTGCCCGGCAGGGCCAAAGCTGCCGCTTTCCCATCTCTGCCTTCCCGGTAACTGGGTGGGGCCGGAGAAAGCGGTTCCACGGCTAAAAACAGGCCAGAGGCCCCTCCCGCCGCACGGTCCACCAAACCCAGCCTGGGACCACGGGAAGGCTGGGACAGGGTGGTGTAGAGGGGGGCTGCCTCCTTCTTGACCTCTCTCCGGTTCAAATAAGCAAGGCTGCCTGCCTCCTGCTGCTCGCCCGTGAGGTTTTTTTCCACCCCTGAACCCTCAAACTCACAGTTCCTTCAGCCTGGAACGCCCTTTCCCCGCTGGCTGGCTCCTCCGTGGCCAGAGGCCAAACCTCATCAGCCTCAAAGAGCTGCCCGCTGCTGCCTCACGTGCGCCCGTGGCCACATGCAAAAGGCTCAGGTGTGTGCTATGCACCTGTGGCTGGGTCTCTGCCTCTGAGGGCAAGTTGTTCGCGTACAATGGGCGCCCAGAAAGAGGTTCACTGAGTGGCAGGATGGAGGCCTGATACAGTCTCAAAGAGCCCTTCCCTGTCATTTAAGGGTGACAGCACAGCCCTGGCGGGCCTGGGGCCTCTGCCAGCGGCCGCGGTCACCTCTCGCCTTCCCCTCTGCCCTTGCTCTTCCTTCCACTTGGAACAGCATTCCATTAACATCCACAGGGTTCCTTGCCTCAAGTCACCTCACCATCACATTCACCATTCACTGCCCTTCTCCTCCCCCACCCCCTTCCCCAGTCAACACGTTCTCAAGCCATTTGGGCCCTTGGGAGTCTGTAAGAATGAAGTCCCAGGAGGCAAGGGGTCTTTGGTCTGTTCACTGCCTGTCCTCAGCCCCTGGAGCAGTGCCCAGATGAGGCAGAGACTCAGGAACATGCTAACCAGCTCAGCAGCCAGTGCCAGATGCTACCCGCGGGCCCCACGTGACTGTGCTGGGACCCCAGAAAAGCAGACTTGGTCCCCGGCCAGTTTTGCAGACACAATGGAGGAGCAGAGAGGACAAATACTAGGCTTGAACTCCATTCCCTGCAAGCCTGTCTCTCAGGCTCCCCGCCTCTCATGCCCACAGTTCTTGCAGCCTTTCGGGCAGATGGGGTCCGGCTCCCAGTTTCTGTGTCACGCACAGAACCTCGCAGGCTGCTGGGACCCTGACAAAGCACCGATCTGACCATGTCCTCGGCCCCAAACTCTCCCCCAGCTCCCTGTCAGCCTGAGCCAGCCTGGCGTTTGAGGTTCCTGGTGATTTCTCCAGATTCTACTTCCGGTTTCATCTTAAGGGGGAAACACACAACTTTCCTCCAGCCATTCATTTGCTTGAGACGCGCCCCCCTCCCCACCCTCTCCCTGCGACGTGGGAAAGCCCTGCTCTGTATTTGTGCTTAGGTGAGTGCAGGCCCCACTGGAGAAAGAGAATAAGTATGGCGTCTCCCTCTACCCTTACCCTCTACACACACACACACACACACACACACACACACACACACACGGGTCCCAGGGCAAACTCGACTGTCCATCTGCATTTGACAGGCCCAGAGCGAAGCAAGAGTGCCATGAAAAGATGAATGCCTTCAAAGTCAGACTGCCTGCCTCACCTCGCCTCCCGTCTCCACCCTTTATTGGCTAAGAGCATGAGGCCTGTCCAAACACCTCCTGTGCCTCCATTTCCCCTTCTTTGACACTTGCATAGAGGAAATGCCCCCTCAGGGGAGGAGGGGGTGGTGGGAGATGAGCTAAGGTCTGGGGCCTTGGTGTCACCTGCTGTCTGGGACTCACCAAGTAGTGGTCGGTAGAGAGGAGAAAGAGAGGGAAGGAGAGGTATGAGGGCATCTCTGGTGGGTGCTCGCTAAAGACAGCTCTAACGTGTTCGCACCCTTAGGACAGCCCTGTCACTGCTTCAGGCTTTTCCCACCGCTGTGCTGTAGGGTCCGAGGAGGCCAGCGGAATTCGAGGCTGCTGGACCCAGACAGGAAAAGGCAGCGTCACCAGCCCTGGTGTAATCCAAACCAGATGTGGTCCCAGTGGCTTCCAGACCCATGGGGGTGGTCACTGTGGGCCTGGCTGAGGCCCAGAGGCAGGAAATGGTCTTGGAGAAAAGTTTTCTGGGCTGGGCCCAATGGGGAGGGGCAGTCCCATGCAGCGCGTTAACCCTACTCAGCCCACAAACAGGATCCCAGGACCCTGAGCCGGGCAAGCTAGTGGCACCTTAAAGGGGAAGGCTCCAGCCTCAACACTGGGGGATGTTCTGTGCAGAAACCTGGAACCCTGCTACTGTGGTGGACAGAGCAAAGCATGCAGGAAGCAGGGCAGTTCACAGCCAGGACCCTGGGAACCACAGACCCCTACACCCAGAGCCTTGGTCCAGGCCCTGTGTTCAGTCCTAGCTGTAGTAGGGCCAGCCCGAGCCAGCTGTGGGCTTCCTCCCTCCATCGGGGTGACTCCCATTCTTTCTCCCTGTGGCTTCTGGGCGTGCAAGATGGGCAGGACAAGAGGGCTGAAGTGCAGGTCTGTCAGAGGCGGACCCAGCACCACTCCAGGAGCTGTGGGCCTCAGGAGGAATCAGGACTTCCAAACTCCATTTCCCCATCCATGTTGTCCCTGCCTCCAGGGACCAGAGTGTTTGGAGAGGCTCTGGAAGTGTGTTGGGGCAGCAGTCGGTGCAGGGCTATGCTTCTGAGTGAGTTTCTTTCTGGGACATGGAGATTTGCTGTGTGGCCTTGGGCCAGTCACATTTCCTTGACGCCTGCCTTCCCACTTGTGGCATACGGGGAAAGCATACATCCATGCCACCACTGGACTCACATGTGAGCTGCGGGAGTGGCCGAGCAGAGCCAAGGCTGTCACTCGCACACCACACAAGAAGCTGAGACTCACAGTGGGTCTCAAGAACATTAGGTTCTAGTCCCAGTTCTTGGGGTTCTCTGCTGAGGGGCATTCTGGGATTTGGCCTCAGTTTCCCCCAGCAAAGGCCAGGCCCTGGCTCTCCGCCCTGGCTGGACCTCATCATCCACCCTCCCCCCTTCAGCCATGATTCATCCCTCATCATCACGCTGTGTGGCCCAGGCTCAGCCTGGGCGGAGGCCAATAAGGCTGGGAGAGCCACTCAGAGGAAACCACAGGCCTGGCCCAGCTGGCAGGTGGCAGGCCAGGAGGAAAGAAGCCATAGCCCAGGGGGCCCTGTCCATAAGCTCACCTCCCACCGGGAGCCTGAGTCAGCCTCTCCGGGTCCCCCTGAGGGCCTCAACTACAAGAGTCAGGTTCAGGCCTTGGAGTCTCCCATATTTTTTTTCTCCTGAACACCTGCTACAATGAGCCGAGATTCACCTGCTAGATCAGAGCAGGGGTTTGGGTGGGGATCCTGGCTTCGTGCTCCAGGCCAACATTCACAGAGACAGAGAGAAGTCCTTGTCAAGATGACAAATCAAGGTGGCTCAGGAAAGCAGCCCCTTCCTGAGGCCTCCTGAAAGCCCCCAAAGAGCAAGACAGCAAAGGCAGCCCAGGCTTGCCGCCCCCCGCCAAGGTATACCCCGGAGCCCCTGATCTGAGGAGTAACCTGCTCTGTCTCTGCTTCCTCCTTTGCCCAATGAAGATAAAGAACCCAGAACTCACCAAGCACTTTCAGCACCCCAGTCTGACCCAGGTAACCGTCACTCTCTCCCCTGGCCAGAGGGGGACAGAGCAGGTCCTGTCCCTGCCTCCCAGGCTTGGGTTCAGTCTCCCTCTCCATAAAATGGAACCCTGAATCTCTACGGCATCGCCTCAGAGTGGGCATTAATGAGGTGACACCTCTACTCGACAGCGCGGAGCCCAGCACACAGCAATCACCTGACAGGTGCTGGCTGTGGTGTGCCTGGCTTCTCACAGGTGAGGACACAGAGGCAACATGGCAGGGAAGCCCCCGGGTGGATGACTACAGACGCCTGGGATGCAGCAGGTGCTCCAAGAAGAACAAGCAGGCCACAGCCAACCTGTCCGTTTATTTACAAGGCACAAGCTGACAGTCTGCCCGAGGGCCTTCTAGCCCCTCCTGGGCCTCCTGACCCGTCACTGGAGGCCATGCTGGGCCCTTGGGACAGGCCCAGAGTGGTTGCACTGGGTCCCGGCTTGCTTGGTGCTCAGGCAAGCTCGAGGGTGGTCCTCCATGTCCCTCAGGCTCCTCCTCTCCTCCGCTGCTGCTGACCTGGGCTGGCGCCCTCGCTCGAGCACAGTTCCTGTGTGTTGGTGGTCGCATGGAGGGTGGGAGGGGGCCAGCGGGCCAGATGATGTGTGCTGGGTCTTATCTGTTGGGAAAGGAGGCAGCGGGGTGCCGGGTCTCTCTCACAAAGCCTGCTCTGTCTCCCCCTGGCAGCTGGGCCTAGGCATGGGCTGAGTGGCTTCCCCATAGGAGCCACACATGCTGGGACCTCCAGTGAGCCCGGGCTGTGGATGACCCTAGGGGGGGGCAAATCAGGGGCCACCAGGACAGACTTAAAAGACAAGGAGTTGGGGGGAGGGAAGGGAAGCGGGGGTGTTGGCAACAATGGACCCTAGAGTCTGGGGCGCTGCTGGTGGGCCAGAACTCTGGGGAGGCGTTAGCAGGCTGGATCCGGGCCACACTCTGCGGCGGCTCACGGCAGGGAAGCGGTCACTGCGTGGGGGGCACGTGGGGAGCCCCGAGCCTCCCAGCCTGGCGCAGCCTGGTGCCGGCCAGCCCGCCTTCTCTGGCCTTCAGGGCTGTGTGGCCTCAGCCCCGGGCCCTATGCGGCTGCGTCCAGGCCTCGGCTGCCTGGGGGCTCACACCCCCAAAGTCATCAGGGCCCCGGAGCTGCTGATTTTCTTGAAGCGGTTCGCGGCGCTGACAGCGATGAAGTTTTTCTAGGGAAGGAGGGAGAGGGAATTCTAGTCAGCCCCAGGAGAAGGAGGGCTGGTGGAGGGAGAAGCTGGGGTGTGTCCGCTGAGTGTCCATCAAGAGGCCAGAGTCCACGGAGGGTGCAGTACCCATAGTGGCCACAGCAGGCGCCATGACATGCGCCATCACTTGCTAGGTCAGCTCACCGCGTTCAAACACTCTGGCAGCTCCAAGCAACCCCTCCTTTCCTCTCTGACCTCATTCCTACTTTCTTGCTCGGCTCACTCCAGCCTTACTCGCCTCTACCTGTTCCCCAGATTGACCAACAGTGCTCCTGCCTCACCCTTGGCACAGCCTCCCTTGCCTCAGATGGTTTTGCTGCAGCCCTGGTACTGCTCACCCCTCCTCCTCCCTTGGACATTCATTCCAGGGCTCCCTCGCACTGAGTCCTCCCAAATACCCTATCTTCAAAGTGCAGCCTTGGTCCAGGGCAAGGGGTCGCACAGTGGCACAATGGGTTAAACTACCGCTCCAAATACCAACATCCTTTATCAGAGCTGTGGTTTGAGCCTGACCTCTGTTTTCCTGATCCAGCTCCCTCTTGATGCACCTAGAAGGCAGCGGACTCTGGCCCAAGTCCTTGGGTGCCCGCCATGCATGTGGGAGATGGGGAGGGAGCTCCTGGCTCCTGGCCCCCACCTGGCTGTTGCAGCTGTTTAGGGGAGTAAACCAGTAGATGGAAAGATACCTCTGTTTCTCCTCTTCTCTCTGACATTTTGCCTTTCAAATAAATCAATCTTAAAAAAATAATAATAAAATGCAAATCAGGCCTGGCACTCCTGAACCCTGTTATTTTGGGGTACAACCTGAGGACTCCTTCTTCAGCTTCCACCCAGTACCTCCACAGAAACTCAGAGCTACAGAAAATCAATGCCTAGAGATTGCGACTCCACCACAGGCTTGCTTCCTTCCATCTTCAAATATCAATTGCGCAGCAGCGGACACTTCCCTGGGCCCAAGCCCCACATGGACACCCCACCCAGAGTAGAGGAGTGGGTGGAGGGCTCCCCTCCCGGGCAGGAGCCAGTCCAGGATGGAGCGAGAAAGCTCAGCCCTGCTTGGCAGACAAGACTAGGTGGCCAAGGCAGAGCTGCAGGGGCTGGGAGGCACGCCAGCCTCTCCCTGCCCCCACCCCATGGTACCTTCCAGCGTCTCTTCATGAGGTATTTCTTCAACAAGATCTGGGACTTGAGACGTCGGTTACAGCGCTTGGCTTTCTCCGCCAGGTTGTTGAGCCAGGGGTGGGCGAGACACTGGGCAGCACTCATCCGGGCCCTGTGGGAAGGCATGGGAGGTGAGAGAGGGCAGTGTGCTGGGAGGCACCCAACCCTGCTGTGCCACCCTGGGAACCCACGTGGGGTTGGGGTCTCAGCCCAGGGTGAGCCTCACCCCTGCTCCTTGACAATGAGGTTGGAGACGAAGTCTTTGGCCTCGTCTGACACGGCCTCGAAGGTCTCCTCGTCGAAGTACCAGTTGCCGGAGAGCACGTTGTTCAGGGTCTCCGTGTCGTCATCTCCCAGGAAAGGAGAGAGGCCGCTCAGCCTGCAGGGAGGGCATGGCAGGGCCAGGACTGGGTCAGGCGTTGTTGAGGAGTCATTTTGGGGGTCGGGCAGATCTTAGGAGGCAATACCATGTGCTGGAAAGACCCCCAGCCTCCCAAGTGGGACAGACCTGGGTTTGAATCTGGCTGGGTGACTTTGGACAAGTCACTTCCCCTCTCTGAGCCTCACTCTTCTCATCTGTAAAATGCGCATAATCATCCTAGCTTCCCAGGGAGAAGCTGAGGACTAATGAGTGGCACAAAAACCCACGCTCTGGTCATCCAAGATTTGTTCTCCTGAGCTCTGGGCTGGGATGATCTGCTGCTCGGAGCCTTGTTTTGTCCATCTATGAAATGGGTACACAGCCCCACCTTTCCTAATTCTCCCTGGTGTGCCCACCCCCGCCCCCCGCAGACCCCTAACTGAGGGAATAAGGAGCAGGACCATTTCCCCAGAACACGAAGGCCAGTCTTGGCCTGGACTACCCTCTCACATGACCCAACCCTCTCCCTGGCCCCCCTCTCCTTTGGGGCTCACAGCATGTAGGTGATAACCCCCAAACTCCACATGTCTGTCTTATCGGAGATTTGGTCGTAATTCACCACCTCGGGCGACAGGAACTCTGGGGTCCCAAAATTCACCTTCAGCTTCTCGTTGGGGTTATACCTGAGGGTGAGACCAAGGGCTCAGAGCATAGCTCCCAGTGTGACCCGCCAAGCCCCCCAGCACCCTTCCCATCCGTCAGAGGCCAGCCCCACCCCCTCCTCAGTGGTACCTCCGTGCCAAGCCAAAGTCAATGATCTTCACCAAGTGGCCCGTAGTGTTGACACACAGAATGTTCTCTGGCTGGGGACAAAGTTGGGGGGGCCTGGATTGGTCTCTGATGCAGCCGTTGCCCTCTGGCACCAGGTCTACCCAATCCACAGACTGGTGAGGTTGGCTGCTGCCAGAGACCCTCTGAGCCTGCCTGCACCTAGACACGAGGAAAGATGCTGAGGCCTCATCTCAAAGCACAAGGCCTGGCATCGCTGGCTTCCTTCATGTCAGTTCACTAATCCTCACACCTGCCCTGTGAGGCACAAACTGTCACCCTGACGGACAGTGACCATCTGTCCCCATTTTACTTTCAATTAGACTCCAGTCGCCTCATAAGCAAATGACACAGCCAGGCTTTGAACCCAGGGCTGAAACTCCAATTCTGGCCAATGGCCAACATCCCCTGGCTGCCACTGGCCAACAAGGACCCACAAAGAACTCTATGAGTGCTGCGGTAGACACAACACTACAAGGTCATTCCTTCTGGAGCAAGGACCCTCTTTTCCCAGTATCCAAGGGCACCATCTCCATGTCTAACCATAGCCCCTGGTACTTAGCCCATGCTCAGAGGAAATCTGAGTCCCAAGCTCAGTGATGCGTGCATGATGTGTGCATGAAGATACGGCAAGGCCGGTTCCTGTTGCTGCGGCCTCCACTGCCTCCCCAGCACAGGGATCAGGGGCCGAAGCTGAGGTTCCAGGGTTCAGTAGAAGCATCTTCACACTAAAAACACTGCCTCCCAAGAACTGGAAGCCCTGTCCAGTCCATTTTTTAGAAAAATATTTTTTAAAAGAAGTATTTATTTATTTGAGAGATAGCGTAATGCTTTACTCCAAAGGGCCACAAGACCAGGCTGAAGGCAGCACCAGGAGCTCCACCCTGGTCTCCCACATGGGTGGCAGGCACCCAAGCCATCCTTCTGCTGCCTTCCCAGGCATATTAGCAAAGAGCCAGATGGGAAGTGGAGCAACCAATATGGGATTACAGTGTTATAAATGGTGGCTTAACCAGCTACCCTACCACTCAGGCCCTGGGAAGCCTCCCAGGAACTGCGCGTTCACCCAGGGCAGGACAATGAGGTCATTCCCAGCTCAGCCTGTGTCCTACCAAGACAGGAAAGGAAAAGCAAGGTCCCAGGGCCCATGTGCTGGAGGACACCCAGCAGGGTCCGCTCCCACCCAAGGAGTTTTCAGCAGCCCTGGCACATAGACCCCTGGAAACAGCCTGCCTGAGATCCAAGGGTCTCCCAACCTACTTCACCATGAAACACTTTTGTTAATTAAAACTACTTTTGTTAATGCATTGCTATCCTAGGGCAGCGGGGAACAACACATCTCAGGACCACAGGGGCTTGTTGGTTGCCTGCCTTTCTGCCTGGGGACTGTAGTCTATCACCCACAAACTAGCTCGTGCCAGGGAGGGACTTGGGACCACAGACTCCTAATCTCCCCAGGTGTCAGTGGGAGTGGCAGCAATGCACCTCAACCCGGCACTGCTGTTGTGAGGGTCACTCCCCTGTCTCGAGCAGTCCTGGACAACTTGGTAGCCCAGGGCGAGTGTTAGGGGCAGCAGCCACAGCTCCCTGGCCTGTCTTGGGCTGGCTCTGGGTGCCTTGGCCTTGGCCTTCTTCTTCAAGCTCACCTTGTATCTTTCCTCTCACTGTGAACCTCCTCAAGAATCAACTGATTCAGCCATGATCTTATGAAAAAGGGAGGCCGCATGCAACAGAGGCCACAGCTTCCCCAGTGCATCGGGTAAAACCCCAACGCCTCACACAGAACCTGCCAGTGCAGGCACGTCAAAGGCATTCATTGAGCGAGTAAGCAAGTAAAAACCCTAGCATGGCCACGTGGCTACTGGTACTAACCTCCCTTGGCTACTTGGTACTAACCCACCTCATCCCCCCCGCCTTGTCACTTGTCCCAGAAGCATTAGCGCCTTCTCCAAGGACAGTGACCACGTGGCACTGCTACCACCCTTGCCTGCTCCACACCCCGAGTAGAAATTACTCAGTTCTGGTAGCCATCACCAGCGGAGCAGCGGAGACCTGCGGCAGGAAGTCCGTATTCTGACCTCCTACTATGTGTCTGAGTAGTCTCCACATGTGTGTGCTACTGTCCTGGCACCCTGCCTAGGTGTAAGGATTAGGGATTTTTTTCTATCTTATCTCACGACCCTTAGAGGTCTCCACTACCTAGAACAGTGCCCAGCAAAAGCAGGCCGGTGGGAAATAGCAAGCAAATTAAAGCAACAAACATTTGTAGTGCCCATCGCGGGCCGACACCAAGCTTGGTGCTTTCCTGACACCTCTTAGTGACACATGTGCAGGAAGTACTGAGTCTGCTGTTCCCAGAGCTGCCAAAGACACATTCAACCACTCCCAAACACCGGGCCAAGCAGCTCAGGAGAGCTGGCCCCCAGGGTCGCTTCCCTCTCGCCTCTTCGATCACATCCAACATGTGATACATGCTCAGTAAACCTGTTGAACCGATGCGTGAGCCTGGACGAGAGGGTGCAGTGGGGCAAGGAAGGATGGAGGGTGGCAGAGCAGATGCCAACGGACCACACATGGCTCCGTACCTTGAGGTCCAGGTGCAGCACCTGCATCTTGTGCATGAAGAGGATCCCATCACAGATCTGCCTGACAAACACCATGGTGTCCACCTCGGTGAGCTGGTAGTCCTCGTCCACGATCCTCTCGAACAGCTCGCCACCCTCGATGCTGCGTGCACAGACCCCCCTCTCTACAGGCTCGCCCCGGGCCTGCCGGCAGCCCGCCCGTGCCCGCCCCGCGGCCACACTCACTACTCCATGAACAGGATGATGTCATGCGGCGTCTCAATGGCCGCGTACAGCTGGATCAGGTTGCGGTGGTTCAGCTGGTTCATGACGTCAATCTCGAGCTTGACCATTTCCTGGTGGCCAGGAGGGGTGGGGACACCCCCCGAGCAGTGGTGTCACTCCAGCTCTCCTCCCTCCCTCTCCACCTGTGCCCTCTTCCTCCACCTGTGAACACTTCCCAGCCTGCTCCTCACTGGTCTCTTTGCATCCCCTCTGTCCCCGACCCTGGGGTCGGCTGTCCTCTCCCTGGTCCTTCCCTCAGGGACTCCTTTCCCAGGCCAGCTTCACCCCTCTTCCTCCTCCTTCCTTTCTCTGCCTCCCTGGCCGCTCTCTCCCGGGGCGTCACTATCGAGTCCCATGGATCCAAACGTGACCAGCTTCCAGGTCTGCACCTCACACTGCTCCCTCCCAGGCATCCACCTGGCTACTTGCCATTTTCTGGGGATGTCTAAGAGGCATCTCCAATCCGTCATGTTAGAAATTCAACCATTGGTTCCCCCACCCCCTACCCGCCACCTGAGGTCCCTTTAGCTTGCCCCTTGGCAGAAAGATGGCAAGGCAAACAAGAATGATCTGAATTCCTCGTACTCTCACTCCACAGCCCCACACTCAATCCATCAGTAAACCTTTGGTGTTGTCTACCTTGAAACTAGACCATAAATCCAGTCATTTCCTACCTCCCCCACCACTGCCTTCCCAGTCTGAGCCACCAGTGTTTGTCACTTTCAGGAAGTTGGCAAGGCAGGTGACACCTTGGTGTGTTGGTATCAGGGATATTTCTATCACAGAGACTGGCAAACACTATGCATCAAGCCCCTGCCCAACCCAGAGCCTACTGTTAAATGCTGCCCATCTCACAGCAGCCTCTTCCTCCTCTCTGCCCTTCTTCCATCCTTCTGTTCAGGCCTCGCCTCACATACAAGCTCTCAGGACGCGCTGGCCACATCTCCCTGGCACTTCTCCCTGGCTCTTTTCATTTACTGCCACCATGTGTTTCATTTCAGTTTTAATTAAAAGATACAAGTCCTTCAGTTCTACCAGGGCAGGACCTCCCCCATTCATTTATTCAAGACATACAAATGAGAGAGAGAGAGAATCTCCCATCCTTTAGTTTACTTCAAAAATGTTTGCAATAGCTGAGGCTCGGCTGGGGTTGAGCAGCAGAAACTCAATCCAGGTTTCTTACCTGGGTGCACCTCTGCCTGGAAGGCCTGGAGTCTGCCTCCATCCTCAGCTCCCTCCCCTGCCCCCCCCCCCCCGCCTCCTGCTGGCTGTCACAGCTCTCCCCCTGCCATCCCCCACACTCCACCTTCTCCCCCTGAATCACAGCTTCATTCTTCAAAGCCCTCACGGGGGCGGGGGGGGGACAGATGGCTGCCTCGCTACCCCTCCCCCGGGGGCCCCAGGCTGTGGGGGCACCAGCCTGCAGGTGGGCGCTGCTCTCCTCCTTACACACCAGGTTTGACATTTCACCTTGCCTGCACCTGGGCATTCACTCCTTGAACGCTACTTGTGGTCTCCTCGCCACCTAGCCCAAGTGGCTGCTGAAGGCAAAGCTTCCAACCAGGCTGGTTTACCTTCACATCAATTCCCCAGGGTGTAAACCACATCCACTTCACTCTGGGACCCCCAGTTCCCAACACGGGGGCCTGGCCCAGAACCCCCACTCATCACCGTTGAACTAAACATCCAAGTTCCCTCTTCCCCCCACCATCACTAACGGTGGTGCCTGGCTTGTGCCTGCGTCTGTCTGTGGCTTGTCTTCACATAGCAGCTGCCATGCAACAAGGCTCCCACTTCAGGGCCCGCATTCAGTGGCACAGGTGGAGACAGGAGGGAAGGACCACCTCTTGGGCACCCCTCCCCCTCCTGCAAACCCTCCACTACCTTGTCTTTGGGGGTCTGCTTCTTGATGACCTTGGCTGCCAGCTTGAGGCCTGTGGCTTTCTCTGTGCAGGTACACACTGCTCCAAACTTGCCTCTGGAGAGAGAAGAGGGTGAGGATGAGGGGACACTGCTCAGGGCGTTGTGCCCTGCCCTCCATCTCGGCCTCCGAGTCCTGCTGGGAGACGGAAATGCTCCCTCCAGCCCCACCCCAACTTTTTCCTGATGCTGGGAGCACACAGACCGTGGCTGAGGGAAGGCTCCTCCAGACCCGTGACCCTTTTGGGCTTAGGCCTTGTAGGAGCCCTGTGAGAGGAAAGCCACCTTGCCCCCAAGGAGGTCAGAGTGGTGTCTGAAATGCAGACAGCTAGGGAAACACTGTCTTATAGAACCCTGGCATGCCTGTGTGAGTGACAGGGACTTGGAGTACAAAGAAGCACATAAGAGCTTGCACACACAGTGTATCACCACACACAAGAGGGGCGTGTCCAGGCCTTGCACGCGGCCAGGGACTCCGTGCTCTTCTGTCTGTGGATGCCAGCATGGGACCCCAGCTCTCACCCTCCCAGCGCCTCCTTGGAGTTGATGCTGAATTCACTGTTGACATTTCCGGTTCTCAGCTCCACAATGCGGTGGGGAAACGGGGCTGGGGGTGGTGGGCAGTCATCTGAGGAGGCAGAGTGGAGCTGTCAGGGTTAACCTCAGCAACTGTGGAGTATTCTTCCCAGAAAGTGAGATTCGCTAAGTGGGACTTGGGGGACACTGACTCCAGGACTGGAGGCCCAGCTTTCCCCAGCAGGCCGGCCACCAACACACAGAAGGGCTTTAGGAGGTCTCTGCCTCTCTCTGAAGGGACCCCGCTTCTCCTGGCTAAACAGTAAGCACAGCTGACTGGACTTCAGGGTAAGGTATGAAGACTCCAAACAACCAAACCCACATAGCAGGTATGAAACGAAGGCTGCGCACCCTGTTTAAAGCACCACCAGCCCCGCAGCACCAGCGAACCGGAGACGGAGACGTTGGGTGGAGAGGGGCCGCCACCTAGTGGTAAGCCTGGAGAACAGCAGGCCCTGAAGCCTACCCCAGCTCCAACCCCTAGGCTGAGTCATCATCGGGAATGGAACCCTCTTTTAAAAATAGCGAGAGGCCACAGGGAAGCCGGGCTGGTGATAAATCAGACGGCCTTTGGAGATGGTTCAGGTCCCATCGCCCGGAGGATGTGATTTCTGGGCGGGGCAGGGCGCTGCAAGGCCACTGGCCGCCACCCAGCCGCCAGGTCCTCCCACCCTGTCTGGGTGGCATGGTGCCGCTCACCAGGCGGGCTGGCCTGGCTCCCAGGGCACCTCAGCCTGGGGGCGGGGAGGGGGGTTGTTAGGACATTCTGAGCCTTCCTGACCCCATCTCACCCCACCCCCAGCACGACTGAACCCCAGCTCAGGGCTCCTCCTGCTGCGGCTAAAATGCACCACAGGCCCTTCTCTAATCACCCATGGGGAGCCCTTTGCACTGTTGTCCCATCTCACATTTGAGTCCATGGAGTCTGGGGTGATCGAATAAACTTCCTGCGTTTTTAAAAAAAATTTCATTTTAGCCAAAGCAGAAGAATGTTCAAAGTGAGAGGCACTCCCTAGGGCTATGTAACAAGTCAGCTGGGGAGGCCCGGGAGTGGGGGATGCCAAGTGGGCGCCCTTTATCCTCCTGCCCAGGCAGCGCCAGCCCCCTCCTTGCCTGGCCTACCTAAAATCTGGAAGCAGTCCTCCTCTCTGGTTGGGAGGCCAAGGGCCTGCCCCACCTCCGGTTTCTCCGAGGGAACAGCCTGGAACTCCATCCCACTGGCGGTGTCCTCTTGCACCTTCACCTGGCCATCTTGGCCAGTGTGGCCTGGGGCTTTCTCTCCTGCTTCCTTCTGGCTCTCCGCCAGCTCGTTCTTTGCTCCTTCTGCATCGGCTGACCCGGGATCTGTGGGGGCGAGGGTCACCCCTTCAAAGATGAGCTCGGACACCTCACTGAGGGGCTGCTGGGGGGGCTGCTTCTCAGAGCTGGAAGGGGGAAACAGACAAGGGAAAGACTTAGCACCGCCTCATGCGCCATCCACAGCCAACAGTGCCCCCAGAGTGTTGTGGGGAGATGCATGCTGCTTGACTTTGCATCAACCAAGGAAGGTCAATACCACAAAAACTGCTCCCCATCTTGGCTTTTGACATACTTAGAGATCTGATAACCGTGAAGAGGGTCCTTCATGAAGTGTCACGTGGGTACAACTAGGAAGTTGGTAGCTCTTGATTCATAGTTTGTGGCAATGTCATTGATATTACCCAACCATCAAATTGATAAGCTAAGTGTCCCTGTGGTGGCTTACATCATTAGCATTCAGCAGGTATAGCAAATTGTATGACACCAGTGCTGCACAGAGATTACCAAAGTGCTGGCGACCATCCACCTGTTTAGTCGCTAGCCAGCTTTTCCTATTACACGGTTCCTAACGATTGTATTAAGACTGATGATGTCTCGTGACAGATCAACCCTGCCCTTGCCTAGAGCCAAGTCCACAGAGAAAGAGGGGCATCAGCTTAGGGATCTTTCAAGACCCAACACGCAGGATGAACGCATCTAACAAAAGCATCAGAGCTACCCTCCCCAGCACTCCACGGAATGATAATGATGCCCGTGACAGGGGAACAAAGCAGGGGATGAGCCAGAGGCCTCCTTCCCGCTCCTACAAAGGGGAGCTCACCTTGAGATGACAGCGGGGCAGCTGGGGCTGTGCAGAAATGCAGGTGAGCCTCTCCTAGCAGCCACGTGGTCCTCTGCTGCCTTCCTGCCCACTGTGGGCTCTTCAGGGTCCTGGTGACCTGAGGGGATTTCCTTGGCCTCCAGCTTCTGCTCACTGGCCTCTGCTGTTGCAGTCTGCTCGGGCAGGGCCGCTGGCTGCCCAACACCGCCTTCTGCAGCTCCCCCATCCTGGCCAGCCTCTCCTTGGGGACCCTGGCTGCTGGGTGATGGTGGAACTGGGGCAACATCCCCTATTTCTGGAGCAGGGCTTTCGGCGTCTGTCTTCAGGGTGGCTGGATCAGGATCTTTCTTTGGGTCTGAGGGCCCGGGGTCCTTCTCTGGGTCTGGGGGAACAGGGTCTTTCTCCACAGCTGGGGACACTTGGCCTGCAGCACCTTCAGGTGCCTTGTCTGTGAAGAAAGTGAGATGCCCATCAGCGTGCACCCCACCCAGCTCCCTCCCCAAGGATCAGCACTGCACCTGAGTCCCCATCCAGTCAACAACTTGTAGCTGCTTGACCCACCGAACTTTCTAGAACCATTTGTAGAACCAGCTCCTGGGCCCTTAGGCAGCCTCTGTGTGAAGTTTCTGGCCTTTGGGTGGGCCTGGATCCTCCCCCACCACACCTTGCCGGGACCGTTCAGGTGCATCCCGGACAGCCATCCAAAGAAGCTTCGTACCTTACCCACGTCTCTAGGGAAGGCATGCAGGCCTCAGGCCAGGCCTGGCTCCCCCCAGAGATCACTCTGGCTTCCGGCTCCCTTCCTGCAGAGTCCATGCACAAAACCAACCCTCCAACCCAGCGCTTGCACCAAGGAACCTGCCCAACCCTGGATTCAGATGCCCCTTCCCAAGCTCCTCCCTCTGACTCCTGCCCCAGCCTGGCACCTGTTGAGGGGCTCTGGATTCCCAGCTCCACTGTTACGTCTTCTGTCGCCATGAGGTAGGGAGGCGTGTGCTTCTGTTTATCTAACTCGAGTCTTTCCAGCTGCAGAAGACTGAATGAGGTGTGTCAGGCTGTTGAATGCCTCCTGCCGTCTGGTTGCAGTAAAGGAAGAGACTCAGGCCTGTGGCTGATTGAGGAAAGAGAGGTACCTGGGGTGGACAGAGGCGACCTGGTGGCCGCCCGTCATGCAGCGGCTGCTCAGGAGCGGTCCCAGGACAGTTGTAAGGGTTTGGGCTGGGTGGGCAGAGGCGGAGGCAGAGGCATGGGCAGTGGAGGCGGGGACGCAGGAGAGGATCTCTTACAGCAGGGGCCATGCAGCTCGGGCTGCCACCACCTGTCACTCTTGGCCCCATTTCAGAGGACACGGCATTCTTCCTACAGCCTGCTGGAACAAGCAAGAAGAGCAAGGGAGGGGGCACAAGGGGCCCTCGATGAGCAGCCCTTCCCCTAGGCTTTGCTCAGTACCCCCGACTTGGACAGGATGAAAAAAGGGGGCCCTGGGAGAAGAGGGCTTCTCAGGCAGGGCCAAAGGACAAAACTGTGCCCAGGCCCGGTGCCTGCTCTGCCCACCTGCCTGCCACATCTCTTCTAGGGCTCCCCAGAAGCTGGTTACTGACACGCAGGCCCAGGGCTAATCACCCCAACCCCGTGCCCAGCTCTGTGCCCCTGGCGTCCGGATCTCCTTGGATCGTCTTTGGGTAAGAAACTGTCTCAGGAGCACTTGCTCTATGTGCCCATAGACCTGAAAGTTTTCTTGCTGGACAATCTTTCTCTTAGGCTTCTGGGGAGGCCTCCTGAGGCGCCGAGGGAAATGGCAGCCCTCTGTTCCCCTAACCCTGAGCCTACCCGGTGGCCTGCCTAGAACGAGAGGCTGGGAGAGTCTTCCCAAGGACCAGGGCCTTCCCTGTGCCCAGGGGTCATCTGCCCAGGGCCCTTTTCTAAGGGGACCCTTGAGAATTGGGAGATGTGCTGATTGTGTCTGGGTGCAAGTCCCGCCTGCGTCCTACCCACTGCCACAGCTCCTGCAGCCATCCCTGAGCTTAGCCACCTGCAGGTAGAAGGGAGGGGAGCATGATCCCTCTTTGCCCCAAGACAACTATGGAAGCTGTGAATAAATGGGCATGAAGTGACTTCTCAAGTCGGGGGGCAGCAGGAAGTAGCAGGCAGAGTGGGGCAGAAGGAAGGCATCACAGGGTGATTTCGCTGGCAGGATAGGCAAGTGGGGACCAGGTGACATGTATACCTTTCTGCTTCTGTTTAGTACCATGATCTTTGTGAATAGATTGCTATTTGAATTGCACGTGTTTTCCTTAAATGAACAAATATCAAGGGTTTTGGCACAAGCTAGTAAAACCAGCGCTGGGGCTCCTTCTCCAAGTCCTGATTCTGGGCACTGGGGGACACTCTTTGCTGGACTTGGCCCTCCTCTCTTCCATTTTTCTTGAAATCCGGGTAACAGCCTGACTCTCTCGGGAAACAAGAACAGTTACACTGAACAAGAAAGAAGAACAAGAAACACTCACTGTGTGCCAGCGCTTGTCCCACAGAATCACCCACATGGTCATACTACCCATAAGGAGGGGGTGCCAGGTGGGGCCTGGGCCCAGGCTTTCCCACTCACACGTGCCTGCTCACATCACCCATCTTGTCCTGGAGTATCCTCCTGGTAGCAGCTCTGTGGGGAGCTGTCACCTCATCTTCTGAAGGAGAATTAAAGGAATGAGCAGTTGGCTAAAATCACTCATCAAGGGTGGGGAGTCAGGAACATCCTTCTCTGAAGCCTGCAGTCCCTGCTCTTTCTAAAACTCCCCAGCCTGCACCTCATCCCCTCTGCCCACCAGCTCCCCCAGTGGATTTCCCAGTGCTCCGAAGGTCAAAATGCTTCCTGTCCATGCCTGTGACTCTGGCCCCCGAGGCCCCCATGCTGTAGTTTAACTTCAGGTGCTGAACTTGGCCTTCCTCCCAGCCTTCCTCCATGCTCCAGGCTGAGTCCATTGTCAGCTTTGACTGCTACGAGTACCTCAGGGTGGGGTTATATGATGTTCACATGTGTCCACAGCACAGCGTGTACTTGGAATCAGCATGTGAGGAGTAAATAACCTACAGCGAGCAAAGTTCTGCCCTGGGCTCCGTGGGATGACTTTCCCCCGTGGCCCTGGCAGACGCCCCTTGTCCTTACAGTGATCAGCCCCAGTCTGGATTGTCCTGGGTGTCCAGGCTAAAGGCCTGATTCATGCAGTGCATGGGATCCCCCACAGGCCTCACCCCTCAGGGAGGGATGGAAACAGATGCTCAGAGACAGTCAGTCACACAGGTGGTGAGCAGCCTCAAGCAACTAGATTCAAATCCAGAGCCACCTGAGAAAGGGACCAAAATCCAGGCCAGGATCACTTAAAAGACTGTTGTATAGGAGTTACTATTATAATTATTTTAAAGGTTTATTTATTTTGGTTGGAAGGGCAGATCAGATTTACAGAGAGAAGGAAAAAGATCTTCCATCTGCTGGTTCACTTCCCAAATGGTTGCAATAGCCAGAGAGCTGAGCCAAGCCGAAGCCAGGAGTCAGGAGCTTCTTCTGGGTCTCCCATGCAGTTACAGGGTCCCAAGGTTTTGGGTAGCCCTTTACTGCTTTCCCAGGCCACAAGCAGAGAGCTGGATGGGCATTGGGGATCTGGGACACGAACCAGTGCCCATATGGAATCCTAGTGCTGGTGAGGTGAGGATTAAGCCATTGAGCCATCGCGCTGGGCCCTATTTTTGTTATTGTTAAGATGTCCAAATAATTTAGTTAATTGAACACCTTTCAAAGTGGACCAGGGCCTGGGGGTGAGCCACCTGGCGAGTGTTCTTCCAACAGCCCTGCATTGTGAGTGTCAGGCCACCCAGTAGGGAAGCTCTCAAACAGCAACTGTGAGAACAGACCGAGCCTTCACTTGTTTCCTCATCTGCCAGACAAGCACCTGCTGCACGGGGGAAGAATATAAAGTGTTAAGAACAGCATGGATGCATAGGGAGCCCTGTGAAGACAGCAGCTATTCAGCCCCATTTCACAGATGGGCCAGGAAAACTGAGTCAGAGGGCAGTCAGTCAAGACTGGAACCAGCTAGCTAGCCCCAAAGCTCAGCTATTAACCACCCTGTCCTGCAGCACCCCCTCTCCCAGGGTTGTTGCAAGTATTTAGCCAGTACGTGTATATGGAGTGCTGGGTACCATACTGCTCTGGGGGGCTCCATCACGCTGTGAACACAGCAGGGCGAGGGCTCCTCTGTTCCTGTCGGCTTTCTCCTCATGCCTTCCTTCCACTGGGATAGGAGGCTGGCCTGGTTCCAGACCCCCAGCATTGCCTGCTGAGCCAGCTGCTCCCTGGGCGTCCCCAAGCTGCTTGTCAACGCTCCGCTGGAGGAGCAGGGGTGGGGCATGGGGAAATCTTCACCCAGCTAGGGGTTGCCAGAGCCCCTGCGCATCCTCACACAGGGGCTTCCCCGCCATGCCTGCACCAGCTGTGTCGACAGCCTCTCCAGGGTACAGGACCAGGCGTGGGGCAATGCCAGGACCAATTAAACTTGCCGGTGGAATTAAGGTCAGCAGGATGCAATTATGCCCTGCTGGATTTAACAAGGCCAGAGAGAAGGCCTCTCCAGCCAGAGTTCACGGCTCCTTAGGCCTCATGCCCTGGGAAGCTTTGCCTTCCAGGAGTGTGAGCTCCCAGGCTCATCCATCTGTTGGGAGCGACAGGGTTAATGCCACCCGAGCTGCTTCCCTGGCCCCTGAGAGGAAGCCACTGGGAGCCAACAGGCTTTAAAAGGACCTGCTCAGGAGAGGCTTCCCCTGCCTGACCCTTTCCCTGCCCCGCTGTGATGGAAAATCCAAGGAGTTGAGCAACCTCTCTGACTCCAAAGAGAACAGCCAGCTCCCCTCGCAACTTTCCTCTGCTTTGAGAGGCACTCCGGGCTCTCACCAGCCAAGTTGTTTGCTCTTGCTCTCTCCCACGTGGCACTCCGGACCGCTAAGCTTTGACAAGCCTGGTACGTCTTCAGAAAGGCCCTTCCCACCAAGCCTGGTAGGCAGAGATCTAGAGGCATCCCGAGGGGCAAACTAGACAAGAGATCCAATTGGAAATCCAATTGACATACTGTTCCATCCAATAATTGTAATTTTACTGTCAAGATAATTTATTTGTGCTCTACTTCATGGCAAAGACCAAACTGGTCACTTTGGAGCCACAGATATAAGGATGGGGGAAGAGTTAGAGACCCTCTACCGGCTACAGTTTAGGTATAGGATGGTGGTATAAAGCATCCATTACTTTCAACACTAATAGAGATATCTGCAGGAATATACATGGACATACCAACAAGTAAGGCAATGAAGATGATTCTTACTGTCTGCATTCTCTTTTTTTTTTTTAAGATTTATTTATTTTTATTGGAAAGGCAGATATACAGAGAGGAGGAGAGAAAGAGAAAGATCTTCCATCCAATGGTTCACTCCCTAAGCAGCCACAATGGCTGGAGCTGAGCCAATTTGAAGCCTGGAGCCAGGAGATTCTTCTGGGTCTCCCACGTGGGTACAGGGTCCCAAGACCTTGGGCCATCCTTGACTGCTTTCCCAGGCCACAAGCAGGGAGCTGGATGGGAAGCAGGGCTGCTGGGATTAGAACCGGCGCCCATATGGGATTACAATGTGTTAAAGGCGAGGACTTTAGCCACTGAGCTATTGCGCTGGGCCCCATCACATTTTCTTTTAATGATCCTTTTAAAAAATTTTATTTACTTTTATTGGAAAGTCATATATATAGATAGAGGAGGAGAGACAGAGAGGAAGATCTTCTGTCCAATGATTCACTGCCCAAGTGGCCACAAAGGCTGGAGCTGCGCTGATCTAAAGCCCGGAGCCAGGAGCCTCTTCCAGGTCTCCCACACAGGTACAGGGTCTTAAGGCTTTGGGCTGTCCTCGACTGCTTTCCCAGGCCACAAGCAGGGAGCTGGATGGGA